TAGATTGAAGGGACTAGCACACGATAGTGCCTGTTCTGTGTGCAGCATTTACCCGCAGTACGCTACTAACACCTGGTGGGAGCATACAGCCGTCTGCCAACCGCAGTCTATACTACGACGAAAATCCTACAAATCATTTCAGTCGTATTATTCATGAGCTTCTAGCGGATGGAAAGGGATATGGGTTCGCATATGACGATGTAAATGCAAATGGAACAAACAATACCGGGGTGGTTTCTTGTGACGAGCCGTCTAACCTATAAGGCTAAAGGGTTCTATAGGGTTTATGTTCTGAGGTAAGTCAACACAAAAGACGGTAGAGGCTTCTGTCAACTAGAAGACACTCAGATGCTGGGGCTTGGTCTGAACTGGGTTCACTGTGTAGTCGAGTCGTCAGGAGATTTCTCCCACCTTAGGGTTGGCTAAGATGCTTAGATTGATCACTGAGGTAGAGACTGTCTATCTGTTCTAGCTAGGAAATGTCCATCCTTATATATCCAATCTCTCCCTCACTGATGGAGTGTCTGCTCTTGGTTCACTGTGATCCCGTGAGCCTGGATCACCGTGAGCCTGTGAGCCTGGATCACCGTGAGCCTGTGAGCCGATGTCCCTGGTCACGTGATCCGCACAAGCGTTATCCCGTGCGTGGTGTTCCCATCGATCCTCTACCAATGGGTTCCCGTCTGGCCTGCCGACGGGCCGCTGTATTTGTTGGTCCGTAACATTTCTGGGTTTGACCCTGTACGCTTTGAGATTAACATTGGGGAGAGGATGCCAATGTGATGATGGGTGAATTTGTTATATGGGACGTAAGCCACTGGGGTTGTTAAGAGGTGGCAGTGCCCTGTTACAGATGGTCATACCCCTGTAGCGAGGGCCATTAGGACATACCGGCCACCGTGGCCAACAGCAGACTTTTCATAAATAAGACAATCTATTCTAAATACAACGATTTACACCATAATTACCATCAACGCACTGTTTCCGAAACAAGGGCCGCCTACACCCATGCTCTATCGTGTTCGACGCGGAAGTGGTAGGAGCATGGAAAGGGCTCCAGTAGGTAACCAAGGCCCCTCCGGAGCTGAGCTAGCGTCGGATTTGGGTGTGCGTGGATAATGTATCGCGGCAACGCAGCGGTGTCCTGTCAGTGGGCCTACCTAAGGTTCCACGCAGCGGCAGAGGTCCGGGACGTCACTGTTAAATGGTGCCCTGGCCACTGCGACGTAAAAGGCAACGAGCTTGCAGACAAGCTGGCCAAGGCTGGCTCCAAGCTGCCGGACATCGACAAGGACTATACACCCACAGCCTACGGCATCAAGTCCAGGGCGCGAATGAAGGGAGCTGCAGCTCGCGAGAAATGGTGGGACAAGGCACAATCAACGCTATCATCCCGCTACAAAGACTGGAACCTTGAGTATCACTTGCGCTGTCACGAGGAGCTGCAGGTGTTTTCTAGGTCGGCACTACATCACTCTAACGTCCCACGGGGCGCGTGAGGACCACTGCGGCATGCCGCGGCAAAGGATAGAACATGCGTAGGATACGGCTATGCGGTCTACCAAGGCGGGCAACTCCTCGCCTCAAATAAGGGCCGCCTACACCCGTGCTCTATCGTATTCGATGCGGAAGTAGTAGGAGCCTGGAAAGGGCTCCAGTACGTGACCAAGGGCCCTCGGGAGCTGAGCCAGCGCCGGATCTGGGTATGCGTGGATAACACAGGAGCGATCTGGGGGCTTCGTGGCAACGAGCTTGCAGACAAGCTGGCTAAGGCTGGCTCCAAGCTGCCTGTCATCGATAGCGACTGCACGCCCACAGCCTGACACCTGGTCCACGGAGCGACGGCAGGCCAACATGAGGATCTACTGTCTCATCTATCAACAACGTACTGCTGGATGTTAACGGTGATGAGTTACGCTGGTGTCTAGACTGTTGCCTGTTAGGCATACAGTGTGGGAATTCAAAGTGTTCAATTGAAGGAGAGAAAACAGGAATAGTTCTTGAAGGGCAGAAGGCCCTTATATATGAGAGATACACAAAGAATGTGTGTGAGGAAAGGACAGCTGTGCACGCCATCAAGGATCATTCCCCCACACTGGAACAAGTTGATTGTCATAATTTCTAAGATATGGTTGACTCCGAAGGCTTTGGTTTATAAGTGCGACCGATACCAACATACGAAAAGGTAGATGCGCTTCGACCCAGAACAGCCGGACCATTTGTTGTTGTTGTTGTTGTTGTTGTAGCATTTAACGCCGGTGGGACAGCCGCCAAAGGCGGCGTCAACCAAGGACCTCCATAAGGGCGCGCGGCGTGCTAGGCTAGGATATTTACAAGTATTGACCGTCCTGGTACGGCCACTCAACCCATCTAGCAGATTGTTGCTTTGGACATCACTAGAAGTTCGCACATAGCGTACACTACTACTACTTCTCCCCTTCTGTCCGCGGCGTTGTACTCTTTGATGGTACCCCCATCCTCCGGGTGACAGGAAATACCTCCTCCTCCTCCCACGGTATCAGCAGCAAGCCGCTCGCGCGTCGTCTCCCTCCCGGCTCCTTGTACCCAATTCCTCGCCTGGAACATCCTCGTGGACGTCGTCGCCGTCGAGTGTACTGTCGACGTCGATCGCCTTGAACGAGTGGCGCAGTCGCTTCGTATCGTTGCCGATGTGCTGCGCGCGCGCTCGGTCACGTCACACGCAACCCTGAGCACCGCGCAGCGGCCGTGAGAGTAGCTCGACGAGAGCGTCGTCGAGCTCGCGGATGTATCACAGTCGACGTGACGACGTCGACGAGGGCTGTTGTCGACTGTCCCCAAGCCGGATCTCCCTCGTTCTCCTTCGTGTACTTGCAAAAACAGTCGGTGTTAGTGCAAGCGAAAAATAACGCATACAAAAGGACCAGGTTTGTATGGGTAATTTTGAAGGTCGATCGGTGTCGGAGGGGATCATGCTGATCTTGGTACAAGCCAATGGTAGCTGTCTCTTCTTCATCAGCGAGGTCAGGGAGAAGGGACGTCACGGCATCATCGGCAGCTTTCTCAATGATTGAGTCTCGTCGGGGGATCTGCTTGGGCCAGAGCTTCTGAAAGTCTTGATCGTCAAAGCGGACCTGCTTCTTGGCGAGCTCGTGTATACTCTCAAACGAAAATATCTAGATTTTCACCGACTTGTATGCACCGCTTAGAACAGATCGGATCTAATCTTCCGCCTCTGGCTCTTCTGGATCTTTTTGTTTCAGTTTTAGGTTTACTTTTTACATATTTCATTCCGAAACGTCTACCCGCTGTAATAAAACCTGTGAATCGACTGTCATTATTAGATCCATGCGATTCCAACCTTTAAACCATTCATACCGGACCTACATGTATGATTAGATAAGGGATTAGATACCGGATTGTGAGGTCGCTTAGCCAGGCCTTCGAGTCCAGCTAGGTCCATGTCTGGAGGCGCTTCATTGCCGAACGATGCTCTTCCTGTCCATGCATTCGCCGTTGGCCCGGTTCGCCGAAAGCCATCAGACTAAATGCTAAGTCCTGGCCAACTGCCGTACAACAGCCTGGGTGATCTGGGTGCGCAGCGACTTCAGGGCCAGGCTCTGCCAGGTGATAGTAGAGCTTGGTAGGACCGGACCACTCTCGCAGGGGCACTTGACCGTGCCATTGCCTAGGGGTGACTGTTCAGTTCCCTCACCTCAGCCGACTCCGTTGGTGTCGGTTTGGTGTACTCGTGGGGCGTTCCTTCTCGTCCGGACTCTGTAAGAGGCTCTCAGGAATACCTTGGCGATCATAGAAGCTCATAAACGAAAACAGGTCAGCTGTAGATGGTGTGGTTTGACGGATGTGGTCGAATGAGATTTGCTATGTGATAATAATCGAGTTTTTGGCCTCTCGGTCCTGCCGTAATTGCCCGGCTTTGTAGTCAAGAAGAGTTGCTTTCTTCCTGTCGCTCTGTGTAAACTTGTCGACATATTGTCACATAGAACAACGCGGAGCTCTGTGCTTGGACGATTGCTAACGGCATGTACCGCCACGGTGGCTTGCGCGCCATTCAACACTCTGCTCTTGATCTGGGCGCTTAATAATGGTCTACATCCTCTTCAGATACCACATGTCCACCCCCCCACCTTAGACTTTTGGTTTACAGACCATGTTCCTCTGCCTTCAAACAGCACACTCTTTACGGCCGCAGTACCTTATCCACAAGAGCCATTCGACCGCTTACATTATGGAGCGCACAACTTCCTCGTCCATCCCGACAAGACTGATCATATGCGTTGATGGCACTTGGTATAGTCCCACCAGTACGAGTTTGGCATACCACAGCCCGACCAATATATACAGGATCTGTGCAAGCATACAGACGGGAGAGGTTCTGGACAAGACGTCGAATCGAAGATACATTCAGAGGAAGAAGTACATTCATAGGATCGGGTCAGCGGACGAACCCGCACTCGGTATCGCGTTTGAAAGCTGGCGCATTTGGGGATGGCGATATGGAGAAGATCAAGCAAGTCTACAAATTATGTTATGAACTTGGACCGGAGGACGAAGTCTGGCTCTTTGGCTTCAGTCGCGGAGCGTGGGTTATCCGAGCCGTAGCAGGCTTGCTACATTACATTCGATGCCTTTCTGCCATTCATCTAGTCCTTTAAAAATAGCTATTTATTGGGGACAGATTGATGAGAAGAACTTGCTCTTTTCTACGAATTTTGCCCATTTTGTGCTCCTCTCCCCTAAGTACAGTAAATAGGCTGTCTTAGACAAGTACCTAGGCAGTAGTCAGTTTTTCTTAAGCCTCTTACAAAAGAAAATATAATGTGGTGTTTTCTTCTCACTACAGCTGTAGTGGTCATTTGAGTCTGTATGCCCAAAATATTTGTGATATCTAGCAAAGTCGCTATATCTGGATCTAGCCGCTAGAAGTCTGTATAAATTCGCAGGGAACGATTGTCCACCCTTCTGTGTATCAACTGCTTGACCAGTATCCCGGTCTCGCAATGGACACCAAGGATCAACAGCTGACCAAAAGATTGGAACAACAGCGTAAGGTCATGCTCGGCGCAAGCGATAGAGGAGGCAAGTGTCCCAACCAAGGCTTCTGGAATGAGTATGAATTGGTCCAACCTGAGGATCCTGGTGCCATTCGCATTCTTGTTTTCGGCAACACAGGTGTTGGCAATGGAGCCTGATCAACAGAGTATTTGGTTGTGATCTTGTAAGTTGCTGTTGCACAGGGAAATGTCTTCTGATGACTGATGATATCCTACAGACTCAAGTATCCAATAGAGCCAGGGGCCAGCACGACGTTAGCAACGAGATAAGATTCGAAAATCGGCCAGATCTCGTGGTGCATGACTCTGGCGGGTTCGAAGCTGAAAGCTCTGAAGAGACCCAGGCAATCGAAGACTTCCTCAAGACCAAATCTGCGCCACAATTGGAAATTGGCGACCGCCTGCATGTAATTTGGTAAGTCCATACTGAAACTCTTATCACAAATGGCCGACATAGCAAGAACTGTAGAGGCTGACATGTCCAGGTTCTGCTTGGACCTCAATGCACCTCGAGCCATGCAAGCATCGACAATAACACTCTTCAAATCAGTATCAAAGTACGCATAAGACGTGCCGCTTATCGTCATAATGACTAAAAAAAACGTGTTCCTAAACACAAAGTCTGTTACAAGGCGTCGTCAGCTCAAGCACAAGAATAAGACTCTGACGGATGAAGAGTGCGACCAATATGCTGAAGTGCAGTTCCCGGAGCTCATGGATCTCATAGAGGAGGAGATGCTCAGAGTGGAGGGTGGACGGTTGGATGCCTGCATTGGAGTCTCAGCCGGCGAGACGATGGAGGAAGACGCTCTCGGTTGTATATATCTCTCTCACAACGTCTTTGCCGATCATGTCGCTGATCACTATACAGACGACCAGGCGTCGATCGAATAACTGACCAAAGCCACATCTTAGAGCTTTATGTAGGAAAAGGTCCGTCTTCTCTACGTCCGTGCACAAGTCGCCTACATAGATCTAAAGGTCGACCTGGCCGTGTGCGAAGTGATGCGTGTGTATAAGCAAGTCGTCAAAAGCGCCACCGCAAGCACGTTTGTGCCTATAATGACTACCACGAACCGAATAGCGGGATCGATCGCTATCTGCCAGAACATCATCAATTGCTTCGGACTCTCATTAGTCAGTACGGAGACTGCATTGCAAATTCTCAAGTCCAACGTCTGAAATCTCCTGACCTTGCAGAATATAGGAATAGAACATAGGGGAGAAACATAAACGAAAAACGAGCATCGTCCGTTTATCATAGCAGCTCAAAGTCGTATTTTATAAGAACTATCTGCTGAGTATTAGCTAAACCTAGAGTTTATAATCCTATAATAACAGGAAGATAACACTTATTGTAATAAGCAATGGCGATACCTGTCGAACGAGGTGATTTGTTGCGTGGTCACGTGACCCACTTGGGTTGGCATATTGCCCACATCCACTGCAGCTACGCACCACCTCCATCCATGCCTTCCACATAGCAGAATACCACAACATTGCAGTATTGTCCTGCAACAGGTTATGAGCCCTCTGCTTCCTTATTAGGCGCATTTTGATGCTATTTGCAAATTTGTTACTGGATTCGACAACTTGAGCCCTTATTTGGCTGGCTGCACCACGGCGCGCGCTCTGCGCGACCGTTGGTTGTGTGCCAGCCCTCATCACCCAGCAAAATTTGCACCGCACCTCGGCCGTACGACAATTCCTCATACAAACCAGTACCAGTTTGTGTCGACGAGCTGAGGACGCGACCCTCTTGCATTCAAGCAATGCCCTCGAGGCACTCGATCACGCATTTGTGAATTGTATCCCCGGGGTGAGCCCGCCTCTCAGCGTTACGGTTGCGTGGATGTACCCGGGTGGGAGGTAGAGTGCTTCTGCCGCCGTCTGGATACAGAACTCTCCTTTTTCTAGCCTTCCTTGCAGCGCAATGAACAAGGAGTTCTTGTTATACACCTCGGACAGCTTGGCCTTGTTGTAGTCTGATAGGGGATATAGCGCCCATAGCTTGACGCAGTCTTCGGAAAGCGCCGTCAGCCCATGTCTCCCGTGGTCTGTGCGGTGTTGTCAGCTCTTATCCTGCGTATAGTTCGCCACCCGTCCACTTACCGACGTGTATGTCCACAAAGGAGAATTGTGGGGTGATGTTCGTGGTGGTCTTTATGTCTTTGGGGTCCAGGTTATATATTCCATATAAGCACTCAGGAATGCGCATCACTGCCGACTTCGCCTCCATGTTTACTGCGTAAAACGTGCTTTCCGGGTCGGGGAACCAAAGTTGCTTCAACACTTGGGTAATGGGCGCGCTTTCGCATGGGAAGTGGCCAATCCCACGCTTGTAGATTTGGGTCTTCTGCTTGCTGAAACCATCCAAAAGGTCATCCAGGAACTCATCTGTCGACAGCGGCTTCTTCTCCCAGCACTGTCCCGAAGACACAAAGAATGGGGCCTTTAGGCCCATGTCATCCGACTCCCTAGGCTTGCTCATGTTGGCTGTGCCACCTGCGCGCGCGATCTCCACACGGAAAGCCGAAGACAGCGGCGACAGCGGCGACAGTCCCTGGTCTGAGATAGCGAGGAACTCACGCAGCATCTCCTCCTTGTCTAGTGGCTTCGCTTCTTGTTCTTTTTGTTCCTTTCGCTCTTTGTTATTTATGTGCCTGCTTCGTTATGTGTGCCTGAGCCAGCTGGACTCGGTTATGTCCTCTTTGCAGTACTCGCAATGCCTCTTGTGCGTACCTGCCTGCTGGCGCTGCTTTCTGGCTCGGTTGGGCGACTGGCGCGGCTTTCGGACTCGGTTGGGCAGCTGGGGCTGCTCTGGTGGTAGGTCTCCCATGATGGCTTTCCTGCTCGTGGATATAGCGTTGCTCATGTCCCGGCAGTAGTGGTGGCGGTGCACTGGCCGTGACTACGTGCCGCTTGCGACTTGTATGAACAAGGGTAACTCACGTCTGGCTGTCAGCAATGGTGGTGGTGGTGTTGCTATGGTCGTTGCAGCAGAACTGTGCTTGTCGATGGTGTAGTGCAGCCGTTCACGAGTATGGAAATACAGGCTTTGATTTCAATCACCACCGGAGGCCCGAGGCGATCATGCGGGGGCACCCCATTTAGCTGCTGCGGGGGCTGGTAGCGGGGGATACGTGTCCTGCCCCGCAATAACAGCACGTCTTTATGTCAAGCAGATCCCCCAGCCTTGCAGTCACCTACTTTCTCGCACCCACCATTCCGCATCATCACAGTCAACCCCTCCTCCAACGCCCACACCCACACCCAGGCCCCATTAGAGCGTGCCTCGAAAACCGTCGACGACGCCCAAGCCGATGAGCGTACGGTGACGGCCTCTGGCCGCCCGGATTCGAAGCTTGCCAATGGGGGCGAGAATAGAGAGGCCATGCCCCTAACGCTCGAAGAAGGACAAGCCCATATCGAAAGGCCTGATATCTTCAAACACGGACAATCCGGTCTTGAGGAGGCAAGTTATGAACAAGCACCGTCTCGAGTGCAGTCGCCCCCGATATCAGCTACGACTGCGGAAGCAAGCTCACTGGATTCTGTGGCGAGTGCATCGACGCGTGGGCCGTTCCTGGGCGCTGCTGAATTTGAAGTATCGCAATACATCTATGGGGACGTATCTTGGCATCGATGCAGTGGGGAATCGTGCTTGAAACTCTTCTACAGCGGAGACAAAAACACAATGGGCACGGTGGGTTCCTCGGTAGAGATCACGATCGACCCGGCTACGATGGTGGGGTTTTCGCGAGGACCCCTTCCTGGGTCGAATGGCAATAGCATTATATCACTCCCACCAGCAGGCCAGGCTGTGAAGCTCGTATTTGACCGCAGCGAAGGAATTATATTGGAAATCGGCAAAACCCAGTCGAGGAACTTCATCCGCTGGCTCCGGCGAGTGAATCCGAAGATCGGTTGCATAGAAACATAAGCCACCAGAGAGGGCTGTTGAGGCGTAAGGGTAACGAACTGGGCCGGGGAGACGACAGCAGAGACACGGCGGAACTCTGCATATATGGTGGACTAGTGTGCTTCCCGTTTGCTTTTACGGGTGCTAATATACAGGTTGCTTTTATAGACATATTAGGACTATACGCAGGAAGGCAAGATCCGTTAGTCCGATGTGTTACAGCCCGGAACCTTACTGTGAGCAGAGGCCTGAGGGGCCTGGTCAGGACAACCGCAACGACATGGCTCCAAAGGACACATGAACTCACACCAGACTTCCCAAGACGGATCCTTACGGAACCAAGATATGCAAAGAATGCTTGCAAAGCTGTTATAATAAGAAGCAAAGCCGAGAAAGCCAAAGTCTTCACAGACTGGCTGAAATCGCTTCCATCCTCACACATAGTCGCCTATTCTGATGGCTCGAAATCCCTGGAGAGGGCGGTGGGCCATGGATACGTGATCTACAGAGGTCGGACAAATATATATGAGTAGCCCCTGACGCGGTAGCACGCTGAGGGGCCTCAGACGTCTTGAACAGACGCTGAGAATGGTTCTTGTCACCTCAGCGGTCCCCAAAACGCATGGGCAGTGGCTTGAGAATTGCGTGCTGAAATGCAAGGGATCTGGGTGATTGAGGATGCTTCTGTACGATCAGAACGTCGGCAGAAGGTGTGAATGCGAGGCTGTATAACAGCTCGCGGAATGGTGCTGTGAATGGCACCGTGGTGGTCTCAATACACGAAAAACCGTGTGAATTGCCTGGGATTAGGGCTATTGAGGTCGCGAAAGGTCGTCAAGAACGCGAAAATTCGTGCCTATCAATAGGAACAACAATAAGGTGCAGTAGCGGTAGCGGATGAGGGCTCATAACCTATTGCACAGCAAGAAGGCCAAGAGGTTGCATATCTGCTGTATTGGTGTTGTTGTTGTGCAATATCTGGAGGTGGTACGCAGCTGCAGTGGATGTGGGCAATATGCCAGCCCAGGTGGGTCACGTGGCCACGCGCGATATGGCGGGTGCTAGGTTTGGGCAAGCAGCACGTGAAGCTAATCGCTTGCAGTTAGGAGGTGGGTACCTACATGTACTCAGTCTGAGCACCTTTGAGGCTTTGAGGCGTCTTTCTCAAACACTTTCACGTGCCGCCCAAACCTTCCCTCACCTATCCTTCCGAGTCTTTGCCGGGGGGCCCGAGCCGTCGTCAAACACCCTTAAAGAAGGTGTGGTATATTGCCCATCGAGTCAATGGCGGCGGAGGTTGGATTGGATGGAGATCTGGCAACGTGGGATTGGGTTTCTTCATCAGTTGGCACTGAGGGCACTCAGCAACAGCTTGTTGTGAGATTAGAGTCAGTTTAGGGTGCCAGAACTGCTTCAAAAGTTCCCTTTCTGTGATTCCAACTGTTGAGTGGCCCAATTCATGGTGTACGCGGCGAGCCTGGATACGCAGTTCACCGGGTTCAAGGACCTCCTGAAGTGCTATAGCACTTGTAGCAGTGCTTGTAGCATGTGGTGGATCTCTAGGAGCTCGTGTATTGCGTGAGAGTTGGTGAAGCTTGCCTTGTACTACGGTGAAGTTCTGATTTGCCCATTCTGGCTCAATATTCTTTGGCAATTGAGCCTTGAGTACCAGAAATTCGTGGATTGATTGCAAATCCAGCTGGTTGAGTTGATACGGTTGCTGGATCTGGTGAGTCTTGGGCTCTTCCTGCGGCGGATTGACCAGATCAATCACTTCTGCTCCTGGACAACACATCAGTGGTAGATGGGCTCAATGGGACTCCACCCGAGACATCACAAATCATTTTTCTGCGATTCCAAGAACTCGCCACAGCACACACTCCTGGAGTGACTGTCGAGTGGATTCCTGGACACAGAGATATTGATGGCAACGAAGCTGCTGACATATTAGCAAAAGAGGGTGCTATGCTGGAAACAGATACAACAAATCCTCCTATAATCTCTTGGGTCAAGAGAGATCTCAAGAGAAAGGGGCAATTGTGTGTACAGTGGCCGTATGGCGCAATGGTCAAATGCGCCTGGTTGTGTTCTCGTTTGTGCGGTGGGCGACGAGAATAAGTGGGTTCGAATCCTGCTATGGCCCCCCTTCTGACCCGGCTTGTGCGAGTCGATAACCAGCACACGACAGTGGAGAGGCCCCATTATCGCAGAGCCCGATAGCCAAGCAGCTTGTCTCTATAATATCCATTCCTGCGAGGTTTTTCCCCTTGTGGTTTCCCTCGCCAGCAGATAACAAACACCTACTCCACCCACCAATGCGACATATATCGAACGGCTACTAGAACGATATGTACACCAGAGGACTGAGGTTCACTGGGTCGCTTTGTCACTAGATAGGAGGTTTTTCTGACGGAATTGTGCTTGGGTACTGACTAAAACCATCTGGACACTCCAGATTGATACCGCTACAGCGAGGATAGGCTCGTGTGCGGATTTGAATGTATCGAGTTTGACACCTCTATAACCTTGCGATGCAATGGCTCTGGGAGGCGTGGTTTGCACTACTGAGGAGCTACCCCCCACGTTAAACACAAAACAAACAAACAAAACAAACAAATAATTGTGTGTACAGTCTTTGTGAGAACATCGGTGCGTCGTTTGGCAGGGTCAAATAGGCCAGGAAAATCCCTCTCGTATGACGCCAGGTACTCGTTGATCTGGGCGTTGTCTATGGGGGTTTTGTGACTCCATGGTTGGTCCTTCTCTGACAAACTTGTCTGCCTTGTACGCAGGCTCTGAAAAGAGGTGCGCTCGGTCTTGTGGTATCGGCTTGAATATTGGAGATGATGGGTAGTTGGTCAGAGTGATTGATTCATTGCCAAATTGGAAGCCCCAAGTATGGAAAACGGTCCTGCCTATCGTGAGATTGGCAGGGAAGGTGCCGTTGGGTACCAGGCCTGCTGAGACTTGAAATGGCTTGGTGTAGCCGGAAGGTGTGGAAATGGTTCGAAATGTGGCCTCAATAATCACATCCTGTGCGATTCGAGGCCCTTGGCCGCCAACTCCGCTCATTGTGGTTGGCTTCTGACTAGGATAGGGCTTCAGGTGGTTGGCGATCTCGTGATCTATGTAGCAGCTAGAACAACCGTTATCAAAGAAGACCGTGAACGGGGTCTTGTTGCTCAACTTGGCGGCATAAACCTGATGTTGTTGGCCGTAGCCTTCTCTGAGAGGTCTCAGAGGTATGGGTGGCGGATCATGTCCCTCACACACTGCCACAAAGTGTGCGCGGCTCCCCTATTGCTCGTCCTCTTTATCCAGTATTCTCTGGATGAAATTATTAAAAAGGAGGTCGTCTTTATCTTCATCCGCCAGGGTCTCGGCCTTGCTTCTGTCGTTATCCTTAGGCTGGTACAACTCCACAGTGCCGGAGTAATGTACATTCTTGGGGTTGCTGGGTCGGGCAGGGGTAGAAGGTCGAGTGTTATTACTGGGCCTGGATGCCCAGCCGCTCAATTTGCCCTTCAGTCTACTGAAGTCAATGGGAGATATGTCTTCCTTTGTCATTGTGCCTCTGATTGTGACCTTGTCAACATGGCCTTGAGCCGGGGTGCGAGGTGACTGGGAGTGCCGAAAACGTGTCACCTGCGTACTCTGGTGAGGGCAGTCTCTTGCCCAGTGCCCTGGTTTGCCGCAGTTGTTGCACTTGTCATGCTCAGAAGCCGGATACCCAGAATCCTCTCTGGTTGAGTTCACCTGGTTACCCTCTAGGCGAGGATCTGCAATGATCTGCTTGGGGATGTCGGTGGTTCGAGCGTCAGCAGGCTCAATCTTGAGCACTCCTGGCTTTGTGGGTATGGTTTCAGAGATGTTCAGATTATAAAAGGGAGATGATTATCCCTGAAGTTGTACTGTTACTGACGGCTTCATGTAGATATGATCCTCGATAGCAGTGCAAGCCATCAACTGGCTGCGTGTAACAGCTTGCTCAATCATCTCTGTGGTCGACCAATTGCTGTGGTTATCCTTCATCATCATCCAGATACTTGGGGTATACTGACGAAGGAGGTTGATCACACCCTCTCTGTTCATCACTCCTGCCCGATAGGTCGTGGGCAGCTTGTACCATGCTTCTCTCATTCGTCTGGTGAAGTTCAACATGCTCTCATTCTGCGCTGGCAGCAATGAATTAAACGACACCATTGATCCATAAAGAACCTGATGATCTGACAAGATCTGAAGGATAGCCTCCAAAAAGGTGACCCAGTTACTGAACCAGCGCGAGCAAATATGGCAACTTGCTGGAAGTCTCCAGACATCTCAATTGCCGTTCTCTGTGCCCAGTTCTCGTACGGCACCAACGCGGCTCTGAAACGGTCCTGGATAGCTGACAACTTGCTCAAGACTTCTTCATTTGCCCACTGGAGACGAAGTTCAGGAGGAAGGGCAACTTTCTTCTTCTCTGAGGTATTCTAGAAGGTGTCTGCTTCATCCTGAAGTACTGCTTCATTCCATGCCGACTTGACTCGTTTCTCCTGAAGGTTCTTGAACGATGAGTTGTATGGCAATCGTTGGAGGTTGAGTCGGCCGTTGGCAAGGCGTTCATTCTTGAAATCGTCCGACGGTACTGTTGAGAATGGGAAGGCATCATCTTGCTGGGTTGGTTGGGCCTTCTTGATCCCGTTTGCTTCTAACAGAGGTAGAATTTGGCCTTGGAGGTTCATCATCTGGACGACCTGGTCATCGATCTCCTTCTTCGCCAGCTTGTCAGACTCGATGGTGAGCTTGAGCTGCTCAAATCTGGCAGAGTGCTTCTTGTCGGAGGACTCCAGGCCGTCCTTGAGGTTGGTAATGAACTCCTCAAGCTTCTGGTTCTGTTTGTCTTGAGCTTTAACAATCGGTGTTGTCACGTCGCTGATCATCTCTTCCCATGGGAGGACTTCTGACCAGTCAACCTTCTCCATGGCCTTGTTGATCATCTCGGCGATCTCCTCCTTTCGTACGCGAGCTGCTTCAGCAGCAGCTCGCTCAGGCTCTGTGGTGGATCGAGTGGCCATGGTGACAGGGAGAGAGTTGACAGGGTGTACTCAGCTCGTTTGCTTTGGATTGGTCGATCTTCGCAGGGATTCAAAGGCGTGATGGTCTTTGTGTATGATCCAGTTCCTTCCGGGATGACATCCACTCCCACTGGCTGCGGCAGGAAGTCCAACGAGGGACCATCCAGGTGGAATGGGTAGAAACAGCCAATATGGTGGCAGATGGACTCACCAAAGCACTCAGCAAGCCCAAATTCGAGAGATTCACCGCTCTGCTACGAATGGAGGACCTTGAAGGCAGAATAACGCTACTTAAGCGTGCAGAAGACCTCAAGGACCAAATTGCAGCTCAAAGGGGTTCCCAAGTACAAGGGGTGCTATACAAGGTGATAGGAGGGAAGGGTGCTGTTCAGAGCCGAACTTCCCTATATCTGCCGTTGTTACCAGTGTTGGAAGTATCGTGAGCTTCTCTTTACTTCCAAAAGGGGTGTGTTGAACGGCAGTAGGTGCCAAGGGTTATCACGTGTAATAACAGGATAAGGAGTGACCCACAACACAGGGATATCTAGGAGGAGAATCATGCACCGCGAAATCCTCCGAAGATTAACACAGACGAGGATCGACCATACATTTTGCTACGTGACTATAATCAATCAGGAGAGGCAACCACAGATGATTGCTAATGATGAATGGCTGATGCGCGGCTGATTTGTGGCTGATGCATGGCTGATGCGGCATTTATATGAAGCTGCTGAACCACGTCTTGTTTAACACCTTTCTTCGTGTGCATCAAATACCATACCACTAGACCTCTATCATCTCTCTTGCTTGCGACACTACCTCCTTAAGTTCATGCATCAACTTATGTTGCTTTGCTTCCCGCATTTTGCAGAAGTCTATGGCTGAAGACAGGCGGGATGCCACCTCGTCATTATCGAAATGTCTTTCGTGCAATCGTTGAAGAATTTCCAGGACGGTGCTGTCACGGTCGAGAATCTTGATTCGCTCCTTTTGGTTCCTAAATGCCTCGGCCAATTGCGTAGACAGGTCGGTGATGCTTTTCGCTTTCGTAAAACTTGACTGCCGGGGTGATTCACTATCGCCGGGAGCCGGTCGGGCAGAATCTGACAATGGGCCCAAGAGTGTTGATAGCATTCCTCGCCAAGATGAGCCGTCAATTGCCTCGGGAAACCGGACACCCACAGATAGGTAAAAGGCTACTGCTATGGCGTATAACCCACAATCTGCACTATTGGTTTGGAGTAGCGGACCTGTGAACATAAAGCTGTAACCTGTCCGGGGATTTAGTTGGAGATGTCTTCGAATTTGAGCCTCGATTTTCTCCCTAGACGACAGCGATGGCAGTGAATCATACACGACAACATCTTTCCTGGTTTTCTTGATGACCGCAAGGACCCAGTGGTTGCCATCAGTATGTATAGGGGCAAAAACCTGCTCGCTGCTGGACCAAGGCAGCTTCGTGGTGGTCTTCAAGGAATCAACAACGTCGATTGAAGCTGCGTATTTGATGATCTGGAATGCTGCGTAGACCGCACAGTCGTCGAGCCACCCCCCGGGTTGAAGACGTTTCAACGACGCTTCGGACATCTCGAATAGGAGCTTCGTGGGCGTCACATCGTCGTGGACCACGACAGCTTCTTCCGGATAAGCGCTATTCTCGATTGACTCGACCGGTTGACAGGAGTCCCGGAGAGCTCTAGGTTGTGGGGGCATAGATTCCCCAGAACCCAGCCCATCAACGCGCATTCGCTTAGCTCCAGGTTCAGTCCACGGTGGCTCTAGGGATGGCCGTTTTCCTGTCAGGGCAGGCTCGGTACGATCACCACTCTTAATTCTTTGCGGGGATAGAACACGGCTCGAGTCATCCGGGTCCGGTGCTGCCGTAATACATGGAAGAACCGGGTCTGGACTGCTTTCGCCGGGTGCCTTCTGTGCTTCATTCTGCGCCCGAGATTAGTTACTCATGTACAGAAGACGCGGTTGCTTAGCTCACCAGTAACTTCTTTGCTGCTTCGATATCTGCAGGTACCCATGTAGCCCGTAGCTTCCCTTTGCTTGATAGCTGCCGTGTTTCTCTAGCTGTGACCAAGGCCCTCTGCACAGCATCGTTTAGCACTAGGCCATAGCTGTTGAAGCGTTCCAATGCCTTCGTCGCCCCTTCGAAGAACTGAGTCGAGTCGATCGTCTGGCGTTTCGCGCGGTCGCGAAGCTGTTGGTTCTGTTCTGCTCTCGTCGTTGCTTCGTATTCCTTGAACTTGGCCATTTCCTCATCCAGCTGTGAAGGCATCGTCACGGCGCACAGAAAAGAGCAGCGTGGATCAGAGCATGTTTGGGAAATTGACGCGTGTGGTTCACGGCCTGCTGGTTTGTACAGTAGACCCAACGCGTCACGCCACAAGCCACGAGGGACCGTTGACCTATCGGTACGGATGCACGACAATTAGCGAATGTCTGGGCAACCCGGCAGGACGGAACGGTCCGGCACTAGTTTTGCGCCTGCCAAATCAGGCTAGAGGATCACATCTGTACCGGGACCTATATATTTGATTGGATAAGAGATTAGATACCGCATTGTGAGGTCGCTTAGCCAGACCTTCAAGTCCAGCTAGACATGCCAATCCATCTATCTACAAACAACATCATGACCTTGACCCCATTCTCGAGTATTATGATTGGTCGATCAAGCCTGTCCCGACACCTATATAACTTCGGCAGCCTTGCTGGTTAGGGTTGCCGCCGCTGTACGAGATGGACTTAGTGGGTGCAGCTGGTATGAGGGCCAGTTGTCTGCCGGTCGCCATGTTGCCTCGGCGGGCACTCGCACCCCAAGCGGGGCGGTCGCCCACCCCGAACGTTTTTGGTGGCCGCGCTGCGCAGTGATAGTAGCCATGACCCTCTGTCAGTTCCTCGGGATACGTGTTCATGTTCCGCGACGCCCTTTCAGTGCTGGGACCCGTCTCAGCTGGAACACAACTGGCCATCCTTTGGCCCTAACCCAAAATTCTGCTGCTGGATGCGCTGGCTGGTGAAGCACTGGTTGGACAAGATAGGTTGTAAGGCAAGTCAAGGGGCGGCTAGGAATGTTTGGCTATGACTGGTCGATAGCACGACAATGATTCTTACATGGGTGGCATGGCGCTCATGATAAGAAATCAGGGGGTTGGATGCTCAAGTGAGGGCACCATCTGAATGACTCAAATGCAAACCACAAGGCAGAGGGACTGTTTGACCTATGGATGCGGATACCTTGGATCCCACAGTTTCGTAAAGGGGGGTCGGTGCCGGCCCTATTACCATTGATACATAGTCATTACCATCGGTCAACCCGCGATACACAGCGCATATACTGCCTCGTCGCGGCTTACGAGAAGTGCGCTGCATCCGAGAACGCCATAGCCAAACAAATCGATCAGGCTCAGCCCACCGAGACCTTGGGTGCTGCGACATACCAGGCACATCTTCTCGGGTTTGTCTACATCGACTGTATCGTTACGTTGTACATGTGACTGATCGTTTCATGTCTTCCAGGCTGCACGTCCACTTTGGCTGTCCATCGATCCCAGGCCATGATATTGCTTTCTCCACGCGCCGACGTCACTAACAACCCTTCTCTTGCGAACACGACTCCAAGCCATAGAGAATGCTTCAGCTTGGCGTTTTCGAGTCTGCGATGGTGGGACTGGGGCCACAGTACTGGGTGGGCTATCAAGGACAAGGTCGTGCTCAGACGGGTCGCTGGCGGATGCGTCGTCCTCGGTTGAGCGGTGATCCTCGTCTGGAGGATAGTCCTCGTCTGGTCGGTGATCCTCCGTTGGTCGGCATTCCTTGGTCATCTGGTCACCTGCTCGGCCATCCTCTATTGGCTCGTCTGAGGGGATGACGACGGGGTGATCGTCGTACGTGGGAACTGGTTGGTCCTGCTGCGTAGGACCACTATCCTCTATCCTCGCATGTGACGTCGTGCATGGTTGGTCCATCGTGGTTGTTCTGGGCAAGGGACTCATCCAACTCAGCGTTCAATGTGATGGGGTTTTTATCGCTTGTACTGTCGTTCTAGATCTGGGTTGGTGTAATTGCTTGGGCTGCGTTATATGCGTTGTAGCGATCGTCAGATCTAGCCAGTTCAACATGCTGGACGTGGTGGTAACCCAGGGCTGGAATGTCTGGAACTACAGCGTCTTGGATGGGACCTCGGGACAGCGGGAGTTGGTCTCGGCCTTCGTGGGCTTGGGCTGAAAATTTGTATGCTTGGGTGATACGAATGCCCCGAATAAGGCTGGGATTCGAATCCACGATATCCAGCGGGGTTGGGGCATCCATAGATAGGAGACGTTCATGATCATGTCTGGATGACACACACACACTTACCAAAAACAACTATTTTTCTTGGCGCCCCGCTGTTAGGGCGCAACCTCGATACCTGCGCTAAAACAGGCACTTTATTCAGTAACTGACTATCTTTGCCAAGGCACAAGAGAATTTTTCTCACAAGCCGGATGGCACCCTTCCACGACGGGCCCCCAAACACGCCCGTGGCCGTCCCAAAGACGACCACCGGCGGCGTGCTCAAATCCCCGGTCCCTAAAAAGACATACGGCCCGGCAACTCCGAGCAGGCTCTGCCAGGCGCTGCTTGACGACATCAGCAGCAGCTCGTCACAGGTCTCCGAGGCTGACTTCACCGTTGTTTCCCCGCTGAAAGGAAAATTCCGAAATGTCAATGACAGCAGCACCACTAGAATGAAACAACCTCAGTTGAACGAAATCTCTACAGACCAAGCCATCTAACGCGATGCCGGGAGTAAAGCCTCCTCCTCAGAGTGCCAGGACCAAGTTGCCAAGATACTGGATGAAGACCGGCACCTTTATGAAGCCAGGATGACAATGTTTCAGGAGTGTGCTGCAGCAGTTGACAAGACACTTGAGAAAGCCGGAACCGAATTATACTCATATGCCAAGGAGTTCAGCACCTTCTCTAAATGCCTGAGCGAATGGCTAGAAACCAGAGATTCAACCATAAGGAAGGCCACTTCCAGGGGGATGGTGATGGGGAAGCCCACCATGTTGGTTTGTTTGTTTGTTTTGTATTTAACGTGGGGGGTAGCTCCTCAGTAGTGCAAACCACGCCTCCCAGAGCCTCTGCATCGCAGGGTTGTGGAGGTCTCAAGAAAATAAGTACAGTCAGTCCCGCTCACGGGCCCATCCCCGTTGTTGCGGCGGTATGACCTTGGGGTCATCCATCTGGTCCTTTAGGAACAGCTATCTATCGGAGACAGATTGTTGAAAAGAACTTGCTCTTCTCCACGAATTTTGCCCATTCTGTGCTCCTCTCTCCCAAGTATTGTAAACAGGCTGTCCTAGGCGAGTACCTAGGCAACAGCCGATTTTTCCCCAGCCTCTTATAAAAGAAAATATGTTGTGGTGTTTTCTTTTCACCACAGCTGCAGTGGTTATTCGAGTCTGTATGCCCAAAACGTTCGTGGCGGACACCACATAACGTACCGCAAGGATTTATCCGCCATTCAGAAGATCTGAGATAGCAAATACCGGTAGCGCAGTTGGTTCCGACCCCAAACACTCGAAATATGCCCTGGGGTCCGTATTGTACATGTTGTAGATGAATGCAGAAACGCAAGTCCTCGGACCAAGGTATTGCAACTTCCAAGGACTTTGCGTGCGATAGTTGTTAATAATTACCAGAATAATTGCTGCAATAAAGCTTATAAAGTTAACGACATGCGGCTGCCGGGAAGAAGAGGACATACGCAACCGCAGGATTCCAGAATGAAGCCTTGGTCTGTTACTACACCGCATAATTGGCAGCAGTATTGATCATCGCCTGTCAGGTCAATGCATCGGCGCTTGGTATAGAGATAGGTAACCTCGTTGTGACATGGTGTGAGGTTTTTATGCGTCCATGTTGGAGGTAAAGCCATCATAGGCCTTGCAAATGTGCACGGATGGTCATACAAGAAGTGTCGAAGGTGAGGAAAAGGAGAAGAAGACTGTACTCTCTAGGCGGACATTTTTGCTGTCTTATATGCAACGCATTTCCGCATTTACGATATTGCGGTCCCGGCGAGCCCTGCCACATTATAATACGACATAGTCGCCCGTTGAGTGCTCGTCTCGCGCATCTGGAAAGTAATTCTTGGGCCAGATACCGTGCCACTCGTTCAAGGCGTCACCGTCCAGGTGGTACACTCACTGACGACAACGTTTGCAAGGTGGGCGTCTCGCACCGTCTCTTATAGGCACTGCCACACGGCAAGGGTAGACCGTCGTTGGGCGTTTCCTCGCCAGCCTCTTCAAAAACACGCTGCATGTCCTAATGGCCCTCGCTACAGGGGTGTGACCACTTGTTTCAGGGCACTGCTACCTCCTAATACTCACTGTGGCTTACGTGCCATTCACAGCGCGTTGCCGACAAATTTACAGTTCTTGCTAATGATACAATTCCCGGCCATGATCCAGTTCCTGCCCATGGTCCATTTTCTGCTCATGATATGGAGTGGAGCTGCATATAGTCATAATGGCTCCACTTTACTGGAAGTCGTAGCAACACTATCGACCTTATGGCAGCGCTAAAAGCTCGCACAGTTTATCGTAGAAGCATTTGACGTCCCACCTGCTGTACTGCTGGAGCGTTTTTCGATCCTTCTCGAGAAGTCCGAAGCCGTACTTGAAAATCTCGGCGGTCGTGGCACCCTTCCAATCCGGACTTGTCACCAGCTGCTTCCTAGCTAGCTTTCTGCTCCGCAACCCAGCTTCATCCTGGAATGCTCCGTCGAGCGGCCGCCACTCGGCAATCTCAGACAACACCATCATCAAAGACCAGACTTGGTAGGGCCAGAGAGGTTCGTCTGCTTGGTATGCAGGGTGTTGGTACATGTCTGGGGCCGCTTGTCGCGCCCAATCGAGGACATATGGTTTGGTAAGATCTAGCTTGTTGGGGTCCCCAAAGAAGACGAAACTTTCGGTCCGCAAGGCTGTGTGGTGAATCTGAAAGTGGAAATAGAGGGATCGGACCTGTGTCGCGATAATTCTACCCAGAGCACGCCTGTCGTCCACAGAGGGCTTTGGGACGTGTAAGAGGACTTCACGGAGGTCCGTAGGCTTCTGAGAGCACTGATAGATCAGGGCGGTCCGTGTTTCATCGTAAAATAGGGCCTCAATCTTTAAGGTATGAGCCTCTTCTGGTCGGTTTGCTTCGGTGGATATCCTTTCTGTGACGGTTGCTAGATATTTGTTCAAGGCCGCTGGCGCCGCTGTTGTCCATTCGACCAGCCCGAAAGCAGTACATCCGTTCCGAACCCATTTGCCTATATTTCGCGGACTTTCTGGATCCGAATCAACGTTGTCTACCCCGTCTGACATTTTGCTTCGGCTGAGCTGTAAAATATCAGTATGAGTTTTCACGACACGGTAGAGTGGCAGACCTAGCAAGTTTCGGTGGCCAAGCTATGATAACTGCTCTCGGTGTTTCTGTTTGAACTTTCTGACTTAAAAAAATGGGAATGCCCCGAGAAGATATATGCTACCAGTAGCGATTACGTTCCCCTGCACATAACGCTGCCTGAAAGGACGCTGGCGAGGACGATGGTGGTACGGACCATGGACCCACCGTGCACTGCCGACTTCTCGCACATCACAGGCTTGCATCATTCTACCCACTGTGACTCATAAGAGTCACCGCCTCAGAATGGGAGACTTTCCCGCTGGTCGTCCGGTCACTACACACACGGGTTGAAGCCCGAGATCCAATCAACAGCAGCGGGTATGTGTAAGTGTACAGATATCTTTTGACAACCGAAATGATTGGATATACAGCATTCTCGTCCAAACATCAGGCTTAGCTGCCTGGAACAGTCCCCTCATGCCCTAAAGCGAGATCAGTCGCCCACCCCGGGAAAATATTAGCCAGAGGGACCTATGGATGCGGATGTCCTGAGATCCACAGTTTCAGGTCAGGGTAGGTTATTTGCGCTATTACGTGAATATAAGGAAATTTCAAAGGCGGCTAAGGATGGCTGGTAGCAATCGCAGCTAGAAATAGCTTAGGTGTCCTACATAAAAACACTGCCCTGGTAGTGACGGGTTCTCTTTCAACCAATCATTCTCGGCCGCTTTCAACTTGCCTTTCGTGACGTCTTTGACAACGAATGAATGAGCAACGACGAGCGTACTCCGGATGTCGCCCTGACGCGATTCTCGATACTGACAAGCTCGACGACCACGATACACCCGTTCCGTTCGAATATCCAGAACCGACACTCCCCCGTCGTCGCGGCCGCCCTCTGAAGCTCCCTATACCCGTCCAAAGGACGAAGCGACCGCGAGGCCGACCCAGAAAAGTATACGTGGTACACATGGCCACTGCGACTACAAGCGAAGAGGAGAACTTCGCTGGCTCCTTTGTCCAGCAAGATGAATATGGCATTTTCCTCTCGCACAAGGAGCGTGCTGATCACGCCCTCGCCCTGAACTTGCGCACTGAAGGCAGGATCACAGCCCCCGGAGCACCCTTCAAGCAATCCGATATCCTTGAAATTGAGTCTCTATTCGCCAATGAAGTACTTGTCCCCATTCTATTCGACAGTGAAATTCACGGCAATACCCGACTTTTTAACTCTCGTCTCGTCCGCACTATTACAAGCCAAGCAGCAGGAGACGGAACGCTCCTTGGTGGGACGATAAGTGCAGGAAAACAAAAAGGACGTACAAGCTGGCAACGAAGCAATTCGGAATAAACACCCCTAGTCTAACAAGCCAGCACTTAAAACTTCAGGTTTACAATCCATTTTGATGTCAACTTAACATTTACTTTGTTAACTTGCTAGATATAATACCGAAAAAAAGACTTGATCTACCTCTCTTATATCAAGAGAAATCAAATGCGAGAAAGAAATGGTATTTAAATGCAATACTCGAGATCCGGGTTTAGACATGACTAATTCTACCGTCAGTAGACAAGTTACTAAACAACCATTTCCGAAGTTTTCTAGAAATGATTCCCAGGCATGGCCAAAACTAACCCTTAGAGGGATCCAAAACAGATACATGTAATCTACTACGGAAGTCTACCTAAACAAGACCCGTGGCTCAAAATGACTCTGTTGGTAATCTTGGCGTGAAGTGGAGTACAATAAGCAGCGTCCCAATTTTTAGACGTTCTGATCCAGTTCCCGCCCACAATCCCGTTCCTGCCTATAATGGTCCGATTTCTGCTCATGATACACGTTGGTACAGAGTCTTGGCCGGACTCGTTGGGACCGTTTTTTGATATTCGTGCGTTTACCGGGCGGCGGCCGGTCTGGAATTCGCATTCATCTAGGGTCATTTCGGATGTGATCTCCACGTCTACATGTTCCTCTAGTTGGGCAGTTCTGGAGGGCATAAGTGTGCTACTTGACGGGTAGTTCAACTGCAGAGGCTTTTGTGAGCTGAGCTAGTTTTGCCTTTTGTGCTAGGATCTTTCCTTGTGCAGTTTTATCCCTTGGTCGAAGAGACAAGCCGGTAGGGATTCTGTGAGCATCTGCCACATCGGAAGTCACGAGGTTCAGCTCCTTGGTGATAGTTTTCCTAAGGGCGTATGTGCTGAGAGTTCTCGACCAGCCGAGCTGGTCTTCTAGAAGCCTTATGAAGATGCGGAGGTCTTCTTTCTGCGTCGGCGGTCTGGATGTGGTGGATGGCGGGCCTAAGAAGAGATGGGAACCGTGGCTCGTGAACATTCTAGACTGTAGTTGATCCTGATTTATAATACACGTTTAGGCCTGTACATCCTAGCTGCTGCTGAGGGCTATTCTGTCACACCTGGCGTCAAGCAGCGAAGGCTTGGCCAACGCGAATCGGGTCGGACGCCCGGAAATTAAGCAGTTCAGCTGGGGAGTCTATTGTGTCTGTCCGGCGCACACTTGGTGCCCGCTGACTCCGGGTCGGGCGCCTGCAGCGGGTGCGCGGCTCAGAACCAGTGCAAGCCGGAGATGAGGGTGCTCGCATGCTCAAGAATGTCCAACAGGACTGGCCATTCGGAGTCTCTCGACTCCCGCCCGTATGAATGGTCGACCGCAGGCCGCCCTCGGATATTGTGAGGGTGATCAGGTAGGCTGCCGTACCTGCAATATAACTTGGCGAATCACTTGGGAAGAATTCACCGAGATCAGAGCTCCATACCCCGACTGGTGATCTATTGTGTTCTCTACGGATTGCGTAACGCCACGCGATGGGCGGGTCCTTCTCTAGCGCAGGGTATCGCTCCATTGAACAGAGAATCTTGGTACCTATACTTGTTCCGATGCACACCACATAGATCTAACGGGCCCTTAACGTCCAGGTTGCCCCGTCGACAGCCAATCCCTCGCAGCCACCGCTAACCGGGCTGCTCCAGTCATCCGGCCGCCAGGTTGCACCGTACCCCGGACTGTAGCGGACATTACGACGCCAACCTCGCCCACGATTCAAGACATAGCAGAAGAAAGAACTGGGGCAGGCGAGTGAAGCTTTCACGAAAACACATCTAGTTCGTGTGCAATGGCCTGCTCGTCGGACGCGTGTCAGCCCAGCTGGCGGGTCAGCTGATGTCTGGCGTGTGTGTGCCTTGGCGCCTCTCGGCTTTGCAACTGTGACGAAATTCAGGGAGGATCACCTCAATTCTCCAGTGCTTATGTCTGCCGAATCATGTTACGCGACGCAAATGTCCTCGAGAATCAACGCCATGGAACTTCCCGGCCAGCTCCTTGTTGGGACGAGCGTGGTGGCTCTCCTGGCCGCTTGCCTCTACCAGCTGTTTGTGGTCCAAATCGGGAGTCAACGGCTTCTGCTAATACCACTTCATCGCCACCAAATGGCCAAATAATGAGAAGTCGGTTTGGTCACCCCGAACAAGGGCCATTGTTGGTAACGAGTTCCAGAGACTCATGTTGGCCTTGGTACAAGCGCGCCATCTTGCGGATGGATGGGGAAGACTCAAGTAACTTGACATGAGAATGCTGTACATCCAATCCTTTCGGTTGTTTGGGCAGCCCAGGAAGTCTGTGACTTTGTCGTCTGGACTCTTACTCAGCCACATATCAGCCGCGCATCAGCCGCGCATCAGCCATCCGTGCTTGTGTGCTCGCCTCTCCAGATTGAAATAAAAGCCCGTATTTCCATACTCGTGAACGGCCGCACTACACCATCAACAAGAACAGTTCCTGTTGCAACGACCATAGCACCACCACTGCTAACAGCCCAGCCCGACGCGAATTATCCGTGTTCAAACAAGTCGCAAGCGGCACGTAGTCAAGGCCAGTGCACCGCCACTACTACTACCGGGACACGAGTGACGCTATATCGACAGGCAGGGCACGAAAGCCACTATGGGAGACATACCACCACCGCAACGCCAGGGTCCCAACCGAGGCCGAAAGCAGCCCCAGCTGCCCAACCGAGCCCGAAAGCAGCGCCAGCAGGCAGGTACGCACAAGAGGTATTGCGAGTACTGCTAGGAGGACATAACCGAATACAGCTGGCTCAGGCACACACAACGAAGCAGGCACATAAACAACTGGTTCACGGACGGAAATTTCTCCCCTATGAGTGTATCCGAAGCAGAATAACCGAACGTCGTAAGGAACTGAAGCGTCGCTATTCACGCTGCTCAGAGGCCAAATCGAGATCTGGCTTTTTGAGCTAATTGTCTTTACCGTTGATGCGAAAGTAATGCTGCATTAATACAAGAGCTGTCCTGCTACGATAGGTCCTACTCTTGCGACTTGCAAGCAGCAATCATACGGTCACACCATCATCGGCTTATTAATGGGGCAACTGTTGGACTAATGTCTGGGCGAGTCCTGACCCGATAGACCGGAACGGTCTGAGGCTCGTCTCCGCATACAAGTTGGTCCAATATCACCCCCCTTGCAGAGAATCGAGGTCTGAATGGTCGCGATCGACACTGTTGGTAGTTCATGTACTGTCCAGCCCCCCAGGGAACAAGAAGGAGGTGATACGGGTGTAAACTTGCATCTGTCAGGCATATATATCCCTTAGTATCTAGTGTATGTACCAGGAGGATACCTGGTACCATCACATCCGTGCGGGCTCCGGTTCAGCTTGTCTTGGCGTTTTTCTATGGCAAATAAGGACCATGCAAGACTTCTTCTGTCAACCGAGGGTTTGTGCATTCCTGTATATTTCGTTTAAATAGTAGACGCCATGCATTAGGTAGAGCCATGCTCTTCGCGTTTTCGTGCCGGACGCGTTCCGTCCGTACGCTCGTTCACCTGTAAACCACAATGAAGGCAATTCATTGCTTTGACCATGGTCGCGACTTGCCTGCTTTTGACCTGATCTCTCGTCTCGGGGTGTGCCTAGGCTCCTGTAGGGCCTCCAAAACCTCCTCTTCAAAGGGTTCATCCTCATCTTCCTCTTCATCCTCCGACTCTGTTGGATCCATGCGATTCCAGCCTGGAAACCATCTATACCAGGACCCACATGTATTATTAGATAAGTGATTAGATACCGGATTGCGAGGTCACTGAGCCAGACCTTCAGGTCCAGCTAAACCTCCCAATCCATCCATCAGCAACATCATGACCTTGACCCCATACTCAAGTATTATGATTGATCGATCAAGCATGTTCCCACAGACTCAACAATTATCGGCTCATGTACTTCTGCGCCTGTAGCAGGGCCAATGGTACCTCTATGAGACAATATCTCTGTCATTGTTTTGAACTTTCCGTTAGGATTGGGGATCTTCTTCCGCTTCTTTGGCCGTAGCCCCACTTGTTCTCGTCGCCCACCGCACAAACAAGAACACAACCAGGCGCATTTGACCATTGCGCCATACGGCCTGGCTCGTCTGCCTTGTACGCAGGCTCTGAAGAGAGATGCGCTTGTTCTTGTTGTATCGGCTCAAGTATTGGAGACGATACACACACACTCTTGCCAAAAACAACTATTTTTCTTGGCGCCCCACTGTTAGGGGGGCTGCTGCGCAGTTGTCATGTCCTGCTGGGAAGGGGCCGTGGCAGTTCGCACAGCGGGAAGGTCGGTCACAGGGCTTGCCTGCCTTATGGTCGTCTACTCGGTCGCCGCAGTTATTGTAGCGGTGAGCCCGGTTGCACTTCCTAACAAAGCAATAGCCCTGACATCCCGGGTTGTGGATGCTAATGGTGGATTTCTTTTCAACCAGCCTTGAGCGACCGCTGTCGTTAAAGAGGCTGAACGGCCTCACGGGTGTTAGGAAAGAAATCATCCAGCTGCCTCTGCCTGTGGTGGGGTCTGGGCCTTGTCTAGACGGCTTGCATTTGACAGGGCGTGCTTTCGTCTGGGCATATACCTCGTCCTTGATCACGTCTTGTGTCTGGATGTGGTTGCCCAAGTTCACGTAGTCAGGGAAGTTCCAGGGGATGTCTGGCACCACGTATGTGAACCAGCGCTCTGGAACATCTACTGCTACAGCGTTTATAACTTTTCTTAGACGCAGCTTCGCTTCCGGACCTAGTAGTTGTTTCCTAATCCGCCTGGTTGCCACCCTGATAGACCAATTAGTGTTGGTCGGGCTGATGTCCGGCACGTCAGCCAGGCCTAGCCCAAGGTCTTCGAACTCCTTACAGATTGCAGAGCGAAGAGTGAAGGGCTGCTCCCTCCGCATGTGCCGATCTTCATCTAGGCGTATCAAAATTCGTGTCTCATCCCTGGCTAGGGCGGACGCCGAGGCCCTGGTGCGGGCCGTGCGGGCGGAGGGTCCGGCACCGGCATGGGTGGTAGCGTTGCCCCCTGAATTCGTCGCGTGGCCTGCTTTGGCCACTCCCGCCCAGGAGAACTGCTTGGACGACTTCCCCCCAGGGCCTTGCCCGCACGCGTTCGTGGTGTTGGTGGTGGTTGTGGTGTCAATAGGCCCAGAGCTTTTGACACGGATGGGCGCATAGAAAGTGCCGTTAGTGCTAGAAAAGATAGCAGTGTTCAGGTGACTACAAATCATCTCAACCACTAAGCGGGCCTCCCTCTTATACTCGGACTGTTGTGGTCCGCTATAAGTGCTTACATAGTCGTCCAGGCAGCCAGCGAGCTGTCCTAGGACTATTCGTTTAATGCGGGCCTTGTGCTCAAGGTCCTCTAGGTGAGGTGTAAAAGCGCTGGCGGCAATGTCATAATCTTGGGTAGCGGGCTTTCCAGTAAGGTCAACTGTTAGGGGAGCCTGGACATTGGCAGGCTTCCTCTTCTTATTCCGCTGGTCGAGGTTGGAAGGGGTGATAGGCTCAGGTTCTCGGGTGAACTGAGCAGCGTCCGTTGCGACTCTGATGGATCGCTGGGGGGTTATGAGGGCCGCCATCGTCGAGTGCTGAGTTCGTCCCCTTTGCAGGGAGCGAAGCGGATCTCGAGATTCTGCCCTTGGTGTTTAGATTCAAAACAATGGCACAATGCCAAGTGTTAAGAATTTTGCTGTGAGGTGCGCAGATGTACTAACAAGTGCAAGCGCATGGATGGTTTTTACCAGGAAAGGTGCCATAACGCGTGGTGAGCGCGCGGAGGGAGGGCAGCCAAAGGGTCACCCAGTAGGGTCAGGAGTCCGGTCAGTTAGGAGCCTAAAGCCGTTTATGATCCTCAATAGACAAAATATGGCGTTGGGGAACACACTCTCGTGGCTGACAGGTCTTTATGGGAAACAGTTTGCATGAATGTTCATGCCAGGACGTTTCCATCTATAAGCCGCCAGTCTCTGCTGCGTTCCGGGATGCCAGAGTCATCCTGAACATGCCCTGGCAGGTTTCCAAACTGGGCATTTTCTCGGGCATTAAATGACGCCTAGAGCCCTAGATATGCCCCGTTCAATGGGCGACGACTTGAGCTTCCCAACGTTCCTAGTGCTGATTCACGCCCTCAGCTCCATCGCCTTTGATGACGCACACTGCGGCTACAGCCTGGTCCTTGCCACCTTCAAGGGAGTCGACGCGATGTTGGAGGTCCTGTATCCGCCCTTCTAGCTTTTGAATGTGGGCCCATTGCTGCGTAAAGACTGCAGCGACCTCCTTTTGAAACCCCCGAAATATAGCCTCTGTGACGACGACTATGCCCTCTCCCACGTCTTGAGATGGCGGGTGTCTGTTAGACATGCTTGGGTAAGAGGTTCGGCTTTCAGGAGCGCTTTCGTCTTTCATCTAGCTGATGCTGCTGGTCCACTGTCGGCTCGTGCTGCAGTCTGTTTAGCTGGAGCATACAACGCCATTTGGTTTCTATTCGCATACCTATACAAAAAGTAGGAAAATTGTCGCAGGTGGAAGCCACTATAAATATTGGTATACCCGGTGTGACACTCTCTAACAAACACGTCAGCTACCCGTATAGACACTATTGGCGCGTGATGTCTGTTTGTCGTTGCGTACAATCGCCTTTCGCTGCCAGTCTCCTGGAAGTGATATTATTGGTATGGTACTAAGAGAGACCAGGAAGGGGGATTGAAATTTAGGTTGAAGCCGGAGTAATGGCGAAACGGCTTAAGAATTCCTAACGAGTCGTATTAGAGCAGGTCCGCTCCTCCCCGATGATCGATATATGAGTTTACCCGCGTCTAGTGAGTCATTCAGGTAAGCTATGTTTGAGACTCTTCCTGAAGAACTGGCCATCCAAACCCGTTCTGCTTTGCAGGATGGCAGGTGGTAATAGAGATCATAAGATTATTGGACAACAGCCAAGAAAGATGAAACAGGATCATAAGCAGGGACTGAATTGTGAATAGAAGCGGGCTGGAACTGAATTATAAGCAGCACGTAAAACGAGCTTGGCGTCCCAGCTTGGGGTTTCATAGCGTCTGATATGTACGTAAATGAATGGTCATGAATGACTCATAGCCAGCTTCGGTTTATCTCATATGTCTCGTTTATGAAAAATGGTAGATAGACAAGAGGTGAGCCGAGGAGCAACGCGACGCGACTGTCGGTCTACAATGCCAAGCACTGCACAATTGGCTGCAGTGTGAAGCACCTTTTGCTGCGGGTTAGCCCGAACTTGGTGGACTGACAGCGTTGCCCCCCTGATTGCCTGATTGCCAAATCAGGCTGGAGAATCACGAAGTGATAACCAATCATTATCAGAAACAGGGGTTCAGGTGATTCGGCAGCCGTCAACGTTGGTTATGGGTGGGCTGAGCCTGGCGTGACAACGCAGGCGACCCCTTGAATCGCCACACCACAAGCAGCAGCAGCAGTCGACTACATCAGTTCCCAGCCCCTGACAAGAAGCGAGCCGGTCAATTCGCAGCAGCGGCTCTCACCCCTGCCCTGTCATTCTTCCTCCCTGGTACATACGTAATCGAACTTCCAGCGGGGCTGGGCATTCCGGCAACCTAGGTTGCAAGCAGGCGCTGCAGGATTTCCCCTAGTGGGAAGCAATGCTACCAAAGCCCCAACCTCCACATGGCTGCATTCCACTGTGAAGACGGTACAGTGGTCCGCGGGGTGTCTTTATTATTGTGCAGGCCGGCAAATGCGCCACTGATCCGAGCCTGTCCGCTTTGAGAAGCCGGTGCAAGATATTAAAGGCCCTTCCAGCAATCAGGGATATCACTCGGTCTCGATGTTAGCAAATATCATATCTCGTTACAAAAATGCGCTGATGGGTGCAAAGCAAAACAAAACAGTACCACTGACGGCTACGTCAGTCCACAGCCTACGCCAACCCAACCCAAACCATCAGCAATATCTTGACCTTGACCCCATACTCGAGTATTATGATTGATCGGTTAACCCTGTTCTAACAGTAAGATTGATTTCGTTCGTACATGAATCTCACTTTGCCTGCACACTGCCTGTGCTTGGTCTTAAGGTGTGGAGATCGCCCAGCTACAGTGAGTGACCATGCAGTCCAAGGTTCCCGAATGCGGATAGGCCACGAAATATGCAGGCGAGTCAATATTCTTCTGGTTGTTTTGTCATTTTGAGAAAACAGCAAGTCTAGCCGGGGCCGTGCTCGTGTATACGTGTCGCTGCGTCGCGTCACCACGGGCTCCCACTAACGACAAATACAGTAACAAGTAGCCTTGTAACATAGCTGGCCCTATGCCAGTTCATATTAAAGCTACTAGAAAGAATGAAGGGTCGTGTTTTCACACAGGGCACCCAAGCTATTTCTTAGCCGGGGCGATCAGTCGAAGTTGGACGAACGTGGTGTCACGGACCAGTGATAGCATGATCCACGCCATACCAGGCAGAACCGGAGGCGTATCTGCTGCGTCTCTTCTAATGACTAGAAACCTGACATCGGTCCTATTGCGCCGCCGTGAGTCGCTCTCATTCAATGTGGCACCAGGTTCCCCTTTTGACTGCGGATTCCTTGAGGGACCTTATTCAACATGTTTGATCCGTCACAAGCGACACTGCCCCCTCCAAGCAGCACTTGAAGCTGATCGCTTGCAGTTAGGAGGTAGGTACCTACATCTACACTGACCCACCAATATTATGCGTACACCCAACGCCCCACAGACGCGTTCAGAATCAATCCACCGTCACCCTCTTCTTTTAAACAACCACAACGCAGTCAAATAATGGAGGGTTTTGCTGTGCTGCACGCAAATACACTAACAAGTGTAAGCGCACGGATGATTTTTACAAGGAAAGGTGGCAAGAATCTACTGATACACTGCAAATACGAATCAACCACCGAGCTGGACATGTATCACGGAAGTCTAGGTAGCAGGGAATTGAAAGGCATTCTATTACGATGTAGCATGTGGCCACCGAAGAAGAACAGAGAGGCTTTCCCATTCTCAGCCCGCCATACACCTGTCCATTTGCAGCCACTTTGATGTCAGCGCATACCTGCCTCGCCCCTTTGCCCATTCAAGTTCAGCCAGCCATTCAAAATAATGTACCATTATTTCTTTCACTGTCGCTCGGCGACATACCAAGTAGGGGCGAGTCTTCCCCGTCTGCTATCCAGTCCCGTGTCGGTTGGCTGGGGACCCGAGGGCAGGGACGTGACGGCGGTAAGTGTCCACCATCACGCTTCGAGTCAACTGTAGTCCTTCTCTTTTTCCCACTGAGCGTTAGCCTCGTCTATTGTGACGTTATATCTCTCAACTGTCAAACAGAGCTCCTGTATATGTTTCTGAAATAAACGGACAAGTGGTGTACATTGTTCATTGAGTTCTCGAAAATATGCAGCCTCTGCTCGAAGCCGTCCGTTTTCACGAGACAGCTCAGCGATCAGATCCTCACGTCTCGCGATCGGTGCCTTTTTAGCTTTTAGATTCTCAGCACTCATATCTAGGACTGTCGTGGTGCCACCAAGTCTTTTAATTTCAATGTCCGTTGGCGTGAGAGAAGGCTGTGGTCTGTGGGTGACTTTTGGTCGTGACCTGGGACTCAAACAAAGTGGTCGACTCATCTTGGAGGTATTAAAAGCCGGATGGTACTCGAACGCAGGAGAGGCAAGGCCTGCAATGTTATATGTCGTTTAACAGCTCATATAGGGTCAACTGTTTATCCCATCGGTGGAAGGAGGATTCCAGCAATGACGAGGTCTATGAAGGAATGCTCTTAGGTCTTTTATGCCGCACTAGATGTATAGAAGTGGGCATCGGACGTGTAAGAGTCTGTAAGTTAATTCAGGACATTGTACAGTTATAGCTTTCTATGAAAGTTATTTAATGGCCATAGCAGAAGTCTTATTAGAAACGCCAAAAGTGAAGCTTGTTCAAGACTTATCATGATTCTGATCTTATTTTCCCACTTGTAACAAAACAAGATTGACGGCTCATTCTGGCGAGGGATGCTATTAACACTCTTTGTTACTAGTAGTGTCAGGCCTCGATGACAGACTCGGGCATAAACGGGTGCAGCAGTGTCGCCACAAAGATCCGGTCCTGGGCGCCGATTCACAGCTTATCACCCCTGTGCTTGTAGCTCTAATTCATCCTTAGCCGCTAAAGGGATATACCTTAAGATACAGTAAGTACCAAACTTAAATAAATAGTGTTATATAGCTTGGATCAAAAACTAGCCTAAATAATATCAGTATGTATTAGATGTTTCTAATTATGGCTTATTTAAATAAAAAACTGCTAAATAGGCACAAGATAAAAATAATATTATATATAAAGAATACTAAATAAGTTGCTTATTTTTTAATATTAATTAGCTAGTTATATATTGTGATATATTTATAAAGACTATATCTTTCTGACCCAATCCTAGAGAATGGCACGTCTTCCTCAAGAACTAGTAGATGAGATTACATATCATCTCGACCCTATTTCTCTAGCTAGGACTGTCAGTGCGGGAATAAGCGTGCCACCAACTCTGATACCACGGGCACAGTTTGGTAATGTCTGGGCTTCAATCCTTAACGTTATGGATTGTCAGATTCTTGAGCGAGCCTTTTCTAACCAAGGGAATGCTGTTTTGATTGGCTATGACCTTGACTTGCTTGCTCAACACTCGTTTAAACAGCCCCCAAGGAAGCCTATAAACCTTATGCTCACATGGTATGGCGCAGAGCATGACCTTGCATTGAACGAGACGATAAAGGATAACCGAGTTAAACACTACAAAACCCCTCAAATCAACCTCGAGATTGCCTTACATCGAATATTGCAAGAAGTACAGGTCAGTGACCTCAGCAAATACATCAAAAGCGATCTTCAGACAAGCGTAGCATATTTTCAAAACGATACACAATTACGAAGTGTAAAGGCACGGGTGAAGCAATTAGACGCACACTTATACTCATCAAAGATATATGATTTGAATTTAGACAATTTACGCATGCCCTATACGGTCTACTGGTCGATATCTGGTCTCTCGGGGCTTTTATAGCCAGGCTGGAATTGTGGCGAGTTGCCTTTGTACCCAGACCATTATAGGACCTCTGGGACACTTTGGGACGAGGTATTGGTCGAGTTTGCTCTAGCACATCTCAAGCATCACGGCAACAGAAGACTACTCGCCTTTGTCCTGGAATGCATGTTGGTGGTCAAGCCAAGTGGACGCCGGACGGCGCCAGCATGCCACGCCAAGGCACTGGAGCTGTTTGGGAAAGAGACGCGCCAGTGCGACGTGGCAATTTCGTCCTTCCAGACGACCACTGATCACTATGCTCCACCATTGCGAGAAGATGACGAAGAGGCTGAAGACGAGAACAACCCGTCCACGCCCAAGGCTTTGCCAGCGGACAGGGCTCCCATACAACAAGAGTATGAAACAAGCCTCATTGCCTCCTTGGGCTATGATGACACTGATGCCATTGATCGTCGGCTCGGGCTGATGCCGTCGGACATGTCTACCGTAACGGATGACCCAGCTCAAAACTAACACTCTTTGATGCAGTCTGGCAGCAGACTCCATAGTTGTTATGAGCATATGTCCCTTGGTACGGCCCTGATCTTTGGCCTGCAATGCCGTCCGTTCGGTAGCATGGGGACTCGGCGAGGGTACCTGCTTGCCGACGACTACGATTGGAAACGCCGGGATTGCATTGGCGGTCATGGAGGCAGCCATCAGCTGTGGTCCGAATGTACCTGGAGCGTATTGATGGAAGAGGATGGTCTCGAAATGGCGAGACGCATCAATGCGCAGTGTGCTTGCTATTGTTATCCAGGTAAGCTAATTGTGACAGGTTAGATGGACTGGAGGTTCTTGGCGGCGTCGCATGATTGTTCTTAGCTGGTATAAACACAGCCGCACTGTAATGTTACCGAATTTTAATAACGGATGCTGTTTTCCACGCCGTATCCAAATAACTTGCATAAAGGTCGACAGCCTCATGGCGGCATCCAGGCGAATCTCAACTCACTACTATACTTAGAACAGTAAGGTCTTTGCATACACTCATTTTTCGGTCAGGGATATATTGTGTTGGTCACATTGCAGCTGGCAGTCAGAACGCTTATTGAACGAACGGCGAAGATGTCGTACGGGACAGGCTTCTCATTGCCATTGTAGCGGTCGATGCAGGCTAGGGTGTACGAGTTGATGTCGGCCCTTGCATAAAAGAGCTCTTGTACCACTCTCCTAGGTCACACTCTAGAACTGTAATATGGGTTTGGTGCATGATAAACGGTCGGAATTCTCAGCACAGCTTCAACGTGCCCAGGCCCAGGCTAAAGCAATAACCGAACTACGCAAGCTTCGAGCCAAGCGCAACGTTTAAAATGCTCTGAACACAAGGAACGGCCCTGATATAACTCTAACACTGCCTCTCTCTCTTCCCATCGGCAGTGAAGTCCTTACCAATCGCAAAAAAGACAAATATCAAGGGCCGTATAAGGTTCTATCGGTAACAGACCGAGAAGTGACCGTTGAAATGGTTAACGGACCAACCCTATTCAACCGCACGCACGTCAAGCCGTACTACCGTCACCCTGACGCGATTCTGATACTGACAAGCTCGACGACCACGATACCCCCGTTCCGTTCGAATATCCAGAACCGACACTCCCCCGTCGTCGCGGCCGCCCTCTGAAGCTCCCTACACCCGTCCAAAGGACGAAGCGACCGCGAGGCCGACCCAGAAAAGTATACGTGGTACACATGGCCACTGCGACTACAAGCGAAGAGGAGAACTTCGCTGGCTCCTTTGTCCAGCAAGATGAATATGGCATTTTCCTCTCGCACAAGGAGCGTGCTGATCACGCCCTCGCCCTGAACTTGCGCACTGAAGGCAGGATCACAGCCCCCGGAGCACCCTTCGAGCAATCCGATATCCTTGAGATTGAGTCCCTATTCGCCGATCAAGTGCTTGTCCCCGTTCTGTTCGACAGTAAGATTCACGGCGACACCCGACTTTTTATGTTTGTTTGTTTTGTATTTAACGTGGGGGGTAGCTCCTCAGTAGTGCAAACCACGCCTCCCAGAGCCTCTGCATCGCAGGGTTGTGGAGGTCTCAAGAAAATAAGTACAGTCAGTCCCGCTCACGGGCCCATCCCCGTTATTGCGGCGGTATGACCTTGGGGTCATCCATCTGGCCCTTCAGGAACAGCTATCTATCAGAGACAGATTGTTGAAAAGAACTTGCTCTTCTCCACGAATTTTGCCCATTCTGTGCTCCTCTCTCCCAAGTATTGTAAACAGGCTGTCCTAGGCGAGTACCTAAACAATAACCGATTTTTCCCTAGCCTCTTACAAAAGAAAATATATTGTGGTGTTTTCTTTTCACCACAGCTGCAGTGATTATTCGAGTCTGTATGCCCAAAACGTTCGTGGTATCTGGCAAAATTGCCATGTCCAGATCTGGCCGCTAGAAGTCTGTGTAGAGTGCTCCTCTTAAAGGATATAAGGCCTCTTTCAGTTATTGTATGTGAGTATACTTCTTGATATCTAGGTTCTGATTGGTCTTTCTACTATTGTTTGAACTCTTTCTTGCCCTTTCTCTTGAGATCTTTCTTGACCCAAGAGTTTGTTTGTTTGTTTGTTTGTATTTAACGTGGGGGGTAGCTCCTCAGTAGTGCAAACCACGCCTCCCAGAGCCTCTGCATCGCAGGGTTGTGGAGGTCTCAAGAAAATAAGTACAGTCAGTCCCGCTCACGGGCCCATCCCCATTGTTGCGGCGGTATGACCTTGGGGTCATCCATCTGGTCCTTCAGGAACAGCTATCTATCGGAGACAGATTGTTGAAAAGAACTCTTGACCCAAGAGATTATAGGAAGGTTTGTTGTGTCTGTTTCTAGCATAGCACCCTCTTTTGCTAATATGTTGGCAGCTTCGTTGCCATCAATATCTCTGTGTCCAGGAATCCATTTGACGGTCACTCCAGGAGTGTGTGCTGTGGCGAGTTCTTGGAATCGCAGAAAAATGATTTGTGATGTCTCGGGTGGAGTCCCATTGAGCCCATCCACCACTGATGTGTTGTCCAGGCAGACATATAGCTGTTTTTTGTATCCAAGTACTCTCTCTTAGCTTTTCGGACCACACAGCGAAATTCCCGTCGGGCTGAATTTCGCCCTTTTTGGCTTGTAGTCTGTTTAGAAAGGGCCCTGTATGTCTGAGCAGCTGCTTTGCAGTCATCATTCCACCAAGCAGTGGGCCTAGATTGACGGGGCTTCTTGCCCACTATCCTGATACAGCCTTGAATCATGTATAAATGAGACAATTAGGCAGGCTAGTATTTGGAACATGCATATAAAAAAGCCGGGATTTGGAAAGGAATGTCCATGGACCAGTTACTATAAGCTGCGGCTATATTCTGCAGCAAAACAAAAAGTCTCATGCAAGGAGCGCCGGCGAACAGGGGCTCTTTCAATGCATCCAAAAGAGAAAATGTCCCATACTACCTACTCATTCGGATCTAGCTAGGAAGCAGCTGGTGACAAGTCCGGATTGGAAAGGACCGAAAAGGTGTGACATCGTTTTCGCGAGACAGCCGGTGAAGGCCATGTTCACGGCCTTGATGGACGCGTCCGCCGTAATAGAGACAACGCTCTCCTGTGTACCGGATGACTGATTCCTGAGACCAAGGGGAGACACTGGCAACTTATGCCTGTGGACCAACTTACAGCACGTTTGAAGTGCTATCTTGGCTTCTCGGATAGATACAGAAGGATAACAGGATTTTTTAACACATTTCAGGATAAGTCTGATTGTACGTATGTCGAGGATAATTTGACTCAACATTCCATGAACTTTCACAGGCGCTGTGGCGAGATGAGTCACCCGCGCACGCTACTTTGGTGGTATATGGGCGGGCGGCATCTTCGAAGTTGCGAATGCTATATTTGAAGGAGTGTTCGGGATTTCTCTCGAATTTCGTTTCTCTAGAATTCTTGAAGGCTGGAGCTACCGCTAATGGTCGGAAACAGGTAATGTAGCCAAAGTTGGCTGTTGGTAACATGGCTCCCAGTCCTATTTTGTGCTTCTATCCTATTCGCGGAAAACTGCTGAGTCCGCCTATTTTCTTCCACCTCGCACAAAGATTGCCGAAGAAGCCATCTTTGGTCACGGGTTTTGCTCGGATAGGCTCTCGCAGTAGATAAAACATGTCTTTCTGGACGTCTTCCAGGGTTTCAGGAAACGTCGGATATTGCTATCTCGTACCCCTATGTCTATGTACGGTTGAACTGGCCGCGTCCATACCTGGATCTCGAGTGTCGCGCTTGCAAACTCCAAGTCGCTATAGCCACATGCGGCTGCTTCGAGTACTTTGTATCAGGAGCCATAACTGGACCGTCTTCGAGTTTTGTTTTCAGAGTCTCACACGTCCCAATTCTGCTCTTGCATCTAGGGTGGCTGATTAAGATCATGATTTTGATCTCATTTTCCCACTTGCAATAAAACAACATTAACGGCTCATTTTGGCGAGGAATGCTATCAACAATCTTTGCTACCAGCAGCGTCAGGCCTCGACGACGGACTTGGACATGAGCGGGTCCAGCAGTGTCGCCACGAAGATCCGGTCCTGGGCGCCGATTCGCAGCTTTTCCCTAGCCAGGACTGTCAGTGCGGGAATAAGCGTGCCACCAACTCTGATACCACGGGCGCAGTTTGGTAATGTCTGGGCTTTAATTCATAACGTTACGGATTGTCATCGCAGGCCAGCATGTTGCCGTAAGATCTAGGACGTTTCCATCATAGGTTATGTTGAGGGCCAATACACATATGGGTGAACATTGTTGTATTGGAGATGCTTTAGGTGTGTGAAGCTATCTCGGCTTGCTAGCTACATATCTGGAGAGCTAAGACTTGGGATAACCAGTAGAGCCCCCTTCTACAAGCCCAACAAACGAGTGCCCAGACCTTCACGCTATTCCCCACTATTATGGCTTCCGGTATTTGACTGCACTTATCCTCGAGCTATTTTCAAAACGATGTCACTAATGTGAGATAGATTCATCCGCCCCACAGACTTCTGTCAATATACCATCCGACCTTGCCCTCAAGAACGTTTTAAACGGTCGCCTGGCCCAGCAAATGACCGAATCACTCCCTGATCGGTGTGGAAGCGAACTTGATGCTTTCGGTATTATCATGGTATGGTCTTTGGCCAGATTAGAAGTTGACAAGGACATACCGGAGACGGTGCAAATAACTAGTCGCATTAGTCTTGAAATGCGCGAGGGCATCTTTCTCGTACCCATGACGCTGCTCACTTGCATATGCACATGGAACAGAAGCCTCGCTTCTGGTGGTATCATCGACTACAAACGACCAGTCACCAAATGCATATTTACCGCTGATAGAACACCTCGGGTGCCCTCTCGACGCTCCGAAACGGAAGCAGGGTCTCCCCCCGCAATGATAGCATATCCCACGCCAAGCAGATCGATCTCACAGCCTTGCCGACGCCTACTTTCTCCCACCTACCGTTCCACATTATCACAGTCAACTTCTCCAACGCCCACCACACCCACACCACACCCACACTCACACCTCCCTCTACGTACATGCGACACCGCGCATGCCAAAATAGGAAGATGGCATCCGAGGCTGCGACCTCCGGCCCGATCACCATCCACGGCATGGAGACCCTGGCCAAGCTCTAGGAATGCTTTGACACGAAGCCCAAGGCACGCACTCCCATTCGACGTTACTCTTCTTCATCCCACGCATGACGCCATTCGATACGAGCTAAATCACTCCAGGTCAACTGGGATAAGCTTGCTGCCAGAGCCGGCATCAGGGACGCTGCTGCAGCCAGAGCTCACTACGAACCGTTCCTCAACCCCGTTCGCCCCGACATCTGCCTGACCGACCGAGACCGTTGGCATCGACGACACCCGACCAACAAGCCCTACGGTCGACATTTTTTACAAGCAGTACGAGTTCACGCTCCTGCAACAGTAGAGATATGATGATGGGCACAGCGTCAAGGATTGCACACATAGTACAACGGGGAAGCCATGTGACCTGCTTAAGGTCGTAATGACCTCACGCCTCATGCCGACGGTAGAATGGTAAAAACAGCTATCGGTCATCACACTGTCGAGGCGTCCGTTTCTTGTGCCCTCAACGTGCAGCACCGCGACTCGGGAAGAGAAGTCTACTGGGGTGTTCGCTCAACGCATGACCAACCGCCAAACAATTGATAGTTCTCTGGTTATTAGGATGAAGAACTACCTACTGCGTGGTCACCATTACACATATTATCGCCAACTACCTATCAATACCTTCCGCCCCGAGTACTCCACACTAAAAATCGTACTCGAAACCTGACATTGTCAACTGGGAGTCGTAGGACATTGTTACCGGTGACCATACTCTCGTTGTGACCCTGGACCCTGGACCATGCTCCTAGTCCTCGTAGCCTCCCGTTCGTCTGCTCATCTATGGCCTTTGGTCGCCCCTACACAATATCCCTAACCCAACCCTCCCAGCACCAGCCCCAGAACCAGAGCAGTAAGGCGATTAGTGTTGTTGCTTGGCAGACTTTGTGGCCATCGCAGCCGGCGCCTGATACTTCTATGCGTCGCCGCCAGTGCTGAGAAGGGGCTCACGGTGCGTCGCCTCCTTCTCCTGCTGTACGAGAGAGCAGCACCCACAGCAGAGCGACTCGGCAACATCCACGAGACAGCTGCCATCAAAGTTGTTTTTCCCGCGCATGTCCGCCCGCTGCATCGCCATGGGGATCCAGTGGAGACCGACACAGGACGACCTGCAGAGGAGCAGGAACTGAAGAGGAAAAGACTCATCAGAGTAGCTCGTCTCCATCACTTCCACCAACAGCTTCTCCGCTTCCTCCCATCGGCCTTGATTCCCATACGTCGACGCCAGGTTGGCCATGCTGGTCAGCGTGGGAGGATGATCCGCCCCGAGTTTCTGCTTGCGAGCTTCCATCACTTCCACAAGACGCTCCTCCGCTTGGCTCCATTGACCTCTTAGGCCACACACTTGGCCTACCATCTCGATGGCAGCAATACTTTCCTCGTACGTCCGCCCAAGTATCTTTGTTCTGTACTTTATCGCATCCTCTGCCATGATTTGTGCCTCAGACCCCTGGCCCATCATCCGAAGATACCATGCAGCTTTATAAAGGATGGAAGCCTATATCTCCAATGACACTCGGTCTTTTGGCCGCTGCGCTGCCGCCGATTTTCCAGTATCCGCGCTTCTTCTGTTCAGAATCATTGACATGAGAAGCTCCCGCCGAGATCTTGTGGCCCGTGCCCATGGTACTCTTGACATGGGGCCACAATAGTAATCAGGCAGAGGACTCGGGAAAAGGGCCAGTATCCGCAGGAGTTGGCATAGCTGCAGATAAAGAATGTCGCTGGTATTTATCTTGTCAATGAAGTGAAAGGTGCCTTCTGTGCGTATCGCAATGTTCCGTTGCGTGGTGGAAAGACTGATAGATTTTATAGAATAATAACTGCAAAAAGAGTGACTGGCCCCAAGATGAACCCTAATGGCTCCCCTTTACTACAGTTGAGGTGGCTCGAGTAGCTTTCAAGGTGACTCAAAACACCAGAAACTTAGCAGGGGTTCAACGACAGCTATATCTCCCATTCAAGGCACGGCCTTCCAGCATTTGGCCGACAATCTAGGGCTCGGCCAAATCCATCCCTCCCAAACTAAACTGAACCTAGGATTCCGGTGTGCATGCTGGCTGGCTGAAGATGTAAGGAGCTCGGGCTAGAGCATCTGCTTGAGTACTCCATACCCCTCTACCCATTCTCACGAGCTCCAGACCAAACTCCCCCAAAATTTCTTTGGCAGTAGGCTCCCCCTTGCGTAGAGACTCGGCAAATTCCCCGTCTGTACCGAAGGTCGCCGTCTTCCACAAGTCTTTCCACTTCTTAATCGCAAGTACAGCCTCGTGATTCTGACTCTGCACTTTCGTGGCAACCATGTAAAAAGAGGATCTTGTTGTGTGGCCCTCGCACGGTTTATGCAGCTGGATGAAAGAGAACTTGTTGAAAGTATGCAGAAAACACACCGTGTCCCAGGCTTCAACGTTGTGGAAGAGCACTATCATTGTTCCGCCTGGTCTGGTATGTTCGAGACCGAGAGCGAGCTGTGCGTTTTTCAGCCTCGCGGGCTCTCGTGTTTCGCGATAAGGAGCTCGGTTTTGTGTTCGGAGGACCTGTCCGTCGCACAGTACTAGGTCGAAGAGTCGCGTCTCCTCAATTTGTCGTGGAAGGAAGCTTCTCACGTCTGGATGCTCGCTTGGGATGCTCGTAACACCCAGGTCTTCGGCTAGCATTGTTACATCCAGGAATTTGACGCAGTATCTGTCATCTTCATTCAGAAGAATGCTATATCCTCCTTCGGATGGAGGTAGGCTGAACCCAGTAGCTGTGGCATCGGGATTCAGCTTCAAGGCTGTCGCAAGGAAGCCGCCCGGGGCTGCGCACATATCAAGGACAGTGCCCGCGAATCGGCTGATCGCAAACCCAGACGTGACCTTGTGAACTCCATTGCCGATTCTCTGCATCAGTTTGAAATGATGACGAGACGTATGCGCGTCGGCTTTATCGGCATTCCGTCGTTGCTTTCGGAAGAATTTGTCGCCTGCTGGGTTCTCCCATCCCTATTCTGAATTGGCATCATTACGCCATGGTATATATGAGTCAATTAGCTTACCTGTCGCCGTAGGTTGGCCAGTGTGCGATACTCTTCGACTTGCTCCAGGAGATAGGTCACTATGATGCTGGTATTGTCTTGTATCTCCTGGTCGGCCACACATGATGCCACATGCCCAGCGGGCTGTAGACCTGCCCTTGTCAAGACGCTATTGCCAAGCGCTTCATCTTGTGACTGAAATTGGGCAGATAAATCCATATGGAAGATGGGGAGAAGTGAAAGCAAGAGAAATGGCAAAGGAAGAGGCCGTGTTAATAGTAGAATAGGTAATCTACAAAGAGAGTGGGTTAGTGAACAAGGCCACAGCTTCAGCAATTGTTAAGAAGACAGGAGAGGGTCGGGGATAAATAGTACGAAACACGCCTAAGTGAGGAGGTTTCATCGATGATTGCCGTGCCACACAAGTTGCCTCCAGATTGCCGTGCAATCAACGGAGGCATGCATTTAGTGTAACTTTGTCGGACTTGGGACACTTGCATAGACAACAGTATCAGCACAGATTGGGGTGACTTGCGTTCGTTCGTGTTCGTTATCTCTCTACATACAAATGGGAGGGGATCTGGGTGCTATATGTATGCCCCAAGATCCCTTGTCCCTAGGCAACCGCGCTTCCTTCCAGAAGATGCCCGAATTGCCATAAAAAGGCCTTTCAGGTCGTCCTTTGCCACCATCCCTCACCCGGAGGAGGGGGGACACGATGGGAACCGCTGCTTAAATGCAGTGGATGTCTACGGACGAGACCCGCTAGCTGGGCGGCTGTATATATAGAGTATAAGACCTAGCCTAGCACGCCCGCGCGCCCTTTTGGAGGCCCAAGGCCGCCGCTATGCGGCAGGCCCCCTGGCGTTAAAAGTTACAACAACTTTGCCTGACAAACTTACTCAAACGTCGTGCTGCCTGATAGGGCCCTATTCATTCGCCCAAAACTAGCTGCTACTTCCCTGCAACAGCATGCTGCTGTCCTGGCCGCAAACAGAATACGCTGGAGGGATTATGGTTGGTGGATGAGGTTAGATGAGTGATTGGCATGTGTGGCATGTTGAAGAAAGAGGGACTAGATAATGGAGGCAGCACGACTTAGTCTGCGGTACATAGGTAGACGTGGGCCATCTTGGACAGCTAACCACACAGTGGTCCGGAGTTGACGCTTTTGGAGATGTGTTTGCTCTGTGGTAGTGTGGCGTCACATAGTTGTAGCATGAATGTCGCACAGTATGAGATTGACACTGACGTGGCAGTGTGCCTGTCTTGCAGCGCTTTCGCTCCCGGGACGCAGGGTGGGCCCGTGATGCCTACTTCCGCTCAATGAATGATACGACACCGTGACGTGATACTCGGCTCTGGGCGTTCGGCTCTGGGCGTCCATCACGTCGTCGCTTGGAGAACGTCACAGAAAATAAAAATGACATTGCTAGCAGATCTATTTCATAGCACTGGTGTTTAATTTAGGGCCTCAAAGCAAATAACTTTGGTTATTCCTTCCTGCCATTAGTCCTCCCTGCCATTAGTCCTCCCTGCCATTAGTCCTCCCGGTCATTAGTCCTCGCTAATTTTGAGCACTGGGAGATTGAAACAGCCTTTAAGGCCAGAGGATGAAGGGCCTGAAGGCCGAAATAGAGCGGTTTACTATCAAGGAGTTTATATGGTAGTGAGATTCCCACTCGATTCAATTTTTCTGGACCAACATGGCAAGAGAATGACACCTGATCCAGCTTCTGAACTACACACAAAGCCCTCTGTGTACATCGACAGAGCTGCGTTTCTCGGACCATCTGCAACTGGTTCGGGGCGTCCTTCGTGCAATTTAGCCGCCATGACACTCTGGCCTCCGTCTGCGGTGACACGACGACCTACGATGACATGCATAATATGATGCGCTAGTCGCTTATGGGTCGTCTTCATCACGCCCCCCTCAATCTCCTTCTTCTCCAAGTCGACAACAGCATTTGGCGCAAACACCAGTGCGTCCCCGGTCCCGAGCTTAACAATACGCGCAAAGAGCTCGAGAATCGGATCTTGCGAGGAGACTGTCACCCCATGCAAGCCGCTGGCGGCGGGAGTCAAGGCGGGCAGCATGGTGTGTAAAAGAGGTGAAACCGAACTGGGGCAAGTGAGGCTGCAGCTAAGGATGAGTGGATGGATATGCCATCTTAGGTGGAGATGCTGCACGGCAAGTCTCTCTTGAATGGCGCGCAAGCCACCGTGGCGTTCAGGGAGGTGGCAGTGCACCAACAAGGCCAATAGGGCATTTTTAGGCCACTTAGCCCACAGCAGACAGATACAACAACAATACGGATTACACCAGAATATACGTTTTCACACATCTAAAAGCCCCCACGCACTGTTTGACAGTCTCCCCGTTGCAACATTTTGGGTGCCGCGCAGTGCATGGCACTGTACCGGTGTAGCTGTGGTAATGGCTTCACCGGTTTACGGTTGTGGACCGTATGCAGGAGCCAGATGATCTATCAGTTTTGTTACTGGCATCGCCTACTCCTTGCTACATACGACCTGCAGCCGTAAGAATGCATATCTCATATGTGACAGGCCGGCCTACGTAGGAGTACTACTGGGGCATGGGTAATCGTCGAGACTGAATAGGACTTTTTTTGCGATTGGTATGGATTACCATATTATTTACAAATGGTACTTGGCCTTGGAAGAAAGCCTTGACTTCCTTCGCGGCGTTTGGCCAAAATTTCTTGCGTTTATTGACTGACTGATAGACAATCAGCATTCGATTACAATACTGAGGTAGGTGCCACACTGTTGAATGGGAGCCGGAAATAGACACCGGAAGATCTCTAGTGGGGCAGAGACGCACAGGGCATCTGACCCACCCAGAAGATAGATCATCAATTCCTGCACGCTCAAGGGGTGAAGCAGAAGAAGAACAATACAACACACTTGAGGACCTGCATATTCTGAACTCGCTTGCATCTGACACACACCTGGGTCGTGAAACAGAGTCGTTAGACTGTCATCCTCTATTGAGGGATTTTGTCGCAATCACACGGCTCGGAGCAGGGCCCATTGTGTTTGTCTTCGTTTGTGTTTGTCCCTACAATGTGGGCAACGGACGAGCCTACGCTAGCAGCAGATGGGGGCTGATCATATCTCCACCGCACGCTTTACTTCTTTGGTCGTTTCGTGTGTTCTGGACACGCGAGATAAAGTGGGCGCTCTTGGACCCCCGATTGGCGAATTTAAATTGGGATGCGCCCCGAGCCACCACACTCACCACCTTCGATCCGCAGTGACATTGATCACACTGCATGGTCGGAACAAGAAGACTGGTTCAATCTCTTGTTCCCTGTCCTCAATCCCGAAGACGTTCAAAGGATCCTACGTAGGTACTGGGCGCCATGCATGACTTTATGTCGCTGGTTGTTTCCAGGAACAACATGTACCTGTGACTTCAAACGAGGCCCCCATGGATCGTATGGTGCTACTCTCTCCAACCGTCCTGCGAATCCTTACGTCGGTTCCTGGCCACGGCAAGGTGACTTGTCTCAATGTCCCGCAGTTGGGGATGTAGCAGCGCGTATCAGTGCTTGGTAGTCACGAAGTAATTGGTTGACACTGTCACCTTCGTTGGGGAGAAGGGTGCCACGTTTATCTATCCGAGCCTGGCAGATGGCTCCAATGGACTCTGCCGGGCGCGTCTGCTGAGTGTGTAAATGATAGGTCTCCTCTGATTAGCCCGTGCTGGTGCGGGGAATAAAGGCTGGAAAGAGTGTCATCAAGCAAAATCGCAGCCCTGAAATGTATATAAAGGGTACTTGTTCTAAGGTCCTGAAAATTATCCGTCGACAGAGCTTCTAAGTTATATCTAGGCCGCCAGGTTGTACCTCACGCTGTTGCTTTACGATATTACCATGGCCGTTGCTATCGCCTCATTCTCCCACCACCACTTTCAAAGTCTCCCAAGTCTCGACGCTGCTTTGGTCAACTATCATAACGTAGATGGCCCCAAGCTTGTTCGGGAGTTCTTCAAAAGGCTTTTTGTCAAGAACGGCATGAAATATATCTTCGGGTTGGCCATGCCGCATCGTCATTTCGACATCGACCCTGAGACGTTCCTGGTGAATTACAACGGCGTGTCTACCGCGTAGCCCACGAAGCCTAGTGTGGGAATGGATAAACCCTCGCCAGCGAGTTGGAGCTTCTCCTCCGATGGGAAACTATTCCTAACGGAATTCAGATATGCGAAAGGGAACAAGTTTGAGTTTGGGGAGAAGGAAAGGGCGTTTGTGAACAAGTTTAAGGCAGAGCTTGACCGACTGGGTCTCGGGCTGTTGGATTTTACCCCTAGACCAAAAGGGTAAGGTGTGCAGTCATTCTGCGCACGATGTTCTTATCTGTTTTTATCTGACACGGGCAGACTTTTAGCTTGTGCGAATACCTATGAGATGGTTTCAGGGTATATATGAAGTTACCAGGGGCAATTCCAATGTTAACCTGAAGCCGGAAGATATACGTATATCTTTCACTATATAGGCATTACCCACTAACCTGAATCTGACACAGTACCTTAAGGGCGTGGATGGCGCTGACATTGCTTAATTTTTACTATAAAGTATTTAAAGTTTTAATTTTTAATCGAGCTTTTATAATAATTTTAATGTTTATAAACTTATTAAAAAAGTTAATAAAGTATAGTTTTATTTTATAATTTATTGATTATTTAATTAATAAATTAAAACCAAAGCTCATTAAAATTACTAAAGTTATTAATGTCTTTAACTTTTTTTTACCGGTAAAAGCATTATATTATATTCATTAGTTGTCACGGCGAGCATACTGAGGAGCTGGGACAAGGCCGGCAGCAAGCAGCTAGTACTCTATTGACGAGAATATCAAGACTAGAGAGGAAAGGAAGAGAGAGAGAGAGATAGGTACAGTGGGAGGTTGCCCCTTTAAGGGGATCCTCTGGTCAGATCCTTCCCTTATTGGGAGGTATCCACTTGTCATGTGGGAAGGTCTGTGCAGGCCGCCACAGCCGTCACACTACTCCCCCCCTTATCAAAGTCGGTTTACGACGATGATTTCTTCCGAGTTCTTCTTACTCCTTGTGCAGAGCCCCTTATAGGCAAGTTGTTTTCCTCATAATCAGTTAGGTCCTGATCATCAGCAGCAGCCTCTATCCATTGCTGTAACCTTTGAGGTGGACCTGGCGCCTTGGGATTTGCCTCATGGAACTCTTTGACGCGTACAGCTGAGCCTCTGAAGTTAGCTGCTGGGTACCACATCGGGTCAGGATCATGACCTGTCCATTCAGCCTGGTACTCCAGCTTGCCCCGGGTTAGGCGGGAGGACAGAATTCTGTTAACTTCCCACTCAGGAACCCCATCCACGTTGACAGGAGGCGGTGGAGGGATCACCTGACCTGGGACAGGGTTATTTGGTGACCGTACTAAGCGGCTTGCATTGATAACCCGATGAGCGTTTATCCCAGGGGATAAGTCAATCTCAAAGGCATTCTCATTGACCTGTTTGATAACCCGATATGGTCCCATATAGGGGTTGTCCAATCCATCATGTGGGCGGTCAGTGCGCCATGCTCCTTTGCGGACATATACCATATCTTCTGGCTTCCAGTCGATTGGTCGTCGGGATTTGTCAGCCTGTTTCTTGTACTCTGTTTGTGCCTTGAAGAGATTGGTTTTGGCCCATGCCACGGCCTGTGCCCTGCGTTCAGCAAAATTTTGAGCATCTGAACGACTGAGCCGTTCTGTAATAGGCGTCTTTCTTGAGAAGGGACTGCGTTTATCCCAATCAAATGTCATGATTGGAAGAAACCCCATTTCAACCTCAGCTGGAGATAAACCGGTGCTTGCATGAGGTTGTGTGGCATAGGCAAAATCCAGACAGGGTAACAGCTGGGACCAGTCATGCTGAAAATGGCTTATAAAAGGTCGGAGCTTGGTCTGGAGGAACTGGTTAATGATCTCTGTCTGACCATCCGTCTGAGGGTGCTCTGCAGTAGAGCGGCGTAGGTCCATCCCTGTGAGCTTGGCTAGTTCATCCAAAAAGGCAGCAATGAACTGGGGACTACGGTCTGAAGTCACAGTCTCAGGGGTGCCATAGACCCTCCAAGGTCCATTGAAGTATAAGATGGCAAGGTCCTTGGCTGTACATGTCTTATATGTTGGAATAGACCACGGGCGTTTGCCTAGTCGGTCTACCACCACATAGATTGTGTCATAGCCTAGCTTGTCTTTTGGCATGGTCTTGAAGTCCATAGAGACATGTTGCCAAGGACGATCCGGTATAGGCAGAGGTTATAGCAAGCCGGCTGGCTTGAGACGGGAATTGCGGCCTCTGCCACATTCTGGGCAATGAGCGCAATAGCGGTCTATGAAAGCACCCATACCTGGCCAGGAATAACGCTCTGCTACTAAGGCACGCATCTTGTTCCGGCCAGGGTGTGCACGGGAAGGCAGTCTGTGAATCTCATCGCAAAGTTGTGTGCGTAGGTTCCCCTCATCAGGTACTATGAGGCGTCCCTCTTTCAATAATAAGCCATCAACAAGACTGTAACCCTGCTGACTGTGTTTGGCTTTTTTCCGCTTAAGGAATAGGGTCTCTGAAGAGCGGTTGGCTGTCAAGATGGCATCAATAAGCTGAACACCCTCTAGAGAACCGTCTGGGTCCTGGTTGTTGGCTTCCAAGGTGGCCACAATGGCACATACCAGGTTGTCCTCTGGACTAGGTGACGGGTCGGTCACAGGCAGGTGAACGGATCCATTGAACCTTTCAACAGGTAGGAGGATCTGGCGGCGACTTTCATCCTTGATGGCCTTCTGTGTAGCCAGATCTACAGCTTTCCGTGATAGAGTATCAGCTATCAGATTCTCTCTACCTGGACGATAGGAGATGGTGAAGTCTAGGCCCGAGATATCCTCACTCCAGGCTGCTTGTCGAGCATTAAGCTGTCGCTTAGTGGCGAAGTACTGGAGTGCCTGGTGATCTGTGAAAACAGGAAGGGGATGCTGAAGGGCAGTGAGCATGTGGTTCCATTCTCGCATGGCATAGACAATTGCCAGTAGTTCCTTGTCGTGGATGGGATAGTTGCACTCTGCTGCATTCATAGTTCGTGACAGATAGGCCACTGGATGCCAGTTGTCTTGCTCATCCTGTTGGGAGAGGGCTGCTGAGATTACACCATCTGAAGCGTCTGTTTCCAACTTGGCAGGAGCTGCTTCCTTGAAATGTGAGAGCAAGGGAGCTGAGCATAGGGCATCCTTTAAGTTATCAAAGGCTCTCTGCTGTTCCTTGGTCCATAGGTACTTGACTGCCACAGTAAGACGGTGAAGAGGTTTAACTATCCTGCTAAAACTGTCTATAAACTGCCGGTAGAAGTTACAGAATCCCAGAAAAGACTGTAATTCTTTAACAGTCCTAGGCTCTTCCCAGTCCCTCACGGCAGCAATCTTGGCTTGATCAACTGATATGCCACTGGTTGATATTATATATCCCAAGAATTTTGTTGATGTGACAGCAAACTCGCTCTTCTTGATGTCAGCTTGGAGGCCAGCTTCATGGAGCTTCTGGAGGACCTTGCGGACGTGGTCCCAGTGCTCCAATGGGTCTGCAGAAAAGATCAAGATATCATCCACATAGGCTGTGCAGAACTCGTCCAGATATGGGAACAAGGCCTTATTGATATACCGCTGAAAGGTACTTGGGCCATTGCAGAGTCCAAAGGGGAGCACCTTGTACTTGTACTGGCCAAAACGCGTGCGGAAGGTTGTGAGATCCTCAGAGGCTGGATCCATACGGATTCGGTGGAAAACTGCCCTGATATCCAGTTTGGTGAATAGCTTAGCGCAAGACAGACGTTCCAAAGTTTCGCTGATTAGTGGCAGCGGGTAGCAGTCCTTCTTTGACTGAGCATTGAGCTCGCGGTAGTCGACACAGAAACGCAAGCCTCTATTTGGCTTTTTAGCAAAGAGAACAGGGGATCCATACTCTGCTGCACTAGGAACAATCCACTCCTTGCGTAAGTGTTCTGTCAGATATTGCTTGAGGGCAATAAGGTGGTCAGTCTTCATGCTGTATAAGGGGTGCAGGCGAAGAGTCTTGGCCTCTGGCTTGAGCTCAATCTTGTGGTCAATATCCTTACGGAAAGGGGGTAGCTCGTTGCTTTCTATATGGAGAGAATGCGCTCCGTTCCGGCGTGGGCTATCTCTTATCTTCAATTACTTCCTAGACCGACATATTCCACTCCACTGGGTTGCACTCTCGACGGTACCTTTACCCCAACGAGTAAGCATATTTGCACCAAGCTTCTTGTCTAGCTTTGCTAACGCCACTTGTTGCTGCTGTTTGGTGATTGCTAGTTCGTACTGTTGTATCATAATCGGATGGCTGATGATTTCTTCCGTTGTGAAGACGCTCTGCTCTAGGCCAGGGATTCCTGACAGGTGATCGGTGTAATACCTAGCCAACTCTGCTGCCGCTACCGAGTCCCCCCAGATCTCGTAGTACGGCCGAAGCTCGGGGAGCTGGAGACCCTGGTGGAGGACTGCGTCCCAAGCTTCAGAGACAGCATTGTGGATGGCACGTGCATGCTCCGGATCCACAGGCCGGACAGACGACAGACTGATGACATTTGGGTTCGTCGCTGGCGCCGGTAGAGGGATTCTCGGCACCGACAGGTTATCGCACAGGTCTTTGACTGTTAAACACAACATCGCCAACACCCTCTCTGCAAATGCCAGCTCTATCTTCTCGCAGCATGTCAAAGACATATTAACGACGCCGGGCTCTTGGATGGCGGAGCGAATCATGATGTCGGAATCCTGGTGTTGGGTTTCCATGCAATGAAGCTCGCAGCTGGCGTCGCCCAAGGTGAATTTGGTTGGTGTCTCAGCAATGGTGTTCTCATGATGGACTACCGTACTAAAGCGTGTCCAGTCTGGCCAAGATGTACAGTCGCGCACGATAGCAGCAGTCTGCATATGCGCGTGGGACCTGCTGGCTATATGCTGACGATGGATCGATTCCAGATATTCGGATGGCGGGAATGGACTCGTGGGCAAAACTGTACGCACGGGAATGATATTACCCAATGGCCCGATTACATCCGACAAGGATTGGCCACCGGCTAGTCTCAGGTGCCTGCAGTCAGTGACCTGACCGAAGACGATGTCCTTTATTCCGGACAAATTTGACAAAACCATAGACCATACGCCATTTAACACGGTCTCGAATGGTACGGTTACATGCAATAGCGATTCCGTCGCGACCCTTTGGTGGACTCTCTTCAGTCGGGAACTGGCGCTCGCAGGTGACGGCTGGGCAATGACTTGCGTCGGTGCTGCACCATCAAGTAAGTCACGCCAGTAGTCTCTTGCACGGGGGTCGATCATCGTCTGAGAAGCTCTGATTACTCCGCACAAGCCGGGGCGACTGGGTATCTCTTCGCTGGGATGATAGAGGTATACAAGATCTCTGACCAGCGCCGACAGCGAATCGCGGTCGTACTGAGCCTTGGATAAACGTACCACAAGGGTGGAGTGTTTACTGGCATAGAAATACCAGAATTTGGTAACGGGCTGGCGGAAATCGAACGGGCGTAGTCGATCGCCTTGGACGGATTTCTTAGCCAAAGCATCAAGCCGCCAGCTTGGGCGTTGGTGGTGGATGAACTCCGGGCGGAATGATCGGAGCACTGTCTGATAGAGGTGGCGGTTATGAACTACAAATGCAGTTCGCAAGATAGGATGTGCGTTGACCAATCTAAGGCAGGCCGTCTCCAGTCTATCTCGATGCAGAGTACCAGAGATCGTGATCAGTAGATAGTCAGCATTACCGGACCCGATGTGCATCGTTTGTATGGACGAGGCTTCGGCAACATCTTCAACCAGACTTGCGTCCGAGCCCAATGGCGGCATTGCAGCATCATCCGCAGGGAGGTGCAGATATGCCCTTTCTGATGATTTGTTGCACGCCTGAGCTTCTGGCGACAGCATTGGCCGGGGGCGGACAGGTGATTCTGCGGGCTGCTGGTGAGTATGCGGCAACTGCTGGATCCATTGGCGCAGCAGCCTTTCGCACAGACGTATCCATCTCTCAACCAATTTCTTATGTTTGGACTGGTGCTGATAGAGCACCGCCAAGGTCGCGCCATTGTGATTAACAGAAATGAGTACCTCGAACACAGCTATCCTTCGAACCGAGCTCCCCACGTCTGACACTCTCGATGTGAGCGTTTTTCCCGGCACCGGAATTTGCTTCAACAGAGCGTGCTGGCTTTGCACGTGCCGAGAAGACCTGAAATAGGTGCAAAGGAGCTCAAGAGGACAGTGCGAAGATATGAAATGATCCGCATCGCCGGGGTCCGACAGGCTTGCTGCGAAGAAAGGTGCAACTTTGCCAACCATGGCTTGGCGAGCATCCTGGACACGATACAGGACCGACAAGATATCATCAGTCGGCAACACGCTGGTTAAAATGGGGCAGAGTGATGTAAACCATCCCACGGTTTCCGAGACATCATGCTGGATATCTAACGAAGCTCTCTCGTGTTCTTGGTTCCAGACTGTGGGAACTTGCCGATCCGGAAACGTCTGCACAAAAGAGAGCAGAAGCGCGGCCAAGAAGTTATCGTAGGCATCTGTACCGAGAGACTGGCCACTTTTCTCGAGAATCGACATAGCCCCACCTCCCAGCACAAAACCGCACGCTGCGGTGTTGCCATATAGGTTAGCATTAGGGTTCAGACCCCAGTAACCCGGGTTCTCGACCCGGAGCTCAACTGGGAAGTTATTCCTCCCCAGTCCCAGACGCCGGGCATAGTTGTGTTGATAGCGAACCCAGCTTGGAAACTGAACAGACCGACTGGGCTTAGGGCAGCCATTCAACAAGACATGCTCGATATCGTCGACTAGTATAGTCCACGACTGGACATCAATGACCAGATGATGGGCAGCCAAATACAGCATTTGGCGCCCTGGGGTGGTGGTAAAGTGGCGCGCCACAAATATCGGGCCATGCTCGATGTCTATGGCATCCTGAGCCTGTGCGATCCCTCCCTCCAGATCATCTTTGCTACAGTCCAGAAAATAGGCGAAGCTGTGCGAGCTGGAGATTTCCGGCTCAATCCACTGACACCAAGAACCACCTTGTGTAGGCTTAAACCTGCATCTCAACATGGGATGACATATTAAAACCGCCCTAATCGCAGCTTGTACAGTGCCACTGTCAAATGCTTTGTTTAACTGCAGAAGTATGCTTTGGTTGAATTGAAACTTGCTGTCTCGAGCGCGGTGCCCGGCTGCAGTCTTCCCAAGAGGGCTGTGGAAATACAGCCGTTGCATGGGGGACAGGTCGAATATGCTCTCAGGTTCTTCAGATTTCCGGTGATGGCATGTGCTTGTACGTTCCGAAAACTGGACGGGAATGCCTTCGAGCTCCGCGATGGGCTTTTCGGAGCTTCGAGACACCAGTTCGCACAGCATCTCGCTTACTATGTTCCAGACTTGATCGTCTATCGTTCCGGGATTTGTGTTTGTGCAGATAGATATGATGTGACGTTGTGATTCCTCGTTGGCGTTCTGGATCCACGTCTGTAGTTTTCTGCGATCAGCTCTACCGCTCGCATCCAGAGGCGTCTTCTTGAACACAACCCAGAAGCTTGGTAAGATGTCCGCTGGGGTCGGTAGTTCGATTGCAGTCTGAATGGTGGGTAACTCGGCTGTGCCAAAGACATGTTGTATTTCGATCTTGTAATTTGCTTGGCTCGATAATTCACAGCCTTCTGGTATGACGAAGGCGATAAGTTGACCCTCAAACAATCCAGCTCGAGGTCTTAGTATGAATGCGTGTGACGTTTTGCCGGGATCTGAGATACAACTCACACCATTGTAGAGCTGGGCAACTCTCGGGGAGCTTAGCTTTAAATGGTCATCCACCGTCTCTGGTGCCTTTACATCGTCTGCGCTTAGTGGGGTGTCCAGGCTCATTGTTATATCATGTATGCAATACGATCTTGTCCTTGGGTGCTATAGTTCGTAGAGTGCGAACCCAAAGCGTGATCTAGACAAGATAATGGATAAGCCGATACGATAACTACTAGACAAAGTATTTTCGACTGTAAATAAGCAAGCATTGCTTGCTGGACGGGGAGAACAATATTTCGATGGGAAAGGTTCACAAACGGGATCAATCAGCGTGCTCGTGAGGGCATCTAATTCTGGAGACGGAAGGACAACCAGGGTGTTTATTAATCATGAAATGGACATGTACTCCATACACGCAATAGTCACACGATAGATCCAAAGGGGGACATTAACAGGGTTATGTGAAAGTCTAAAAACGTTACTTATATGCTGGGTGGAACGTGGGCACCGGTGATGTGAGCGCCAGGGCCGTAACAGGCGCCGCTTAGTTATTAGACGGACCCAAGTGTGGCAATATCAACGATCCAAACCTAGAACGCCAAAGTCGCCTCCAGATGTGTCCAACTTTGAACCTCCATAGGCATGCCGTTGTACTTTTAGGATCTTGCGTATCCTTAGAACTGGTAAGCTATTTATAACTAAAAGAGTCCGTATATGAAACTATGCGCTTCTAGCATCACGAATTGGCCGTAGGACGGTTGCATCTAGAAATTGCTCTCGACGAGTACTTCGGGAGAGGTGAGACTTGAGATGATTCTGGCGCTGATTTCGAGGGTCTTGAGGTGATTGTCTCCTGGGAAGCCGATACCAGTCCGTCTACAAAACCTAGCGTCCCCATTCCTTATCGACATAATACATGATATAATGTTCGAAAGGTACATCATATAACTGTCTATATGACACTGTCTCGACCCGTATTCACATATCATATAGATTACCAAGCTAAATATTAGCGATTACTTCCCGACATGTTCAACTCACACGGTAGAGGTCAGTCCGGCTCGACTCCGCCGCGTCTTCGAGCTGGTCGCCCAATGCAACGACCTCACGGCGTGCAGAAACCTGGAGGTCGCAACCTCTACCCGCCCAATACGTTGCAGCATATCTTCAATCAACCCCAGTCACCCGACAAGGAAGACGATCCCATGCTATCAGAGTAAGAAAGATACCTACTTTGGGCGGGTAGATGCTAACAACAGTCCAGTGGGCTGACCATGACGGAGCTGGCTGAGACATTCAAGAACGTCTCAGCACAGCTAGTAGAAATTACGCGAAAGGTTGATCAAAACGCAAAAGAGTAAGCACGGCTGTGTATGGCCGTTCAATATCACCTGCCGCTAACTAACTCTATACATAGTATTCGTGATCTGTACGTATAGCTGCATTCCTCATGAAATGGTAGCAACGACGATAGGAATGACTAATAATTCTGATAACCGCAACAGGAAGGATTGCATGGAACAGGGGTAGGTGATGATCGCCAGATGCTTCGAGCGCGGCTAACTCATCTAAGGTTTCAACATCTCGAAGCTGGGTGGGAGGAGCGAGTGGCGAGTGTTAAGCACGTCCTTGAACAGAACTATGGTCCGCTTGGGCAGAACGATCTGATCGACCCTAACTTCCTTTCTTCGACTTGAGCCGAGTGAGAAGGGAAAGGCATTGATAAGACGTATCAAGTCAGAGGCAGAAAAAAGGACTGTCTAGGGGTTCGCGGTAGTGCCTTTGGTTATCTATTTGCCATAGTCAATCCAAGTGGTTTAGAAACGAAATGACTTAACCATGCCAATCATGGATGTAGTAATTTGCTAGCGGATAAAGGAGAATGCTAAAGAACTACAGTCTAATAACCGTGGGCTGCTCTGCTATTCGGATGGCGAACGGAGCAACAGCAAAGACATCTCTGTCAGTTCAAGCAAGGGTATCTTAAATGATAACGACGCTGAGAAATCCCTTGACTACATACACCTAGTCACTGCAATAGCTAAACATCGCTTGTGGATAACGGGTGCGTGTCTTAGGAAGAAGGCAATCTAGCAGCTCATCATAGCACCATCATACGCCATTGCACAAGGCGAAACATAGAAACCTCGACAATATTAACCAGCTATCATGTTTTTGGCCCTTGATTAACCCACGTTCTTGCCCTCGGACACTGAAGCCACGAGGGCGTAGGGGCCGGTCGTGCTCCGAGTATGACTATCTACCCACCGCCGAGAATTGCGACTTTATAAATCACCTTCTACCGGTCTAATTAGCCCTTCTATCAACCGCTCGGTACATCCTTCCGTTAGTATTTCTGGCAATGTCCTGCCATAGTACAGCGTACTGCAGTCATTCTAATGTAAGCTGATGAGACGTCCGCTTCGGCTTCATATCAGCACAAGACCTAGATATTTCATGGAAGAACTCGTCGCGTCTGACAAATACACGGATTGTCCGTATCAGAAGCGCTAGAAGCTATTGGCCAGAGAGGCAGTGATAGATTTTGTGCGCAATGAACTGGGCCTCATCATGGTAGAGGTGGTCGAGCGACAAGCTGCAGCCTCAATGTCGCGCCAAATAGCAAGAAAGCCACGCACGCCCGCTGCCCCCATCGAGACCAGTTCTGAAGCGTAGCGGTCTGATGTAGCAAAAGCTAGGGGGATGCGGGGAGGAAACACGCCTGAGGCCGATACATTGACTCTGTGCTATAGATAGAGGCCCAGTCTCTAGCCATTCCCATTCTGGACCTGGAGCTTGCTCAGACAGGCGAATGTAGGGGATGGCATGTCTGCACAGCGGACAGTCAGGGCGACTCCCGGCGACTGGTTGGAGAGAAGAACATCTGCCACCTGTGACCGCAGCAAGAAACTCGATAGTCACTGATCTGGAGGTACCTCGAACAGACCGCGGTGCTGGAGCAAGACACTCGACAGTCCCGGATCTGGATGTCTCGAACAGACCTCGGTCCCGGAGCAACAAACCCGACAGTCACGGGTCTGGAGATGGCTCGGGCAGCTGGAGAAAAGACTCGACAGTCACGGATCTGGGGGTACCTCAGACAGACCTCAGTCCTGGAGCAAGAAACTCGACAGTCACGGGTCTGGAGATGCCTCGAACAGACCCCGATGCTGGAGCACAGAATGAACTCCTCAACTCCTCAACTCCTACCATAAGAAGAGGAGGAGGAGGAGGAGGAGGAGGAGGAGGAAAAGACTCGAACAGGACTCCTGTGGACAGAATTACCCTGCTGAGCCAGACCGAGATTCGCAACAGGCGGGAAGTGCGCTCCCTTATATGCTCATTAGTGGTGGGGGTCTTGGGATTATTAATTCGCAGCTCTGACTATTCCGTCCCCCCCTTGCTCGCCCCACACCACCCTCTTCCAATCTCCACCCACTCCTCATTTACCGGCGGTTTCGCGTAATTCCAATTAAGGCGATGATCTTCTGCGGTCCAAGGAAATATCGGCATCGCCCTTCACCCCTTTGCCCCCTTCTGGCCATGTGGACGGCGCCGTGCGATCTTTCTCATCTCGGCCGCCAGGAACCCCGGGGCATCATGGTGAAATGGGACCCGGGCACTTGTGCCCCCTTGTCTGCAATGTAGCTTGAGGTGTTGTCGCCAAGTGTCTGTTCGGTTGCAAGTCTGGTTGCAAAATGGACAAGCGATTGGGACCTTGTCTCGTAAAAGCTAATAACTCTATCTACCAGATCTACGTGGTTTTTCTCTCATCAATGCATACGTCATTTCATATCGCAAATATGTTCGCTTCTGGAAAGCCATCCTCCTCATTCGATCCGATCTCCCAGCACATTGGTACGCTAAACAAGTATGCTTTTATCCTCTTGTTATGTAGGCTACCACTGTGGCTTTACTAGTCCTTGTTCGTATTACGTTAGACGTTGTGCTTATAGATACAGTTCGAATCTCTAAAGCCGTATCGTAGATCCAGAACTGGATTCCCTTGGCAATGCATTACTACAAGAACTGTCCAACCCTAGCAGGAGGCTTTGTCGTCCCCACTTCACACTATTTCAAAGCCAGGGCCTTTTACAATATCTAGTACACGTCTTCTATAATGATATTTCAAATGCAGCGAAGCCCCCTTTCTTGTCTAAACACCGCCTAAACCTCATCTTTCTCTGGCTTGATATATACAAATTCAACCATGACATCAAAGCAGCAGTCATTTCAGCCCCCGTTGGACTATTCTGATAGTGGCCCGGGCATTCTTATTAGTATGGCCATCCTTGGGTTCTTTGCGACTATTGCCGTCATTCTGCGATTCTGGGCGCGACATTTGGCGCGCTTCCCACTAGGACTTGACGACTACTTTCACCAGTTTCACCATCTTCCATTGTCGTGCCTCCCAACAAATAACGTCTGTAGCCCTTAATCTGCCTCGTCCGATGGCGTATCTCCGATCCTGTCAAGCGCCTACGAAGGACTGGTCAGGAGGCAGAGACGTGGTATAAATATAATGGGCTTCCCCGAAGCGTAAGCTTGGTTGTCCCCATATCAGCTACATCGACAGCCAAGACCGAAATGCAGCCCGTATGGAGAACGACGATGGTGACGACTATAATGCTAATAATGCATTCAAAATATCGCAAGGACCAGTCGACTAAGACGACCTGCTCCAGCCACACTCTCAGCAACAAGGGGGCAAGAATTACCGGTAGAACTTCCCAAGTACTTCCAAGATAACACCTCCTGTAGCGTAATGTAAATAGTCGCTGTCAACTGAGAGGCCAGCGATCAAAAGCCTCCCGATCTCCGGCTGCGTCGTTGTGGAAAAGATATTGATCAATGGTTGTGTTTCGGTACCATACATTGCTGGCCCTGGCGGAGATGCGTCAGGCGCAAGATTTCTTGGTGCTGGCGAATGACTGCTTGAACTACCTCCTTGGACCGGGCTAAAGGAGGAGGACTCGAGCCGTGAATCTCTTCCTGCGAGACGCCGCGCCGCAGCCGGGTCTTCTAGGGGGAGCGCTGCCTCGCCCAGCCCATATCCAGGATGCTTATCGAGAACATCGCTTCTTCGTATCCTGTCCTCGGCAGCTTTTCAAGATGCGCTATTCGTGCAACATATCATGATTATGGGGTTGGCATTGTCTGCCTTCCGACCAATCATATAGAGTTTGATGAAGATGTCGGCCATTAGTCTCTTTTTCCGTACAGTTAGTTGGACTTGCGCCTATCTCTGGCCACATTTGATGTGGCTTAGAAGCCAGAGTGCGTACCTTAGCAGTCCTATCCTGCAACCGTTGCGGGGACCTTGGCCCCATCCACTGGTAGCAATACTTTGCATCTCGGTCGCAATAATGGTAGGGAAAGCATGCATTACATGGAGCTGGTCCGTGTTACAAGCTATCTGCTTCGTGTTCTTTTTGGTTACACGTTTGTGGCCTAGATCTAGCCGCGGCTCTACTATTTGAACGATGGATTTTTTCTTTAGTTGCGACATATATCAACCGAAGCAGGTGGATTTTCCTCATCAGGTGTCCACGTTGTGTTCTTAGTTCTGGCTTTTTGGGGGCAGGAGAACTCGTGCTGGATATCATTAAGCTTTGGGGGCTGAATGCGCTAATGGCGTGATTCTCACATGGTAGTCTGGTCACCCTGATGGCACACCTGTACACATATATGGGGGCTTCTCCCCCAGAGATCTTCTTCTTCTCTTCCCTTTTAATACAGAACAGGTTTGAAATATCACAACTAGTTACGTTAGACAATAGAAGTCAGGAGCCCTTAGAATGAACCATGATTCAACACGTCCTCTCAGACCGAGGAATCGGTTGGCTGCTTTTGACTAGTTGGACAAGCCATTCGCGAAGGAACTTGTTCCTAAAGGCCGCTCCCAGCTATTGTGTCTGTTTGAAATCGTTAGGAAGTGGACTTCTTTAGAAGTCTTGATATAGATTGTCTATTGGTGGCATGATTTACAGCATACACTGTATCGAATTCTGGCTCTAGTATTTACGATAATATTTGGCTTCTACATGTATGAGGTGTGGAGCCGATTCTAGGAGCACAGAACCACCCCTGCCTGAGACTGCAAGGGTAACACGGCCATACCTACCTAGATAAATCATGTCTAAACCAACCCAAAGATTTGTATTCGGAGAACGGTAGGGGACTGCGACAATGAGGGTAGCTAATCCTCGTAAAGCAGTGAGGAGATGATCAGCAGTAGAAGATCTGCAAAGGTCGTGATCGAAAGCGAGATGCTACCATGTGAGATTTCAAACCGTTCTGTATTAGAAGGGAAAGAAGGGATAGCTGATGGGGGTACCATCCTACTTAAATAGGTAGGAAAGGGACCTCTGACAGCTAACATGTGATTCCACAGGACGACATCATAACAAGTCTAAGTACGCCACTGTTATGATATCTGACAGTAATACTAGACTTCAACCTATGTGATGGCCTTACTTGCAGTAGAGTTATTCCCTCTTATTACTCTTCCTCTCATCACATCCCCCCATTTAATTATAGTATAAGGGGGGGGCCCGCCCCGTAACGCGTGAACGTAGTGAATCAGTTCAAAGAAGGTGCCGACAAACATACTGAAGGATTTCGGCCAGGTGGCGAGCAGAAAATGACAGATTACGGCCTTTCCTTAAGCGAATAGTCGCAGCCAGGACATGCAAAAGTTCACTGTGCAATATTTACCATGGTTTCTCTTGCCGCAGTCGACGTGATCTTGTCCTTGGTGCCTCCGTGGCAAGGCTGACGACTCGGAACCTTGAGTATCACTTGTGCTGTTACGAGGAGTTGCAGGTGCTTACCAGGCCAGCACTACACCATTATCTCGCTGTCCGTACAGGGCACGGCGACTTTGCTTGGTATCACCACAAGTTTGGACACCAAGACGCAAATTGTGAATGCACTTGAGGGAGGGTCAAAGCCCCAGAACACATCGTACACTGCTTGAAAACCATCGAACAGTATAAGAAATGGCCCCAGGGCTCCTCCCGGCGACCTATCAGACCGGAACGACAGCGCTACTTGCGCGATATCATGGCTTCTCCTCTGGAATATCAGAAACTACTCGTAGCTACCGATTTCTATGGTAGCATTTGCCCTCGTTACTAAGCGCACCTGGTCTTTTCCTTGTGTTTGGGCGGCGTTTGGGGGCTTACATTATCTTTCTTTTCTTTGTGGTGCATTTACACGTGAAGCAAGAGCACATATTCTACAGAACCTATATTATAACTCGAATCGACCATATCGAATCTGGGTATATACCATAGATGTTGGAACAGGCTTGAACGATCAATCATAATACTCGAGTATGGGGTCAAGGTCATGATGTTGCTGATGGTTGGATTGGGAGGAGCGTGGCGTCGAGAGGCTGACATCATGCGCATGGTTTCACATGTTGGTATGCCACTTCAGACTACCTCGCTTTCCCACTGACGCCATAGTAGCCCCATATTGTCTAGATGTAAGCAGCGCTTTTGGACTTTTACATAGCCCTGTCCATGCCCCCCTTTGGATCTGTCGTGTGACTGTTGTGTGTGTGGCGTACATGTCCATTTCATGATCTACAAACACCCTGGTTGTCCAGGAGTACAGAATCTGGCTGATCTGCGACGCGGATAGATCATCGAACGGGCATGTTTCCTTCTTGATGGTATTTCTAAAGTGCGCGAGATAACTGGACAGACACTGAGAATTGACCGAGGTCTATTTTCAGCCCATCCTTAAAAAGGCTATGGTGGTGAGGGCAAAGATCGGATGATCCACTTTGGTGCTGGGAATCTCTTTTGAAGGACAGGGTACTGCAAGGATGCTAGAAGCGGAAATCCGACGTGTAAGTATTGCACAGCAAGGAGGCCAAAAGGTTGCAAATCTGCTGTATTGGTGTTGTTGTTGTTGAAGGTCTGGAGGTGGTGCGCAGCCGCAGTGGATGTGGGCAATATGCCAGCCTAAGTGGGTCACCTGACCACGCAACACACCCCCGTTGGCCACTACCACTGCTGAGAAGCAGAAAAGTGAAGCCATCACAACTGTATGTGGCTCCATAATACGTACATTTGTTGGTTTTTGAGCATGAAATCTGCCTTCATGGCAAGATAACCCCCATTTACCTCTTCTCATCACATCTATTGCCTACCATTGGCAGTAACCCAATCCGAGTTGCCTTAGGAATGCCTGATGCTTCTCCTTGTTCAACGGCTTCGTCAAACCGTCTGCAATCATGTCATTCGTACCCACCTGTTCAATCGTGAAGTATCCCATCTGGACTCGGTTGATGATCCACTTGTAGCGGTTATCGATATGGCGGGTTCTGGCTGCATTCAGAGGGTTGAGAGCATTAGCTCTGGCATTTGCGGAAAGGATCGGGGAAGCTGGTGGTTCGAGAGTCGTTCGTTTCTTCCCGTATTTCTTTCGTGCAATATTCGGAATCTCTGGTTGTGGTATAATTCACTTCTTCTGAATGAGGAGGTCAAGAAGACAACGTGTGATAATCTCCATCAAGAAGACAGCAGCTCGGTGGTCCGATTCATGCTGTTTCATCCTTCATTCCCTCCCAATCCTCTTTGCTGAACCTGTATTCGACCTCTTTTCCGTTACTCTTCACCTGCTTCCACTTCGCCATCCCCATGCCATCAGCCAGGCCCTGAAACGGCGTGTTCACCGCCAATGTCTCAAAAAGGGCCTCGTCGCATCCGGCGCCCTCCGCGTCCACCTTTCGGAATGCAAAGTCCAACGTAGCCCGCAACGCTTCCCGCCCGTAGCCCTTCCTCCACTCGGAGCTGTCGATCAGCACACCCAGATCCGCAGTTCGCTTACCCTGCGCGTCCATAGAGATGTTGTTGATGCCGCCGAAGCCGATGACATTATCCGCAGATGGTGAGGCTGATCCCGTCTCTGTTGTTGGGCGGCGGCAAATGACGAGAAAGTAGGCTTGCCCCCGAGCGCGTAGGTCCTCCCCTTCGGCGATTCGGCGCTGATACTCTTCTTCTGTTGGGTTGCTTGGCTTGTGCGGTTCATGCAGGGTATTGAGGGGGTTGGCAAAAAGGGCTGCGAGGGGGGCGGCATCGGAGGGAGCGGCGGAACGAAGGACAAGATGTTCAGTGCGAAGACTGAGACTTGGAGAAGACATCTTGCGACAAGAAATGTTGGTTGCTATCCGTAACTCGGGTTGTAAGATGACGTGTGATTGGGATATAACACACTCGAGAGTACGTGGACGGTATAGTTAATTCCGGGTGATGTTGTCTCTAAAGATCAGGAAGCTGAGAGCTGGGGGAGGGGGGAGGAGGGGGGGATTTATGTACGGGGAGACGGAGAGGATGCCACATTGATTAGTCATCGCGATACATAGATAGATGACGTGAATCCTATCCAATGCGAGAGGTACGTACGGTTTCTAATCTCTGTACGGAGTACTTAATAACACAGATGGAAAATAATATAGGCAAACCACCGTAGATGGCTGCAGTGCCCGAAGTCGGAAGAGTTAGTGCGTTGTAAGGAATGGACGCGTTGATTTAACTGTTTTTGGCAGGCTTCGCACTGTTTAACGACAAGCCCGAGGGTATACTGTTAAGCTATCTCCCTCTTCTCACGCATGCAGAGAATCGTTTCTTTTCCCAATCACCAATTCATCGTAATTCAGTAGGCTGGATTGGATCAAGTCGGAAGGGAACTGGAAGCATGTGAGCTACACGAAACCAAGTCTCGTTCATGGAGCCTATCGACACGGCCTGAATACTTTGCTAAGTACCTCCATGGGCATGCGGATGTGTGCTCCTAACTACTTGATGGCATGCCCGGAGGTTCTCTGTAGCCGATGATTTTACGTCGCCGAACCACTTGGCCAACACCACTCATCGAGCTAACCAAGGGCTGCAAAGTCTTCACAGCACGTTCCCATACTTGTCTACTCGAGGCTCATCCCATTGCGCAACACGGTCGACTACTCTGACCAAATGAGCGTCATCAGGAGCCTCCCAGGCAAAGCCCTTTGGCTTACGAAACTTGTGCTCGTGTGTCCAGTCCAAGATCTTGTCCAACTTAAGGCATTTCTTGGGGTTCGAAAAAAAGGGGAATGGCTCGCCGATGTCGACAAGCCAATTGAAAGTCGCAAAGCTGGTGCTGCAAGTGTGTCAGTCCATTTTTTGCTCAGAGCAATGACTAGAGGAAGGCGAGCTCACTCAAAAGCCATCATCGGATGCGACCGGTGAGATGACCGGAGTGCCTAAAGTGATGACGGGCTCGGGGACATTTATCCAGCCCCAATCTTCTTCATCTGACTCATCCGATATATGCTGAAGATCGTCAGCGCCCTCTGAAGAAGATGGCTTCTTCAGATTGTCTTCCTTATGGATAGTTCGCTCGTAATCGTTAAGTGTACCTTGGAAGTCTGGGAAGATGTGGATTGATTCCCCAGAAGCGATGTACCCACCTAGAATTTCAAGATGTGCACTGGTGATGACCGTCTGTGATTCAGGCAAGTAAACCTGATACTGATTAGAGCCAATTGAGCGAAGAATTCGCCCTTTTCTCGCATGAGGAGCTGTCTTGTTGCCCTGAACGCGGCGCTGGCGTGGCAGATGGACCACGGCAGCCTGCCCGATTGGCAGGAGATCGCTCAAATCAGGCTTGTTATCCTTGCCAGGAGTCAAATCGTCGAAGAAGACCTCATCTGGGGTCTTGTTATCCTTCTGGAGGAAGGAGGTGTAACTCACGTTGAGCCGATCACACACCGCAGGGCCAATAATCGGCCAGAGAGACTCTGGCAGCTTCATTTGCTCAATAACACTTCGAACAAACGAATGAATCACGCCGAGAGAGCGCTCTGCCACCCCATTTTGCTCAGGAGTGTATGGAGCGCTCAGTTCGAACTTGATGCCTTCAGATCGGCCCCATTTGACGAAATTGGCGTATTCCGTGCCGTTATCCAAGCGAAAACAGCGAGGGTAGCGGCCGTACTGGAGCTTCATCCGCTTGTAATAACAGATGCAGATGTCCGAAGCCTCGCCCTTTCGCGCGTGAGGATGATATTCACGTTTTCGTGACTTGCCATCGACTAGCATTGTAGCTCGTTTAGAACCATCGTATCCTTCAGCCGAACGGTGCGCGGTATCAGTGTGAACCACGTCAAGGGCCTGATCAGGGTGTTCCTGCTCGATTCGGGAGACCATTCGACGGAGATTCGTCTCCAGACAATCCAAGCAGGTGAATTCCTTTGCCAATTCGAGCGTATTTGGCGGTAGATCGATGCCTTTGACAATTTTGGCCGTTTTAACGATATCGCCAATCGATCGGTGGCCCAACTTCGTGTGCCAGAGGTGAAGGAGCCTCATAGCCTCCCTTTTGGCCCTCAATTGGGCACCAGGATCACTTTCTTCCTCTCCTTCAGCTGAGAACAGGTTGACAAATGCCTGTGGAGCGTGTATGATGTCGTAAGACTCCTTCTGTAGCGGTGGAGTGATTACCTTCACATACATGCCGCTGTGAAGGGATGTCACCCAGGTGCAAGCAGAGTCAAACAGATCCCGAATCATCAGATACCAACCCTGACGATACAACTGATCGCCAGAGAGGAGGTTGATCTGGAAGGAGGGCACGTAGAGCACGTCTGTGATCAATCGAGTAACTGTTCTGCCTTCAGAAGTGACAAAATCGATCTCCACGTTGCCAACACCAAGTGGTTGAACGGGGCCACCACCTGTAGCAATTGGAAGAAGGTCAGGGTCTATTCGGAGACAAATGAACCACTTCTTATGGTTACAAATAGGAACCGTGGATCCAGAATCGAATAGCCATCGATCAGAGGCGGCAGAGATAGCGTGAGCGTGAGCTTCAGTTTGAATTCCAGGTTGGAAGGGGACACTGAGGTCAATATCCACCTGATTGGCGCCGCAAGGAACGTTAAAATATGCTTCCTGTACCGTGACGTTGCTCGTAGTTCTCGCAGGAGCGACACCATGGTCTCCTGCAGCCGCAGAAGTCTCACGGCACCAGTGAGTAGCGGGAGTAGTACCGCCAGCACCAGATGATCCCCTAGAAGAGCCGTTCGCAGCTCCCTTTGAAGCAGCTTGCAACACCTGCTTCAAGATGCGTTGGTTGCAGCCATCGTGCCCTTTCTTCTTGTTGAGCTCTCCACACTCAAAGCACCACACAACTGTAGTGTTTGAAGCGCCAGGATCCTTCTGATCAGGTCCCCGAGCGCCTCCAGAGCCTCCTTTGTCCCTGTTCTTCTTTCGCTGCTTGTTGCCTTTGTTGGCGCCCGCAGGACTGGCAGGAGTGACAGGAGCAGCAGGAGGGGCAGGAGATCGGCCCATATGGGTCGCAAAGGTCTCATCCTGCGATTTACGGATGTATATCTCCTCCTGAAGCTGATAGATGAGGTTTTCTGTCGTCGAGTAGATCCCACGGTTATAATCTCGTGAGATTTCGCGGTGGAGGGTCGGAAAAGAAGCCCTGATTGCCGCTCGGAAGTTGCAAATCCGACTCATCGCAGAGTAATCGATCTTCTGGCGCTCCACACGATCCATCAGAAGGCGGTAGCGCGCCACGAAGTCATCTCCATGATCGGAGTATCGAATCGCAGATAGATCGTCTAGGACCGACGATACCTGGTCGATTGTCATACCAGAAAAGGCACGACGAAGGGCGATCCAGATTATCCCAGGGTCACGCAAGCCGGCGATGCGATAACCCGCTTCCGGCTTAATATTTTGCGTGATCGAGAGATATACGATCGCCTTTTGCGAGCTTGAAAACGTCTCGCTGGCAGGCTCCTTCTTGTCAGTCTTATCTTTGACCTTTGAAGAAGCCTTGCTCGAATGACCATCTACGTCGACAGCAGAGGTCTTGAGCGAATAGGGGACCTCATCGTCCTTCTCGATGGCTTCTTGGATAAGAGGCCAGAGGTTAACTGCAGTCAGCAGTTGCTCCATGTTTTGAGCCCAATTCTCCCAATTTTCCTGACCAACAAGCTTCTGAGAGTCCAGAAGCTTGATGATCACCTTGGAGAGTGCTCGTTCGAGTCAGACATGATGGTGATGAGGGGATACGGTACGTGATAGGTGGCTTCCGACGTCAGGGAGCCTCTGTTATAAAGAACAGATTCGTACTCGGAGAACGGTAGGGGACTGCGACAATGAGGGTAGCTAATCCTCGTGAAGCAGTATAGAGAGAGATAGATGATCAGCAGCAGAAGATCTGCAAAGGTCGTGATCGAAAGTGAGATGCTACCATGTGAGATTTCAAACCGTTCTGTATTGAAAGGAAAGAGAAGAAGATCTCTGGGGGAGAAGCCCCCATATGTACAGGTGTGCCATCAGGGTGACCAGATAATGATACGATAATGGCGCCAGGATCCTGGTGGCCTGAGGGTGGGCTGACTGCCCTGAAGCTAAACCCATTAGCGCATTTAGCCCCGAAAGCCTCAGCCTGGTATGATATCCAACAGATTGTGACCTTTTCATTGCTGTAGTGTAGTGGTCTTGCCACCAGTCGATGTAGTTGAGATACTCCACTGTCGTCCATACGTCCTGCTGGCGGGGATCCTTGGCAAGCTGGACCGGTTTCGTGAAGTTATGAGATGCCAGGCGTTGCCTAACCGCCTGTGCGTATGCAGTGAAGCCCTCCTTTCCAGACGCCTCTAGGAACATGTCTTCGTACTCCCATGCATGCCTCACGGTGTCCTCAAACAAGGGGTCAGAAACCACATACACTTCTCCTTGATGCAAATATCTCCTTTTTCGCGACTCGAGGTGAGCAGCGAAGCCCTCGCCCTCGCCCCTGATGGTCTGGCCCCGGTTGTCCCAGTGCCATTTGTGCTGGAATGACAGCCAATCCTCCAACTGCGCTGAGAATACCGGTGCTACATCGCCATCCCGATGGCTCAAAGTTGGTGTCGCCCAGCCAAAGTTCGAACTGTTCCGTGTCGGCTCCTGCGTCTTTGACCACATGAAGCAGAAACTAGAGGCACTACCGGCCTGCCACCACCCTTTACCGGCTCGTCATGGCAGAAGGCCTCTAACCGATGGTTGTTGCCCTCAGGGGGGGGGGCTAGAGGTTGGAGACCGGATCTCTCTATTCCACGCCTCCGATGGTGCATCGGCACTACTGTCGGGGTCGGCGAACAAACCTAGGAGTCTCGTGAGTTCGTCCACATATAACCCTGAAGCTGACTCTGCTTCTTGCCATCTTGCATTGCGCGGTCCAAATCGTAAGTCGAGGCCAGAAAAGGAGCAGTAGATTATATTCACTTCAAACAAAGTTACTATTGGTAAAGAGGCCTTTAAATCTTAATCTCGCTAATTATAGGTGAAGGAGAAGTTCTATACTCTGCATTTATTAGACGATATTTTGAAATTAGGCATTCTTATCCCGCCAACACTATCTCTGGTTAGCTCCAAGCTACGACATCTCTCTTCCAGGCATTCCCCTGAAGCCTCTTGCCCAATGGATGACTCACCAGGACCCCGCCACACTCAGATCCAGCTCCTCAGCGTTGGAACCGACAAGCAACCGGGGGATACCAGGACACTCCCTTCAATGGGAGGGCGACGTGGTGCCGATATACCGGTCGCCCCTCGCAGACTCCTCAAGAGGCCACTACTAAAAGTCGAAAAACAGCAACCTAAGAAACAAATGAGGACAGACAAACAAAGTGCAGCTCTTAGAAGGCAGTGGGGCCAACCGCATGAGCAATATGAAATGGCACACCAAGTAGACCTATGCGATCATGTTACAATCGCAGTGCAAAAGAACCAGCCTTATAAGTGTGTTATGGTCAAAGAATTTCCAGCTAAAGAAGCAGGTGCAGTCCTATACTGGTGCCGAAGACTTCAACATAAGAACATTATCACTGCTCTAGAGGCATTCTCAACAGATCAAAGTCTCTATATCGTGTTCGAAGAGATGTTCACCAACCTCGAGTGCCTTGTGGCCTGCCCTGCTTATCCCAACGAAGTCCAGCTTGGGGCCATCCTGGGTCAGGTACGGACGATCTCATATAGTACCACATAGCTGCTAACCAGCTTGAAGTTACTCGATGGGCTGTCGTATATCGAGAGCGAGAAGGTCAAGTGTGAAACGCTCGTCGGGAGCCAGGTTCTACTGAATTTAGCGGGCGACGTCAAGATAAGTACGATACCATGCTTGTACCTTAATGCACTATTTCTAGATGTAACTAAATAACGAAGGAAGTGAGCCATACATATACAGATTTGAAGTCAGGTGCAGCCTCGAAAACTGACGCGATCGAAGATGTGAAGCGGATCACGACACAGCTCATGTACAAGGTTGAGTCCGCACTTACTGTCTCCGGTAATAACCGCTGGCCAACCATATCGAACGGCTATAAATTTCATGTGGGGTTGAACTCCGCAAAATCTATAGCAGGACTGCTACAGGTACGACCACGTTGTCTGTACAATTTAAGTATTAACCTCGTCTAGCATGCACTCGTCCAAGATAATCGAAGAAGGGAGACACTACAGGTTCTAGTGCGGTTAGCCATGATTTCTCTCATACCACCGTATCGTCATCATCACCCCTGACTCCGAATCGAACGCGTTTCGCAAACACCTAGGACCATTAAGGAATCTTTCAGATAATACATCCAGTTCATCTTGCAATGGTAAACCCAGCTCTTTCAACAAGAACCTATCAATAGGCATCGAGAGAGACCTGAACCTTGAAATGGAGCTCGAATGGAGAAACAGTACAGTAGTGTAGTTCGCCTCGATACCCTTTCTTTCCATCAGGAATCGGACCAATAATAGAAAGCTTATTACATAACAATTACTTCGCGGCGGGAAGATACCAGCGTTTGCGGTGCACCAGATTTGCTCTGTGGAGCAGAGAGATCCATCCATAGACAATGGCGGGAACCATTGATTTGGGTATTGCTACACAGTTAACTGTAATCCTTTTCCTCCTCCCATTGTGCATTGGCCTCGTCGATTTCGAGGTTACGTCTCTCTACTGTCAATAAGAGCTTCCGTAAGTGATTTTGAAGTGAACAGACAAGTGGTGCACATTGTTCGTTAAGTTCCCGAAAATATGCAGCCTCTGCTCGAAGCCGTCCGTTTTCACGAGACAGCTCAGTGATTCCTCCTCAAAAAGCCGGTCCGATACGTCTCGCTTGACGTTGACGATGATGCCACCCAGCAACTGCCCGATGACACCCATCGAATATACCGCCGACTGCTCGACGTCGCTAATTACGGCGAGGGCATATACCCCCCTGAAGTCAAAGGCCGGATTCTGGCCTCGCTGGGATCTCGGACTCGCCCGCCGCCCGACAACTTCTGGGCGGCCTGCCATACACAAACAGGATCACACATCCGGACTGGTCATGCAACTGAAGAAGGTGTCAGCCCTGCCATTGACCACTTCTTGCAGGCAGAGATGGATGGCCTAGAAAGGATTGAGCACACCGCTCGCACCTCTCTCGACACTGGCAGATCTGAGTCGGCTTGGGACGCCTTTTTGCATATTCCTCTACTGCAGCTTGCCCTCCGAGGCTACCACTACAGGGATCACGCTTTGCAACCTTCTAAGTGTGGACCAGCCCTGGAGCTTTGTACCACGGCCAGAATCGTGCCTCAATTCGCCCCGGGGGCTGCTCAAGGCCCCACAGGGCGTGGCCCTGACTGGGCGGCTTCGAAGATGGTCGATATTGTGCTTGGGCTTCGTTTGGATTCGAGTCTCCCAGATGATCCTACTCACTCGACGGCTCCCTCCGCCCCCGACATCCAAGGACACGCTGGCTCAACCCCCAATTTCGATGCCCAACTACCGCCCAAACTCGACGATGACAACATGAGGAAGCTTCACAAGGCCATCCGCACAGTGGTCGCATTGCAAGTACAACAAGACGGGACTGTTTGGGGCTGTTGACGCAAGCATCAGATCAAGAGGAGGCAAAGTCCATGACAGAAGACGTGTTCTTTATGGCAGGTGCCCCTGTGGAGCGCCAAGCTACAGACCAGACCCTGACAGCGCCTTTCAGAGCAATAGTGGACTCCGTCGTGGGGTCAAAAGGTTCAAGGTCTTATTCACTTAGGCCAGAATGCCTTGTGGACAGGCTCGTCCGGTCTACCCCACTATTTCTCATGTTTCTTCCATAATTCCAATGAAAGCAGGCAGTCAACTTGCGTTTGCTTGCTGCTGACGCTGCACATTTGTCCCTTGAACAGATGCTATGGTTCGGGGTCTACGTGATTCCCACACTTGTTGTCCCTCAGCCCTCTTGCCTCTCTTCCAACCTGCTGGCTCTACTCATTCCCAAAGCTGATCCTGCTCACCCCACCATAGACCACTCCGCGTTGAAAGCCCGTGTTTTGACTGCCAAACGTGACTGTACCAACAGAACCCTGGCTTTGTGCAGTAACCTTCGCTGCAGTAAGCTTCGCCACTGTCTCTGTCTGTGCCAGCAGTTCCTGCAACAATTTAAGCGAAGCGGCGAAGGTGTCCTGTTCTTGTCTTAGCCTTTGCTGATCTTGCTCGCTGGAACTAAGGTCCAGCGTTGTTATGCTGTCCTCGACTTGAAGACGATCCTTTGTCGTCCTAATGGCGTCTGTGATTTCTGTTTGTTGCGAAGATATCATATTCCTGGTCTCTTCAGCAACGTGGCCGTTTCGAATAGGTCCGAGCCTATTAGGATTCTCTGATATCTGGGGCCGCGACTTGTCGTTAGATGACTCCCTCCGATTTTTCAACCTGGACTGGTTGACTCGGCAAATTCTTTCGACTCGCTTGACGGCGAGGCTTGTCATTTACGCATCCAGGGATGTTGTTGGATATCATACCAGGCTGAGGCTTTCGGGGCTGAATGCTCTAATGGGCTTAGCTTCAGGGCATTCAGCTGGCGCCATTATCGTATGATTATCTGGTCACCCTGATGGCACACCTGTACATATATATGGGGGCTTCTCCCCCAGAGATCTTCTTCTCTTTCCTTTCAATATAGAACGCTTTGAAATCTCACAGATGTCTTTTAGCTTCTGGCATATTAAGATAATCGAGTTAGTACTTTCAGCATTTAGACACTGGCATGCGTGGCATGGGATGGTGATAGCAACGGAGTAAAATCTATTAACGAAGGCGGTGTGTTGTCACGCTACCTAAAACATATTCACCTTGTACCTGGCAAGGCCGGTGGAGAGACGGTTCCCTCTACACGCTCCTAAAATGCCCAACTTCCCCGGCACTACCTGAGACCATCGACTGTGCAAAGGGAAACTCCTATCCTGCTAAAGACATTTAATTCAGTATGGTCCTTGTTGTGATCGAGAGCGACGTACGCGGTGAAATTCGTGTCGAATATCAACCAAGTTTGTCGACATTGCAGCTGTCAATTGATGAAGCTGCTGCTGCTGCCCTGAGATTTCCCCTTCCTCGTTTTCGGGTAAGGCCGGCTGCTCCCCGAAATCTGTCAAGAGTAGTTGTCGATTTAAATGCAATCCTCAAAGAGTCGACCGTTGCTTGGCACGCCTGTTTCAATGCAGATGGACTTCGATTTGTCAAGTCGAGAGTCGACGCCACACTACTCTCGTGCGTTGGATGGCTGTGTCCACTCTGCACTGAGATTAACTCCGGGGAAGAATAACATAATGCTCTGCTCAATAGAGGACCCGACACTCGGGCGCTTGCTAAATCTACTAGAGCAGGTTTCCCCGCGTGAGTTAACGAGACAGCACGAGCTGTATTTTCGTGGGCCTTCCATCCAGATGGTGATACCTCTGGGGTTCCGCTTGATGATTGGAGCTCGTCGTCAGATTCGCATAGGCACACCGGAATGTTATCTTGTGCCGACTGGGAAACATTGGGGGAGTCATTTGGGATCGGTATTATAAGCTCAGTTATCTTAAGATTGAGATAAGAAGGTGGTCGTGACGGGCTCACAACATCTCTGTCCCATATGTTAGAAGGATCGATGATGTTTTCGACTTCGTGTTCGAGATTTGCCATATTTATAAAGGCTGCATTTGAATCTATTTCAACTAGTTGTAAGGATGCCATAAATATAGTATAACAATCGGCGCTTAGCTTCACGGCTGCAATGTAATTGTTTTCTACGTGGTACTAAGATATATAACTAGAGGTATTTGCCCTTCGCTGTGAACTGTCATTTATCACTTTAGAAAAGCGGCAATAATGGCTTTTAAAATCCGGCCAGGGCCTAGATTCGAAACACACAGCACCGGGGATGTTAGACAGGCAGACAACTATATTGAGAGCCCTGAGAATATTATGGAGTAGAAAGTAAATAAATGAGGCAATATTAGACAGTACAGCATCTAGGGTGGCTGATTAAGATCATGATTTTGATCTCATTTTCCCACTTGCAATAAAACAACATTGACGGCTCATTTTGGCGAGGAATGCTATCAACACTCTTTGCTACTAGCAGCGTCAGGCCTCGACGACGGACTCGGGCATGAGAGGGTGTAGCAGTGTCACCACGAAGCGCCGATTCGCAGCTTGTCACCCTTGTGCTTGTGGCTCCAATTCAACCTTAGCCGCTAAAGGGATATCCCTTGAGATACAGTAAGTACCAAGCTTAATAAGTAGCTTTATGTAGCTTGGATCAGGAACTGGCCTAAACAACGTCAGCATGTATTGGACGCTTCTAGATCTGGCTTATTTGAGCAGAAAACCCGCTAAACAGGCACCAGATGAAAAGAATACCATATATAAAGCTTCAAACCACAAAGGCTACTATGTGTATAAAGAGTACTAAGCAAGTTACTTGTTTCTTAATGTTAATTTTCCAGTCCCATATAGTGATATACTTACGTAGACTATATCTTTCTAACCCAACCCTAGAGAATGGCGCGCCTCCCTCAAGAACTGGAAGATGAAATCACACATCATCTCGACCCCATTTCTCTAGCCAGGACTGTCAGTGCGGGAATAAGCGTGCCACCAACTCTGATACCACGGGCGCAGTTTAGTAATGTGTGGGCTTCAATCCTTAACGTTACGGATTGTCAGATCCTTCAGCGAGCCTTTTCTAACCAAAGGAATGCTATTTTAATCGGCTATGATCTTGACTTGCTTGCTCAACACTCGTTCAAACAGCCCCTAAGGAAGCCTATGAACCTTATATTCACATGGTATGGCGCAGAGCATGACCTTGCATTGAACGAGCCGATAAAGTATAACCGAGTTGAACACTACGAAATCCCTTGAATAACCCTCCAGGTTGCCTTACCTCATATTCTGCAGGAAGTACAGGTCCATGACCTCCACAAATACATCAAAAGTGATCTTCAGACAAGCATAGCGTATTTTTAAACCGATACGCAGTTGCGAAGTGTAAAGGCACGGGTGAAGCAATCAAACTCATACTCATCCGAAAAGATATATGAGTTAAATCTAGACAACTTATGCATGCCTTTTGAAACTGGGGACACCTGACCACTTCTACTATAACAGGATGTATGACTATTAGTCACCCCAAATGAACAAGTCCAGGGGCTTTCTTTTTCATTTTGTTGCGTGGTCATGTGATTATAACGGTGGATCAATGTCCACATCCCTCTGGCGACGTCGACATCGTTTGGAAGCATCCTTAATCACCTAAACCACTTGAATTTTACACGTTTCCTATTGTCGCGACGATCACTACGTGGAAGAGATACCGTAATTGCAGCTAGAGGAGCTTCCACGCGCTTTCTTTTGTTATGAGCATGGTAGGTTTGGCACCAGAGAGCTGCCTGTTTAGTAGAGTAGGCAGGAGGATGCTGGTGTTACGAACCAACAACACCACAGGCCCGTTGGCAGGCCTGGAATGAAAGGCAGCCTACCGGGGGGGGGGGGGGGGGGCAATCGGAACAAGGACGCAACACGGAAGGAAAACGCAAGGCACACAAGCACGTGATCTAGAGATTTCTGGTTAATTATTAAAGGTTATTACTAACACGGCGAGCCTCCTTTAACGTGCACAGGAGCATTATATTGCTGAAAAGGGTCCCCTGCCTCTGAAATACTTATGGCACGCGACCAGCGAGGGTTTGGGGAAGAGACTTGCGCCAGATGAGTCCTGTTTTCCACCCCTGTTACCATCTGTGAAGGGAGACCCGAGCACTGCTACTCCAGTTCTGCTCACGGTCCAATATCTATGGTCTAGTTTGGCCTCATGATCCAGTTTCTGCTCATGATCCAACTTCTGATCATGGTCCAATTTTTGATCTTGGTCCAGTTTAATCCCCTAATCCATATGTAGCCCCCTGCGAAGCAGATGACCCTTGGTACCATTACACATGGCTTATCTAAAGATCAAGTGGGGGTTTCTTTTTAAGTTAATAAATATCCATGTTGGTTGTGCGTCATGCTTTGTGTCCAGGCATTACCCAGGGAGTACCGGACAAGGAGACGAGGTTATTACAAGGGGAGCTGTAATTAACATCAATTATTATAAATAGCAGCTGCCGTTTTTCAATTGAGGACAATTGCTTCCCGCGTGTCAACCACGCCTCTCCTTTATCCTCCTTTTAACCATGGAACCCATTAATATGGCGCACTCGACGAGGGTAACACATGTGGTGTTCCACTTTGGGGTCCATTTGTTTCTCCAACATCCCAGGCCTGTGAACGGCTTTCCGGTTTACAAGAAGGGTTTCAGTATGATCCCAAGTGGCCTCGACAGCTTCACGGTGTAGCCGCTTCTTATCCATGGCAAGGACCTAAGAGCCTTACAACTGGAACGTAGCTAATAGCTTATAGTGATGCTATGGACGTCCAACTTGGTACTGGCAAAGTCTATATACCTCAGACTCCAGTTCAAGGAGCATCAGTAGCGCTTCAAACCCAATTGTTTTCCAAGTACTCAGGCTTCACATTGTTAGACTTTGCGTCATACTCTGGGTAAGAACAATACTTCTATATTAAACTACAGAATAATCGAATGGACAAAGCCATATTAACTATCAACAAAATAAAAGATGTGAGGATACAATGAAAATGCAACAGAAGCCTCAATGTTGGGAGCATGGATATGATGGCCGCAAGTTCTCTACGTCGAGCAATCTTCGCCGACATCAACGTGAGAAGTCAGGACGGGCACCTCGGTCTACTTGTAACGCATGTCATAAAACTTTCACTAGGAGGACAGCAATGAGATACCACGCTAAAAAGGTCCACCTAGATGAACATTCAAGGACGGCAACGGAAAGACAGAGACAGGTAGATTAGAATTAAGACTAGTCGTTCTCGTTTCGAACATATTTTTTCCCATGCGTGAACTTGTTAGAAACGTCTTGATCGATCAATCGTAATACTCGAGTATGGGGTCAAGGTAATGATGTTGTAGATTGACCCGCAGACCCTCGAATTCAAAGAGGCAACCCACGCAGACGATTCAAAATATCGTAGGCTCAATCGTTTGTGACGAGCCGTCTAACCTATAAGGCTAAAGGGTTCTATATGGTTTATGTTCTGAGGTAAGTCAGCACAAAAGACGATAGAGGCTTCTGTCAACTAGAAGACACTCAGATGCTGGGGCTTGGTCTGAACCGGGTTCACTGTGTAGTCGAGTCGTCAGGAGATTTCTCCCACCTTAGTGTTGGCTAAGATGCTTAGATTGATCACTGAGGTAGAGACTGTCTATCTTGCTAGCTAGGAAATACCTTTCCTTATATATCCAATCTCTTCCTCACTGATGGGGTCTCGCTCAGCCTGGATCACGTGATCCGCGTTATCGTTGTTCCGTGTATGGTATTCCCGTTGATCCTCTGCCAATGGATTCCCGGCCTGCCAACGGGCCGCTGTGTTTGTTGGTTCGTAACAATCTGGACAGTGAACTGGAAAGGCAGCACAGTACGTAGTAGTATACTTAGGTAGATACCGTTAGCAAATTGAATTTCCGTTTCTCTCAGTAATGAACGGACCATGCCGCTGCTGCGTCACATGTGTTCGGGACCAGCCACCCGGGTCCTTGTCATACCCCTGCTGCAAAGATCACGTGATGGGCCCTGGCTTGCGAGGCCGACTTCTGTTTTTAAGTGAAGTCCATCCTTGCATCTTTCCACCTTTCCAACCTACACCCACCACAGTCCGGCAGAACCGGCGAACCCGTCTTGTCCCCGCTCACAGCCGTCGCTGGCCATGTTTGCCATGACGACGCGTTCCGGCAGCCCATCCACTTCCACCGCCAGCCAAGGCTCGTCCCACGACCTAATCGTAAGCCCGTACCACACTCTTTCGACCCAGTTCCGCATTGCGGCCTATCAGCTAATAGCCGTGCGAATTTCCAGGACTTATTCGACATTGTTGCCAATCAAGGCGCTTACCTCGTTCCTCGCGTACATACACCGGTATTTCAAAAAGCCTACAATGCCCAATTTCCCGCTGAACTTGAAATGCACCTCGATGCGCTTTGCATAGTACGGAATTGCAGATGTGCCAGTTACAACGACGCCGACGACGAATGGCCCATTGGACGCACGCCCCCAGAGGTTAAGGGAAAGCGCGAGGCCGAGTTGAAGGCGTGGGATGAGATCGCAGGTATTACCTCGGACGAGAGTGGTGACGACGACAAAGATACAGGCAGTACTGATATCGACGCCAGACTCGACTCGGAGAAGGCAGTGACAGCACCAGCACCGAGTCCACACCAAGCAGCCTGGCTTGCGACACCACCACTGTCCGCCGAAAGTTCGCTGACCACACCGCATAGGCCGAAGCAGCTGGAGAGATCAGAGAAAGATGCCGGTGAGGAGGACCGTCCCACCAAGAAGCACGTCAGCTCTGCGGAAAAGGTCACAGCCCAAGAGGTCTCAGCCACTGCAGAAGATATTATACCCCACACAGCGCAGCATAAGGGCCGGAAGCGGCGACGGGATCTTGACGGGGACGATAGACCGGAAGGAGACGAGGCGCGCCCGACCAAGGTATGAAACCCCACTGTTCTCCCCAGCAGCATATGGCTGCAAAGACTTCGACCACGACCAACGTCAAGACGGCCCAAGAAGCCCATTGGATGATGATGCCACGCTATCTGCTGGGCGAAGCAGCTGTTTAATACGTAAAGTTATTCGGGACTTCCTCGACCCGGCCGAGACCTTGCCATCCTAGGTTTGTTCAGAGCAAAACCTTATTTGAGCCGTATAATGGATGGCTCGCCTGAGGCCACCCAGCGTCCCTTCTCTAGAGGCATCTCGAGCGGCTGCTAGAGCGACATGCTCACGAGACAACTGGGAAGCCGCCGCCCCCCCCCCCCGCGCCGGTTGATACGAAACGATCCTTTCCTTGTGCAGTTTTATCCCTTGGTCGAAGAGACAAGCCGGTAGGGATTCTGTGTGCATCTGCCACATCGGAAGCTACGAGGTTTAGCTCCTTGGTAATAGTTTTCCTAAGGGCGTACGAGCTGATAGTTCTCGACCAGCCAAGCTGGTCTTCTGGAAGCCTTATGAAGATGCGGAGGTCTTCTTTCTGCGTCGGCGGTCTTGTCCCGGCATGTTTCTTCCAGCTGCCTGGGGCTGGATGTGTTGGATATCGTACCAGGCTGAGGCTTTCGGTGATGAATGCGCTGATAGGTGGCTTCATGGCATTCACCTGGCGCCACTATCAGATGATTATCTGGTCACCCTGGCGCCATTATCGTACGACTATCTGGTCACCCTGATGGCACACCTGTACATATATATGGGGACTTCTCCCCCAGAGTTCTCTTCTCTTCCCTCTTCTAATACAGAACGGTTTGAAATCTCACAAACTGTTTATCCACGACGGTGGAGGGAGGATTCCAGCAATGGCGAGGTCTACGAAGGTATGCTCTTGGGTCTTTTATGCCGCACCAAATGTACAGAAGCGGGAATCTGACGTGTAAGACTCTGTAAGTCAATTCGGGACATGGTCAAGTTATAACTTTCTACGAAAGTTATTGAATGGCCGTAGCTGAAGTTGTTAGTAATAACCTTTACTAATTAACCAGAATATTCTAGGGTATTCTATACGCATATTATAGATACTACGTATTTATAATAACTATAGAATCTCGGTTTCAAGACTTCCCCTTATGACGAAGGGATGTTCTATAACAAAAATACTATAATCCTATGCCACGTGGATGATCTTCTTATCATAGGAACCGAAGAGGATATCAACTGTATAGCAGAGAAACTCTGTGATACTATAAAGCTCGAAAGGCTTGGTACTGTTACCACATTCCTAGGAAACGATATACAGTTGAACCATAAAGAGAAGACTATAACGATAAACCAATCGCGATATACCAGGAAATTACTGGATAAATTTGCTATACACCAAAAGTGTAAGCCACAAAATACCCCTGGGACGCCAGGTATAAAGTTAAAGAAAAATTCTTTAACGGCTGATATAAAAGATATAAATCAATATCAAAAAGAGATAGGCTCTCTTTTATACTTGGCTTTAAAGACAAGGCCAGACATAACATACGAAGTATGCTACCTAGCCCGTTTTATGGCTAATCCTTCGTCAGAACACTATAACGAGCTGAATAAACTATGGGGTTACCTCCTTAAATTTCCAGATCAGGGAATTTTTTACGACTGCAACGGACCTTTAGAAATTAAAGGCTATACAGACTCCGATTGGGGTAATAGTATAGAAGACAGAAAGTCTACATGCGGTTATATATTCAGTCTCGGACGAATACAAGTAACTAACCCTATAAGTTGGGTTAGTGTCACGGGCTCCGGTACGGGCAGTATAGGCGATCGTATGACAGTCTATTCTCTACGGTTCTGGCAGGGTTACAGGTAACTCTATTGACAGGACGTAGCTCAAAGAGCTACAATTCAGGTTCGGGCGGGAACAGTGAAGATATCGTCAGTTCTCAGGTCCACATTGGTCCACCCGGGCCGCCGACAGCTGGCGCCCGGGGTCCCTCCACTTCCTGCCCATAGGCAGGGTCCAGCGCCGTGACAGTTAGTATAAAACAAAAATCGGTAGCTTTAAGCTCCTGCGAAGCTGAATATATGGCTTTATGCCAAGCAGCAAAAGAGGCTATATACCTGAGCAACATGCTTAATTATATAAATATTCAACTAAACCTTGGATATTCGTATAGTAGGCCACTGTTGTTCAGCGATAACGAAGCTGCTATAAAACTTACAGCCAATCCCGAGTTCCATAAGCGGTCAAAGCACGTTGATATTCAATATCACTTTATTCGGGAGGCTATAGCCGAAGAAAGAATAACGGTAGCCTATAAATCTACTAAAGAACAGTTAGCAGATTTGCTAACTAAAACGCTCGAAGTTAACCAATTTAACAAGCTTAAAAGGTTAACTGGAGTACTATAACCTAAGGTTTTATTTGAAAGCTTTCCCTACTAGGGTTTTAACGCTGCAAATTTTCCTTAGAGAGGTATTACTATAATCTGCTTAGATTATGGGGGAGTGTTAGTAATAACCTTTACTAATTAACCAGAATATTCTAGGGTATTCTATACGCATATTATAAATACTACGTATTTATAATAACTATAAAAACCTCTAGAATAGCACTGAGTTAACTATATAAGGAGTGATTTCTTCCCTCTTTTATTGATAGAAGAACAGACACAGAGAGATATACACAGACACACATATCAATACTACATCTATACCTACCTTCAATTATTCATACTCAGTCGATCCCGAATACCTTCCGCTATCTTTTATCTACCTCCTATAGAAGTCTCACTGGAAGCGCAAAAAGTGAAGCTTGTTTAAGACATATGAGTGGCGCATGTACTCTAAAATGGCGAGATCTAGAAGGTAACCATTAAGGATCTATAAGTATGGGTAGTAACTAGACATTAAGCGTTTATACTGCTAGTTTAGTTGCAAATATATGTACTGTCTTGTAGAAACGGTTAGTCGTTATTTGTGTGATTTAAAATATGCAGGAGGATACCTGGTACCATCACGTCTGCAGTTGGATTCATACACCTTGATGCGTGCATGTATCTGAGATGCTGTTTTACCGCTTCGTTTTTGATCCACGTGACGGCCGTCGCCCTCTTAGCAACAAACCGTTCGTCCGTATGGCATGTTATCTAGTATATCGGGATATATGGTGGCTTAAGAGCGCGACGAGGCTGGATGGCTATTGTGACATTTAATGGCCAATAATTCCCAGTCGTCTTTCGAGTTGCCTTACGGTTTGTCTATAGTAACCAGAGCATGTAAGAGAAGCCGAGGGCTCCTCAGAATGCTTGGTTGACGATGACAGTCAGACAGGCACCAAACCCCACCGGAGGCCTAGCCGAAGCCGTGTAGTCAAGCATTCATAGGCCAAAAGCCCACGGACGGATCGGAAGATACCAAAGCAAGACAAGTACAGAGTGATTCAGAAATTGCCAGAAGAACGTGCAAATCGCGCAACGAGAACATCAACCCTAGAGGAGGTAAAATGCGGGCATCGACATCTGTAGGACGAGTACCAACTTGGGATGGTAACTCGTCGAGGTTGACCGTGTTGTTTCCGTTACCAGAATGGGAGATTACACCTCCAATGGGCCGGTCTGAGACATCTATCGCAACAACTGTCTTCCTTGAGGGGTTAATACAGATAACGCCCAACAAAAGCTTATCTTGTCCTGATCAATCACCTAAGTGCAAGGCTGACGCGGCAAGCTCTCGGGTGATGTGAATATCATCTTCAGGCAGTAAGATGAGGACATTCCCACGACTCAATCCAGCAGCAGCGAAGCATTCCTTTGGAAGAAGTGGTTGCATCGTGGTGGAAAACGCTCGTAGCCCGCTGATCAGTAACGTCTCTGTAGCCGCCTCCACGTCAGTAGTATTGTTCGCAACTTGTTGCACTATGTTCCATTTCTGCATTTCGCGAGTCACAAACTGGACATTCTCTTTCTGAGTAGATGTAGAACCTCCAATGTACCTGCTCTGTCCCCTGATCGGCGGCGCCTCAAGCGGTAAGTCTAGCGCCTTAAGCGGTAAGTCCAGCGCCGGCCTGGCAGATTGATTCAAGAGTAACAATGGCTGATCTTGTTTTTGGCTATCTTCATTTTGACTCGTGTCCATCCAGTCAACGAAGGAGGCCTCTTCATACGCGCTCTGCTCATCGCGGGGCCTGACCAAGCTAGATATGGATTCGTATAGGTCATTATGGCCCGACAGACGGTGTAGAGAATAGGCAGTGTGAGAATAGACAGATTGCGTAACGCCCTCATGGTTATCATTGCTTTTTTTAGCAAAAAAAGCTAATAGAATGCTCTTCCGGATAAAGAAAGACGTAACCCGGGTATCTGAACTATTTCCTGCCCTGATGTTTTCTAAGACTATCAAGTGCTTGTCGTGCTGATGCTGTGTATCGCTCAGAAATCCGTATCTTCTCTTTCTCTCGACCTCATCTGCCCTCACATTGGCTGTCCGCGGCATATCGCTTCTAGGAAGTTCATCGTCTGTAGCAATTGTACCTAGTACCCGGGATCTTAATTCGTTGATGCGCTCGTTTTCAAATCCTTGTTTGTAGGCCTCTATGGCAACACCATACAAGACTACTTCTTTGGCCTTTTCGGTTTGTGCTTTCGCCAAGATGTTCTTCTTATGCGTCGGTTGTGATAGGTCGGGGTAGTTCTGCGCTACGTACAACCACAAGCGTTCTTCTTGCTGTCAAAAATCATCTCGGTTCTGCTGAAAAGAATGCCAAAGAGCTGCATCAATAGTCTGATTGCTCCTGCCTGAGAGGCCGATAACGAACCGCATGTTTTCCGCGCAGGACTCCAGGTATTTGGCATCTTTGAAAAATATATACAGTGAAGGTATCGGGCAGTCGATCGCAAGTAAGTTTTTATAGATCCCTTTGTGCTCTTCGGAGTTGAAGCTTTGAAGTATCTCGCCACTCTGAAGCCGAGACTGGAGACTTTGGGCGTCTGTAGCGGAAAACTTGGGACATGTCAGCTCCAATGCCTTCATGTCGGCGGCCGTAATCCGATTCATGGCTAAAAGGTCTCTATCGAATATTCTGGTCCATACTACGAGAATGTGGCTCAGATAGTTGAAAACCTTCTATACTAAATGTAAGCTTGTTGAGTTGGAAGTGGGCTGGCTTGACTTACCTCATCGCACCTCATAGTCAATATCTTGTGGACTGAGCCTAAATTCATCCCCTGCCATAGGCCGGGAATACACAGTAAGCGGTCAAATGCCTCTACAAGACTCTTCTCGGAGGCATTGCCCTCACTGTGGCAATAATGGGTACGTCGGCGGTGTCGGAGCAGCTGTTTAAGACATCGACGGCAATGCGGAGTTAGAGACTCCCAGTAGCTTTCGACATCTAGATCTCCTGCGTGATAACTTTTGCGAATATGGAAAAACAGCTGACCGGATTCTCTACCAGGATTATTCTCTCTCTCCATTCCTAATATACAACCTGGGATGCGTTGTCGTAGTGCGAGTGTTGTACAAAGATCCAAGGTGCAAGTTTTACTGCTCGGCCTTATGGCGAGGGAGGCTCGTCACACTAATAGGGCAGAAATTGTTGGATTCTGGGCTATTCTAGCCCATTCATGGTCATCCTGTGGGAACACCACCCTCATTTATGGCTCCGTTGTATACGTAACCATATACGTAGCCAACATATGGCCACGTATCCATTCCTTCTGTATCTTAGATATACAGGGCCATTTTGGCCGTCCCAGAGTAGCTGGAATTCCTCTCCTTAGATAGAACACTTTGAAATCTCACAGAAATTTGTTTTTGGATGCAGTTCCTACTCTAGGTTCAGGTCTTGGTCACAATCTAATTCCGGCTGATGATTCCGTTTTATTTTCCCTGAACATTGTCCAATTTATCCCATTAATCATTGCCAACTCACCCATATATGCAGTAAAGTAACCCTATTTAGATCAGAATTTCTGGAAGCCATTAATGATCCGCTTTCGAACTATAGCTCAGGCATTCGATCGTAAAGGAGCGCGGAAGCAACGTCCATCTAAATAGAATGTACTTGTACAGTATCACTCCACTATAGAACTCGACAGAAGTCGCAGACATGTCCTATCTTCCATTAAATGATGAAAGACGCGGACCATCCCATGATTAAGAGCAAAAGAGACATTAACGACCTGACCGAGATGAGATCATTGACTCGGAGTTTGGGGAGTTTGGGTCTGAGCGTGAAGCTGCTCCACAACATCGAAGTCGACCACATAACGATCAACCCGGGCGAGAAGTACGGCAATACGAGACTAGAAAGTCCTATTCTAGGTTTAGTGTCTCATGAGCTCTATTAAGCAACGCGATGCCTTTAAATTGCGGAAGATTCGATTTGTTACACGAGAGTTAGGTGCAACTAAACTCGAACGCGCTCTTGTGACGGCCTGCACAGACCTTCCCACATGATAAGCCGATACCTCCTAATAAGGGAAGGATCTGACTGGAGGACCCCCTTAAAGGGACAGCCTCCAGCTGTACCTAGCTTTCTCTCTCTTCCTTTCCTCCTTAGTCTTGATATTCTCGTCAATAGAGTAATAGCTGCTTGCTGCCGGCCATGTCCCAGCTCCTCAGTCCGCTCGCCGTGACAGTTCCGTACGGTATGGTCAGGACTTTGATTGTGTTGATGGGAGCCGGAAATAGACACCGGAAGATGTCCAGTGGGGCAGAGACGCACAGGGCATCTGACCCACCCAGAAGATAGATCATCAATCTCTGCACGCTCAAGGGGTGAAGCAGAAGAACAGCGATAACAAGACACACTTGACAACCTAAATAATCTGAGCTTGCTTACATCTGACACAATAAGATGAATTAAGTGCGATAGAGGGATGGTATTTAAATGCGATACTCGAGATCCAGGTATGGACGCGGCTTGTAGACAGGGGTACGAGACAGCAAGTTCCGAAGTTTCCTGAAACTGAATCTCAGGCATGGCCAAAATCAGTCCTCAGATGGATCCAGAAAGACATGTGTCATCTACTTCGAGATCCTATCTGAGCAAGACCCGTGGCCTATTGTTATGCGGTGTGTAGCTAGGTAGTGATGTAGTGCTGGTCTGGTGAGTACCTGCAGCTCCTCGTAACAGCGTAAGTGATACTCAAGGTTCCAGTCTTTCTAGCGGGATGATAGCGTTGATTGTGCCTTGTCCCACCATTTCTCGCGAGCTGCAGCTCCCTTCATTAGCGCCATGGACTTGATGCCGTAGGCTGTGGGTGTACAGTCCCTGTCGATGTCCGTCCCTATGGAGCATGTCTTGCTGGGCCTGAAGATTGATAGCCCGTTGCCTTAACCACTGGCGAGCTGGGTTGGTGATGTCGGTCTTCCAGTTGGTAAGGAAAGGTAGTTCCGGTGAGAAATATAGGCGGTTCCGCCGGCAGTCTGGTAAGAGGTTGTGAACAGCCAAGAATCGCTTGCCAACAATAAGGTCAAAGTTCTTGCTGGGCCCAAACTCTGCTTCCAAGATAGGGGCTTCCCGGAAGGTTCTTCCCTGAATCTGGAAATTTGCTGCAACCGCTGTGTTGACAACTTGTGAGTGTCCTTTACCAAAACCATTCAGGGTGGCAGGCTCATTAAAATATCTTTGAGGGAGTTCCCATCGTTGAGCCAAGGGGCTCATGATCGAACGGCTGCCTAAGAGGTAAACCTCTGCTCCGGTATCAATTAACACCCTTACGCGTACCGCAATTCCATTCCATCGGATGGTCGCAGTCATTACAAAGGTACTGCTGCCAATTAAGCCGGAGAGGTCTGATCGAAGTGATGGAATTTCGAGGGAGTGGTGAGCTAGCTGATTAATAGTATATTGGAGGCCTAGGCGGGAGACTTTCCCTAGGCCTTTGAGTTTTCCGACTCGCTGCTAGAAGTAACATCCTGTGTCGGATTAGAAGGGGCCTCGTTATCTTCTTCTAGAAAGTGTACACGAGGAGTCCTTTTATCTGGACACTTGGGGGCTATATGGCCATCCTTGCCACACGAGTAACATGTAATGCTTTCCGCCTCGTAAGGTGTGCGCGATCGGTCGACATGCTTCCTTTCAGTGGCTGCAGAAAGACGGGGAGTCTTCTAATCGGGTGATGCCCTTGCTGGTTGGAAAGTAGTATCAATCGCTTGGTCGGGCAAAGCTTGGGACGGTAGGCTTCTGGCAAACCGCTGGGGTCTAGATGCCGCAGTAATAATACGGCGAGAATTAGCCTTCGAGAAGCTCTAACGTTACTTCTTGATTCGTTCGACCTCTGCAAGCTGTTAAGCGTTACTAGAACAGATATTTCGAAATTCGTTAAAAGAAACGTTAAAGTCGAGGTAAGAAGCCATTACTTGTATCCTCAGGGGTGGAGTTAACTTTTGGTTTAGTTCGTACTTCCATTCTGTCCGGGACAGGCCTGCCTTGCTGGCCAAGAGGACCCATGTGGAACAGAAGGAGTAGAAATCTTGCGTCGGTTCCATCCACAGGTCATGGAGCTGATCCCTAGCTTGAGCAGCCGCGTCGGGATTGCTATAAGAGGACCGGAGAAGGTCATACACCTCCTCAATGGTAGTAAGTGACTCGGTATTCTCTTCAGATATGAATGGTTCCAATGCTATAGCTGCGTCACCTTCTACTAGCGTATAGAGCCAGTTAAACTTTGATTCTTTAATAGGAAAGAGCCACCAGTTAGTCCGTAGCTTACGTTAGGTGCTGTTCTTCCACTGTTCAAAGGTTGGGTTTTGGCCATCGCTCAGCTTTGCAGGATCTGCTAGCTTGATGGAATGTCGCATGGCATTCGAGGTTGACGCTATGGAAGACGGGGAGTCCCGCCTAGGGGTCGTCGTATGTAGAGAACCTATTTCTAAGGAAGGAAAGGCTCGTTCTTTTCGCGGTACGTTAAAACGCACAGACTGCCGTTCCGTTGTGTACCTTGGAGGCTCAGACCTGGGGATCCGGGTGTGTAGCTCGGCTTGTAATCTGGCTAGCTGTTCTGGCGTAAGCGCATCCAGGTTGAAGAGCAAGGGGTTGTCCGATCGCCCCCGCGCACAGCTCATAATTAGCGAGCTAGGTTGGGTCCGTAGGTCTCGGGATGTGGTCCTAGAGGAAGATGGGGACGATAAAGCGTTTGAAGGAGATTAGCTGTAGGTCAAAGTGGCCTTCGATCGCGTATTCGGCTTGCTCTGGCCCCCTCGTGCCTTGGCTCTCGGCTTCTTCTTTCCTTTCTTCGGGGGAAGATTATTGGTATCGGGGGGTGTTTGGGTAGGTTAGACTGGTCTTCCAGTCCCTTTAGAACTATCCTGACGTTCTGGAATAATAATAGTACTTATCGTCACGGTATATTGGACGGAATCGGTAATAATGGTAGGTGGAATGGTAAAAGGATGGTATTAATAGGCCTGAAGGCAGAGCTTCAAAGCCTTGGGATAGACAGGTGGGTGTTCGGAGACACTGCACCTGTCACCGCTAGAGGCAAAACTCCTTGCAGTGGTGATCTGAAGACAAGGCTTCTGATCTGGTATGGTGAGTCTTGATATTATGTCACGGCGAGCTTACTGAGGAGCTGGGACATGGCCGGCAGCAAGCAGCTATTACTCTATTGACGAGAATATCAAGACTAGAGAGGAAGGAAGAGAGAGAAAGCTAGGTACAGCCGGAGGCTGTCCCTTTAAGGGGATCCTCCAGTCAGATCCTTCCCTTATTAGGAGGTATCGGCTTATCATGTGGGAAGGTCTGTGCAGGCCGTCACAATGCTGCTTATTTCAGGGTGTTTATTCTATTAATACAGATATAGTATTGATATTTACAACTTGATAGAGGGATCCCGAACGGAGACTTATAAGTTATTGGGGGGGGGGGGGGGGGGGGGGGCAACTGTAGTAATTAAAAGTGCCTTCCCTAATCACGAATATAGCACAAGTTCAAGTCGAAGAAGTCAATTAGAAAGCATGATGGTCCTCTACTAACATATCTATTATCTCTGTGCTAAATCTGGCAGTTCTCATCCATGATATAATCTGCAGAAACCCAGTGAATGTAGTAAACCTAGCAGTTATCATCCGTGCAAACTCTTGAAACCTAATTTAACGGCAACCTTGGTTTGAGGAAGAGAGAGAAACCTGCACGTGTCTTATCTGAAAGTGTTGCGTGGTCAGGTGACCCACTTAGGCTGGCATATTGCCCACATCCACTGCAGCTATCACACAAGTACAAACGAGGCTCAGCTCTATCTGGCGAGTCAACACCGGCTTCCGCTGGCCCCAACGAGATTGGGCTTGGCGTCTCAGCTTGGCATCTCCGCGCTTTGGGCGGGCGCGTAAATGAGTGGTCTCGGTTGACTTCATCCCATGCAAGTGTGTTACTACGACTGCTCCCTGACCAATCCTTCGTTGCCATTTGGTATCATCCAAGCTGGGTCATCGGCTGAAACACATCTTTCACCAAATGGCCAGCCTGGAGCGTGCCTTCAGGATGACTCATGACGACTAATGTGCGCATAGCCCTCATGTGTCAGTCGCAGCCAAGAGCCAGTCGCGGAGGGTCCATCAAGTCTTGTAAGGCAAATCAAGAGGCCACTAGGATTGGTTGGCTGTGACTGATCGACAGCACCATATTGATCCAGCTGGGAGCAATTTTGGGTCTCGTTCTCTCTTTTGAGTAAGACTTGTGTTTGTACCCTACGCCAGCAATGACCACCCAAACCCGGCAGGCGCCTTCTGCTTCGCAGGGTGGCTGTACTGCATATCTGCGTGAGGTGGCAATGGCTCATGGGATTTAGCTGGACAACAGTCAGGGAAGATGAAACAGGATCATGAGCAGGGACTGGATCGTGAACAGGAGCTGAACCACAGGTTGGAACTGGATCGTGAGCAGGACGTAAAATGAGCTTGGCGCCCTAGCTTGGTATTTCCTAGCTTCTGATACGTACATAAATGAGTGGTCGCAACTGAATCATAGCCAGCTATCCCTTGCGTGTGTATCACACCACGTCACTGCTTCCTTGCATGTGCATACAACATTTCAATGCCTCCTGACCAATCCTTCTCTGTTGCTCGACAACATCAAAGACGCGCCACCCCTCGCCAGATGAGGTATATCGCTTGCGCGTCCATCAATGGTAGAGACGCTGCACCCCATCCCGATAGCTGGATGTAGTTCCCACTTGGTTTGGCCTGGCTGGTCCATAGCTTCAGACAGGCAACGGGCCCCCATGAGTTTGCTATCTAACCCTAGCACACCGACTTCCTGCCCGGCCCATGCACCCTAACCTATATCGAATCAAAATTGACTAGTCCACGGAGCAAGCGCCCGTATGAGACATCATGTGATGTAGTCTGTGACTCATAATATTATACATGCAAACTCTGGCAAGAGACGAACCTTCCCATGTAGTATGACGCACTCGTTCGCAAGAAGAGGTTGTAAGAGCTATAAATTGATGCACTTTCAAACTTGATGACGACCACGGCTTTTGTGGCCCACTTGTCTCATATACTCAGCTGGGAACCCGTCCGGCGACATAAGAAGTCGTTCTTGACTATCCCAGGACGACCACGACTCTACGACGAACAGCACCCTACTGTGCAAGTAACGCCATGAGCGACAATCACCCTCGCAACCGCTACAAATTAGCCGCCGAAGTTCTCGATAAATGGCGCTCTAACGAAGCCAACGCTTGCGACCTGACAAAAAGTCTCGAAGAATTACAAAGTTTCTTTGACGAATTTTCACCGTCAGCTTCACCTCGACAACTCTCTGAAGGTCATTCCCTTTTAGCAGCATTGAATTTTACCTTACACAATGACCAACGGGGTGAAGAACTCATTCGCGGTGTCGATACCTACACCATCTACACCATCACACTACTCCTGACTCTCGCCCTCACCGACCACGTGCTGAGGGCTTTAGAATTAGGCAAGCAGCTGTCGTCGACTAGTCGGGTGAATGGGTGGGAGTATCGCCTTATCATGCACCAGCCACCTAGGAGAATTGATCGACTGGTCGCTCTTGGCCGCTTCATGACAGGAAAAGCTGATCTTTGTAAACTGTGTCGTACATGGCAGTACGACCCGAACGCTCGTCCATGCCTGCATTGCAAGCTTATGGGCATCGAGGTCACAGAGAGGATGGTCATCCCTTATAAGCCGCAGTTGGAAGTATGTGAGGTTGGGGGTGAGATGTGCCCAATATGCTTAGAAGATATAAACATTGGTACGAAGCTATCTTGCGGTCATTGCTTCCACGTGGAATGTATCAAGCGGGCACTGGTATGGAAACGAATGGGTGCGTGTCCTATGTGCAGGGCTGAGGTTGCTTACATACCAGTCTTCAGGCCAGGGAGTAGGACTTGTAGTTAAATTATTTCTATTAGAAGGTTGGGTGAACTATCATCGTCAGTACCACGTCCTGGCCTTTTTTTAAATGTAATAATGGTCATATAGGCCTGCCATCTGTGAGAGATTCATGTTGTAACTGTCCTCAAAGACCAGGAGATCGTCAGCACACGACGATGCTTTCGAACAGCATCTCCACGACAGTGGTATCTATATGGAGGGCTATGAGCACGCAGGTGGGGTAACGCGAGAGCCCGACAACTTGGGCCAAATTCAGCAGGGATTATGAGTCCCGAGGTGGATTGAATCTCAAAGCAAGCTCCTAAAATATATCATTTCTGTGTAGCAAGACCGACATATGACGCAGGACATACACCAGGAACCATCCCTCGAGCATTGCTCTGCTGTCTGAAGTGAAGATCTTGTGGTCGATATCCTTTCGGAAAGGGGGGAGGGTATCGCTTTCAGTCTTTGAAAAGGCGTTTGCCAGATCGTGTAGGGCCGGTGGTAGTCTGTCCAGAATCTCCGCTCGGGTTGCTTATCCTCTTTATTCAAAGAGTCTTCAATGGTCTGGTCACCTGACCACGCAACACTTTCAGATAAGACACGTGCAGGTTTCCCTCTCTTCCTCAAACCAAGGTTGCCGTTAAATTAGGTTTCAAGAGTTTGCACGGATGATAACTGCTAGGTTTACTACATTCACTGGGTTTCTGCAGATTATATCATGGATGGAACTGCTAGATTCAGCACAGAGATAATAGATCTGTTAGTAGAGGACCATCATGCTTTTTAATTGACTTCTTCCACTTGAACTTGTGCTATATTCGTGATTAGGGAAGGCACTTTTAATTGCTACAGTTTCCCCCCCCTCAATAACCATCGCACCTTCGACATGGAATTCGCGCCTGCTGATAAGCGTCGTGTCTATCTGGCCTGCCGCGCCATCTTCACGGGTGACAAAGCGCAGCTGCGACAGCAGAAGAAAGTGCGTGAGGAACTCGAGAAAACACCTCGACTCTTGCGACCACTGAGGGACCTCGGAACAGACAGAGTGGTCGATATACTCCGGCATCTACTGAAACGGCGAATTTTCGAGTCAGAGCTCAAAATAAAAGTCGAGTTTCCAGAGTTATTCAACTCATCGGCCGAGCAGGAAGCGCATCGCGAGGCATCGGAAATTGATGCCGCACGCTCAACGGCCAAGGCCCTCCAAGACATTGCCAGTGAGGATGAGGGGCATACAGACACGGGTGACGAAGCAGTGAATGGGCATCAGCTTGACGGCAATGGCGAGACTACACTTGGTAAGTGCGGCGAGGAGGAACTATGGGAATATCACTAATAGGAGCTAATGACAGTAACAGGGACAGCGGCCGTCCACGTCGTCAACCTGCTTCCAACCGAATCCAATGCCAACAACGAGTCTCCGCACACACGATTCTGCAAGTATCTCAAGCTGGGAGATGAGGCTCGAAAGGACTACTTATTGCATCTCGTAGCCTTTGGGAGTATTGCCTGGGTTCATAAACACCATGTCCACCCGTCGACATTTCTGGTTCTCCGCTCGACGATTGGGAGCCGTCGTCAGATTCGTACAGACCCATTGGAACCTCCTCTGCTGTCGATTGGAAAGTATCGGGTGAGTTACTTGGTGTCGATATCCTGGGCTCAGTAAGGTAGGATTTGAGATCACAAGGTGGTCTTGACGACCCCTCATTAGTTTGCGATACAGCAGGGAAATCGTTAATGGTCTCCTTGGTCTTCTGTTCGAGATCCTCCATGTTCCAAGATGCTACAGTGAACTTTATTTCAACTAGATGTGCGCAATGTGCAAATGTAAATACTATAACAATTAGCACTTTAGCTTCAATGCCACAGAATTTTGCTGTCATGGTCGTAATAAGACTTGATATGTTACTGAAGCTATGTGCCCTCCACGGGAAACTATCAGGTGTCACTTCTGGATATGTGGCCATAACAATGGCTTCTAAAGTCCGGCTGGGCTCTAAATCTGGAACACGCAACAGCGCGGATGTCGAAGCAGGCCCAAAAGACCGCTATAGTAGGAGACTCGAGCAGATTATAGAGTACAGTAACTACAAAGGCAATTGTCAATTTGTGGACGTGGTATCGAAGTCCTGCGGAGCTTCTAAGTTGAGGCTCTTCGATAGAGTACACTTTGCAGACATCGCCAAAGCACCTACGCTATTCCCAAGAGTGGCGAAATACATGGCCAGCACCATTCTAACGACCTCAAGAGAAGATGAGCAGCACTCCGAGGCCACTTTCAAGGGTCTACTTTGCAATATATGAGGAAATGGAGTTTGATTTGGGAAACTTCGTACTGGATAGATACACCAGTACCACATTTCAAGGGATCATGCCCGATTCCGGCGCTCAGCCAAAGGGAATACGGAAACGCCAAGATACAACCTACGCCCACGCAAACCCAACCAAATGGCCCAGCCAGCAAAGCATAAGAAAGATTGCGGTATGTAAAGCTCACCATTGTATGTTGGTTACAACGCGTATAGGACAACCGTTGCGCTATGAGGCAAAAGCTTCATATATATAGTATGAGACCTAGCCTAGCACGCCTGCGCGCCCTTTTGGAGGCCCAGGGCCGCCGCTTTACGGCAGGCCCCCTGGCGTTAAATGCTACTACTACTACTACTACTACATGAGGCAAAAGCTTCAACAATGACCCGAATGGTCATTGACTCCTATTTCTGTACTATATGCATTACTCCGCACAGCGACCCACTGTGCGACCGTAACACTCTGCCACCGACCAGTGACAACCAACCATTCTTAGCCGCCTCCAACTTGCCTGACGTTTCCGTTGAAATTTCAAGTCGTCTCACTGGCGGTGAGGATAAGACCGTGAGACGGCTGCATCTGGGCCGCATATTGCCTTCTGCATCGTCTGCCTTGCAAGCGGCCTCGCAGTCGCGGTGTAGTCTGTCCTCCATCTTGCACTATAGTCTATAGAATGACTCACTCGCCAACCATTTTGATTTACTATTCTCTCTATACCCACCATTATGTCGACAGCGTTAAAATGTAGAATGTACTGAGTATGTAAAGAGCCAGTACTTGAATTTACTACATCTTGTCGTTAACGGAAACACACTGGAGCAACGATGGTATACGATCAGGTCCTGGTCCGATCTGCGCAGGTGCTTACTTCTGGTATTTACAGATATGCGACCGACGAACCACAGACCTCTTCTGGCCTCACGCCTCCCGCAGGTGGCAGTACCGAGTTTTAACGGCTCGTGCAAGCAGCGACGAGCATCAATTCCCAGTCAAGAAACAATAGATCGCCACATTTTACGACAACCGCCGCGCAAGAAGCAAAAGTACCGTCACCCACATCAACCACCGCCGGCCTTCTGGGACAACCTTTCCGAGGTCCCCCTGACTGGGCGCGCGTTAGAAGAACTAAATCGAAGGAACACTACGAGTTTGTCACAAACGCCAGCTAGCTGCCCAGCTCCTCGACGCTTGGCTGCCAAGTTGACGCCGCAGCCTGCGGTCGAGTATCTCGGTCAGTCTACGCCATCGCAACTGAAGCAGATCAAGCGCTTTTCGCGAGAGGGCGGGCCCGATCTGTCGAACCTAAGAGGGGTCAGTATGTCCCTGCTCATTACCTACTACTCGATCTTCTGGCTTGACGAACGAGTGACAGTTTAGCGAGGCTAGCGTCTCATCCGAACGTCAAGTAATGAGCTCCAGCCAGTCCAGCCTCGGTCAGCGCCAACGAGCCTCGGCGTCGCCCTCAAATAACAGTACCAGTACCAGCACGCACAACACGACGACTACTAAGAGTACCAGCCCGTACGATCCTGCTTTCCAACAGCATCTAATTGATTATGGCATCTATCCTGACGGTTACGAGTACCCAGGCGACCGAGGCGCCCCACCACAGCCTACCAACATGGATGAAATCTTACAAGCTCTTGCTCGCCCAAGGCCCTCTTTATCGCCATTTCGATTCTCAGACGAGGAATTCAGGAGGTTCAAACGGGCGGACGCGCATGCTGCTAATGAGTGGCAGATTACTTCGACAGTGATTCCCATTCTAGAGGGCGACGTCCGCGACACCAAGTGGGTCTTCGGACAGGTACCATTCACGAACCTCGACCATCTGACCGACGGCTCTCTCGTCCCGGCAAATCCAGATCGCTACTACGGCGCCCGCCCCGAGCAGCTAGACCGACAGGTGCGCGCCGAACTTCACGGCTCGATAACCCCATCGACCCAGCATGACCTCCCCATCGTCCCCAACTTCTTCCTGGGCGCTAAAGGACCGGAGGGTTCACCTGCCGTGGCCAAGCGTCAAGCAAGTTATGACGGTGCTTTGGGGGCGAGAGCTATGCTCAGTCTCCAGTCTTATAAGGCAAGCGTGCCTATATATGACAACTCGGCCTTTACTATCACATCAACGTATCTTGATGGAGCGCTCAAGATGTACACCAGTCATCCTGTCGAGCCAACGACTGGCGCGGCGCCTGATTACGTCACGACGCAGATAAATTCGTGGAGTTTGACTGGAAACCCATCTTCGTTTCGTACCGGTGCTTCGGCGTATCGGAATGCAAGGGACTGGGCTAAATTGCAACGCGACGAGGCCATCAAGCGGGCTAATGCGAGAGTAACTAGGGCTGGGGTCGCGGAAATATCCTGATTGGCGGGCTGGAACCGAGTTTTAAGGATGACCGACATCTCAGTAAATACAATAAAAGATCCTAGCGCCAGAACACTATTATCGCGTAGCAAATGTACGGTCGATTCTCGTGTGTCTGTTGTTGTCTGATGGGAAACCCTTTCGGTACATGACTCTCCTCCTAGATATCCCTTTGCTGTGGTTCACTCCCTATCCCGTTACAAGAATCCCACACGTGATACTCCGCGGCACCTACTGCCGTTCAACACTTTCTAGGGTTCAAGTGGAACCTTCTCACAGAAATGTTTATGTACAGTAATTCAATGGCAGGCGGCCTGTTCTCCGGTGCAGCTGTTTCTAGGTGCCAGGGTTCCTACAGCATAAAATGAATAAATCTTTTACTATTTATGTTGGATCCATGCGATTCCAGCCTGCAAACCATCTATACCAGGACCCACGTGTATGATTAGATAAGAGATTAGATACCGGATTGCGAGGTCACTTAGCCAGACCTTCAGGTCCAGCTAAACCTCCCAATCTAACCATCAGCAACATCATGACCTTGACCCCATACTCGAGTATTATGATTGATCGTTCAAGCCTGTTCCAACACAATCACTTATAAGGGGTAATGAGATGGTCTAGGACATGAAGCCGCAGCTTTGTGCTCCAGAACACTATCTCTTTTTCTAGCTGCGCTTGAATTCCGTACTAATCTTTGTAAACAGACAAAATCTAGTCAGCTCACTGTGGGCCAACTGCAGCCTGAATGTCTGTATACCTAAGCCGCGGGTCGAATAGTGGTGAAAGCAAGACCAGATACAATTTTGACGTAGTAAGCAAATGTATATCAGGCCAGGTGTCACGGCGAGCATACTGAGGAGCTGGGACATGGCCGGCAGCAAGCAGCTAGTACTCTATTGACGAGAATATCAAGACTAGAGAGGAAAGGAAGAGAGAGAGAGAGATAGGTACAGTGGGAGGTTGCCCCTTTAAGGGGATCCTCTGGTCAGATCCTTCCCCTATTGGGAAGTATCCACTTGTCATGTGGGAAGGTCTGTGCAGGCCGCCACAGCCGTCACACCAGGTGCCTCCGGATGTTGGGTTGGGAAATTATCCTAGCCAGGCAACATCCAATTCACTCGCATACTATCGTGCCTTTCCAGAGCCCACTGAAATAGAAGGCCATCAGTCTCATTTTCCGTTTAGTCAGTTGGGGTTGCGCCTATCTCTGGCGACGTTTAATGTGGCTTAAAAGCCAGAGTGCATACCTTACCAGACCTATCCTGCAATCGTCACGAGGATCTTGGTCCCATTCCCTTGTCGCAATACTTTGCGTCTCGGTCGCAATAATGGGAGGGAAAGCATGCGTTACGTGGATCTGGTCCGTGTTCCAAGGTATCTGCCTCGTGTTCTTTCTAGTTACACATTTGTGGCCTAGATCTAGCAGCGGGTCTACTATTTGAAACAATGATAATTTTCTCTCCAGGTGGTGTTCTTAGTTCTAGCTGTGTGGGACTGGAGAATTAGTTACGTTAGGCAACAGCAGTTAGGAGCCCTTAGGATGAACCATCATTCAACACGTCCTTTCAGACCGAGGAATCGGTCGTTTGCTCTTAACTAGTTGGAAAAGCAAGTCGCGAAGGGGTATGGTGGCTCTAAGCTAAATCTTCTTGGTCGGAGCTACGTGCTCGCGGACATATTGAATTTTTTTTTTTTTTAGTTTAGTTTAGTTTATTTTATTTAACGCCGTAGGGGCTCTAGGCTCCAAATCCTTGTGGACGTTTGGCGTGCAGGTGACTATCTCAGGGGCTAATATACAAGCCTTTCTGTACGGGAAGCAGGGCATGACCCCCTATTTCCCACGATAACCTGCAAATCGAACCTCGAGGGCACACATATTATTCCATCAGTTTCCGTTGGCCCCGCCATTTGGGCTCGTGCTCTGTGATATCTGGTTCGTAGTCGGTGGTCCGAATAGCGTCGAGGAGCTCCTCTCGCTTTGACATGGTAGTGCCTTGCGTTTAAAAGGCTGTAAGCAGAAGAAAATACACACATAAGGAAAGATGGGAAAAGTAACAGAAAGATGTGGTAACAGGCGCAGTTACGCCTGGTTGTCGATGAACTGATGTTCTGTGACTCTAGGACAGACTTTTGTGTAGAATTTTGTCCACTTGCAGAAGTCTCCGAATTCCTTAGGGTGCGTTATCAGCCATTTCCAGTAGGCCCTCCCTTCTGGTTCGGGCTCTCCGTTGTGTCCGCGGTTCCTTCGTGGCCACCTGGACCGTTTTGCGAGGGCTCTGTTGCAGAAGGCAAAGTGGGCTCGCGTTTTAATTCTCCCGCAGGAGCAGTTGTAATGTTCTTCGTGCTTGAACCTCCTATGGTACCAGGTAAAGTCTCCGTGGCCAGTTCTGGATGCGATAAGCCTGTGGAGCGTTGGCCTGTCAAGCTTGAGCTCTTCTGGGCACTTGAGCGTGGTTTTCTGAAGGCCGAGACTTTTGTATTTGTCGGTGATGTTCTCGTCCCACCATTGCTGGTGTTCGCTTCGAATCTTTTCGTTAAGAAGGCCTAATATGCCTGCAAGCGTAGGTTTGGCCCCGGTAGGGATTGGCAAGGTAGTACCTTCTTTTGCCTTTACGTCGGCCTCTTCGTTGCCTTGGATGTCCATGTGCCCTGGCACCCACCGGACCTGTACGTCGGCGTACGTGTCCGAGATTTCGTAAAATTGTAGGAAAGCTTCTTGGGAGCTCTGAGCTGGTTCCCCCCACATCCCGGAGATCACTGCTGTATTATCCAGACACACGTGGATGGGAGCGCCACTGCTGAGCCTCAGGGCCTGCCTGAGTGCGTGGCGGGCCCCTTCGGCCTCACCGTCAAAGACCTCAGCTGGGTGGCCTAGTCTGCCACAGCCCGAGGCTATGTTTGTCCGGCCTCTGTAGATCACGTATCCATAGCCCACCGCCCCCTCCAGGGATTTCGAGTCATCAGAATAGGCGACTATGTGTGAGGGTGGTAGCGATTTTAGCCAGTCTGTGAAGACTTTGGCTTCCTCGGCTTTGCTTCTTGTTACAACGGCTTTGCCAGCGTTCGTTGTGTACCTTGGTTCCGTAAGGATCGGTCTTGGGAAGTCCGGTGTGAGTTCATATGTCCTCTGGAGCCGTGTCCTTGCGGTTATCCTGACCAGACCCCTCAGGCCTCTGCTCACGGTAGGGTTCCGGGCTGTAACACATCGGACTAACGGGTGCATGTTATCCATGGCTCTGATTCTCAGGCTGAACCGCATCCGGATCTTGCTGAGTATGGTTTGTACCGTTGGTAGGCCTGATTCTTTGAAGAGTACCTTCTTTGGTGTGGTTCTCCAGACCGGGAGAATCCCTCTGATGGCCCCTGTAAGGACTCTTTCAAGGTCGTCCTTGTGGCCGTTTTGGCGGGTGCTCACGTCGCAGGCCTGACCGTTTCCTGCTCTCTTGTGGTCCCCAGCCCCCCAGACCTCTGCCCCGTAGGTCATGGTAGGAATGACGCATGCAATTACCGCCTTACGGAGGGCTGCTGCTAGGGGCCCTCTGGCGGTGTTTGCAAGACTTCGAATATGTCTGGCCACGACGAGGCCCTTGGCTGCCCGTCTTTTGACATGCTCCCGGAACTTCAGGAGCCTGTCGAAGAAAATCCCCAGCCAGCGGACCACCGCCCCTTTCACTGGCTGCGCTGGTTTGATGGTGAAGCCTCCGGGGGTGACTATTTCTGGGGTGAGAGGTCTCCTCCCAGTGTCAAAGTAGATGGCCTCAGCCTTAGAGTCTTCAAAGGTGACCTTGTTCTCCAGGCCCCAGCGTAGGATGTCGTCTACCATGCTGGCTGCCTTGGCTGCTAGCTCGGTAGTGGTTTTACCCGTGATTCGGATGCCTACGTCGTCTGCATATCCGAATCTGTTATGCTTATCCTCTAAGAAGATGTCTGCAATATATAGCAGGAAGAGGATCGGGGAAGCTGGTGATCCTTGTGGGAGCCCGCAGCTCAGTCCGAATACCTCGGTAGTAACGCCTTCTAGTCTAATCCGAGCAGTCCTGTCCGATAAGAAGGAGTCTACCCATTTTACAAGGGCTGGTGCCCAGCCCTGCTGGCGGAGCCTGAGGAGCAGTCTCCGGCGAAGGGTGCCGCCAGTACCGGGGCTGGGCTTTGAGAAGCTGGTGGGTTCCGTACGGCGTTTATCTCGTTGTATAGCTTTAGACATGACTTCCTAAGCTTCTTCTTTTCCTGGTTCGAGGGGTGGACCAACTGGCCTCCTATTCTCTTAGGTCTGGCTGGGCAGTTTGCATGTGTTGATATTTCAGGCCCCATACAGTTGGCACATTGAGGGGGGAGCGTGCATGGAGATGCGTGCCTTTCGTCTTCCGGTTTCCCACATTTCTCACAGCGGCTAGGGCGAGCACACCGCCGTACAGGGTGCCAACCTTAGCATCCTAGGTTATGTTGCAAGGGGGGGTTTTTTGTCTCGATAAGCCTAGACCTTGAATAAAGGCCGAAGATTCTAAAGGCTCCTACCTTCTCGGTGAACGATACTAGCCATGTGACTTGGCCGGACTCGTTGGGACCGTTTTTTGATATGCGTGCGTTTACCGGGCGGAGGCCGGTCTGGAATTCACACTCATCTAAGGTCATTTCGGGTGTGATTCCCACGCCTTCAAGTTCCATATTGGTAAGTATAGTTGGGCAGTTCGGGAGGGCATAAGTGTGCCACTTGACGGGTAGTTCTATTGCAGAGGCTTTTGTAAGCTGAGCCAGTTTTACCTTTTGTGCTAGGATCTTTCCTTGTGCAGTTTTATCCCTCGGTCGAAGAGACAAGCCGGTAGGGATTCTGTGTGCATCTGCCACATCAGAAGCCACGAGGTTTAGCTCCTTGGTGATAGTTTTCCTAAGGGCGTACGTGCTGATAGTTCTCGACCAGCCGAGCTGGTTTTCTGGGAGCCTTATGAAGATGCGGAGGTCTTCTTTCTGCATCGGCAGTCTGGTCCCGGGGTGTTTCT